AACTATAAAGTTTAAACAGGGGTTTATATAGACTCTGATTATCTCCCTATCTATACTCTGGTTAATATAGAGATATAGATAGCTAATAATCTAGTATAGTACTATAATTAGAAGATAATAGATAAGCTAAAACTAGTCTAATTTATAAACAATAATCTTTAATTATAGTACCTATACCTAGGTAACTATCTACAGATTAAATATAATATATAATACCTATTATAAGTAGTATAACAGGGTACCTAGGCTACTATACCCTAGATATATTCTTCTATATCTACTAAAGAGAGATAGACAGAAGAATACTATAAGGCTATTTTAATATATTAATAGCTATTTTAAGAGATCAGTAAACAGAAAAATAGAGAAAAAGAGGAAGGAAGCTTATTAAGTATATATATCAATATATAATTATAAGGAAAGGATAATTAAGAAAGCACTATGGGCTTTTACTAGTAGGTTTAAAAGACTAGCTAGTATAATCCCCAAAGTGCTATTACAGCATATTATATCTACTATTGTAATGGTTACTAAGTTATCAGGCTAGAGACCTATGACTAGGCAAGGATATCAGATAGTAGAGATTATATTAGGCAGTCAATACAGAGACTGATTCTTAAGAAGATTAAGAATCCAGAATGCTTATAGGATCTTAAATATATTAGGGTTCGGGTGGATATCGATATGCAGGTGACTCAAAGCGGATTCGTCTATGAATCAGCCTCGAGAGTCTGGGGTATTGTATACTTTGAATCCTGTGACAACTGTAGATAGCTTTTCTTATATATATAACCTTTTATATTCTGAATATATAGCAATAGCCTATATATTATAGAGCCTAATGGAACCTTCTGGAACCTGATCGATAGTGGCAAACTATCTGGATGCTGTTCCAACTCTGGCTATTCTGGCTAAAGCCACAACAATCAATATCTATAACTAATCTGCCACCTACATAATTGACTATGGTGCTAACTATGGCAACCTATATAATCAATTACCATTCAATGCTAATCATAATTAATATATTACGACGACTTATTGTCGTGTGACCATTATAATTACTAATAATGGTGGCCTGAGGCCTGCTAAACCTCAGGGATAAATAGCATCTCAATCTCCTGCAATTCTAATATCATACACATCTATACAATACATCAATCATCCTATCTATTACCAACGAACAGCTTCTTATTGGATCATCTGATCTACCATTACTTCCCTGAGCCTAGTAAGACGAACAGTCTTATACTAACTTAGTCATACAGACTTGACTTAGCTCTAAATCTGTACTTTAGTTAGAATTTTTACAGGTTTCTGTACTCTGGCTCCCACTCTGAGACTGCTCCTTAATAAACGCAGTAAACACTATCTCAACACTATTTAGCTCTGTAATATATACTGTTGAATCCTCGGTAGTCCCCAGATACCGGTTCAAATAGAGGCTTCCCTAGGCTCCTATCGGGCAGAGCGAAACCGCAGCGGCACCCACGTGGCCCTGATAGCCACTGCCGTCGGTGAAAAAGATCTCTATTAGTGCTTGCTCCGGTATCTAACACGCTCAGAGGTATTACAGCAGCATTCGCTTAATTCCCTAATCAAGCAACTGCTTCTGGATTCGATCATGTGCGGCAATGGCCTCTTCCGCTGACTCCTCGATCACGCAGGTGATTCAGGGCTCCCAGGGCCGCAGAACCCCTGCAACGCGGGTCTCACAGGCCCCGTTCCCAGGTGTGAGGGCATTCATAACCTCGTTCTTCTTCCATCGGAGAGCCTCGATCGGGCATCAGCCCCCGATCCTAAGACTTCGCTGTATATTTTAGCAGGTATAGGTACCTCAATGCGCATCGCTGACAAATCTGCCCAAGATTATTCAGTAAAGCTTAGCAGATAGTTCGCTCTGTCAGGAGATTGGAAGGAATGTGAATCATCGGCTTTCGGCAGTGACCCAGGTATACCTGTTGGCTGAATTGAACAATGTGACCTCTTGGTCTGATCACAGAAGTCAAAAGTGATACATCAACTAGACCGAAAGTAGCGGCGCACAGCTTAAGGCATGATTATCGGAATATGCCAATAGGGGATGTTGGACTCTGGGTATAGTGGAAGCTTGATCCTATCTATAAACTACAAGTGAAGTGGTCATTCGGATGTCTCTAACGATTCTTCTCCGAGTGATAACTTAACCTGACTTCTCTAACTAACTGGATAATATACTCTAGAGGTATGACGGTAAATTAGCAAATCATGGCCGCTTATCTCCTAACGAGTTCTCTTCGCTTTTGGACGGTGCTTAATATTGTATACTATACCATTTTATCATCTACCTTTTTTTACTTCCATCCATCTACTATCCATTAAAATATATCTTCTAAATTTTTATAGCCTAAATTCGGCAATATAAGCATCTGTAGTTTCCTTCTCTATCCATCCTTTGGTGGTCCTCCGTCTGGCTTATGATCTACCCCCCAGAATGTGCAAACTTGGTCATTATTACTACCTACCCAGCCTTGAAACCGAAAGTTATCTTGTCCACCTTAATTAGAAAGTATATGTTCGATTCTGCCTTTGGTAAATATTGCTAGACATTGAAACAAGCTTAGAACCATGAAAGTAGTGAGTGTATGCGGATGACTACGGCAACGGGAAGGCGACCGCTTGCAGCCTCCGCCTCAACATATCATCAGTCTTTATACTATCAGTCATGATATCTGCCACATGTCTCCCACAGCGGGTCTCCGTGGCGCAATTGGCTAGCGCGTTCGACTGTTAATCGAGAGGTTGGAAGTTCGAGCCTTCCCGGGGACGCTTTATTTTTTCTTCTTTTCTTTTGGCGGGGCAGGTAGGTTTATAAACATTGATCCACAGCTGTGTAGAGTCTGTTTGTAATTTTATTGAACGTGAGATTATGGTAATTGGCAAAGAAGCCTTTGTCAAACAACTAAAAGAAACTATAAAGTGACACAAATACGGCAATTTTATACACCTTCAACCTGCATTCCTCTACATAAGCTTCCTCGGAGACGTTTGTATCGCGATTTATTGATACCAAAACTAGAAAGAAAAACCTAAGAGTGAAGATAGTAGTGACTTTAGTATTATGAGTAGCATTTCTTATATTTTAAACTGTGATATGCCTAGTAAAGATTGAGTATCAATAATAGCTTATTCATACTGAGTTTAAATTCAAGACCTTGGAGAATTACATATTAACATGATTTTATGTTGTAGGTACGGTAATACTTCCTATGGATTATAGCAGTATCTAACTCAAGCTTGAGGCCATAGCAGACTGTCGTAGTCAAAAGTTGAACGGCAATGTCGCCCAGAAGTTTCCGCGTATTGCGTACATTTGGGGTTGACTACTTCGTCATATAAATGTCCAAGCTTTCCTGTACCCTCGGTCTTGCCTTTATCTTCTCTCTCACCGAAGTAATTAGCTCCGCGAGTGCAACACATATCACACAAATTTACTTTTTCCTTGGCTTTTCGATATCTTTACCTACACAATGACTGCAATTAATAGAAGATCTCACAAGAAGTCAAGGAACGGTTGTGTCCAATGCAAACGTCGACAAATCAAGGTACCTTCCTAGAAGGATAGAAGATGATAGGAACGGTAGTCAGATATTGACCTTGGTTATGAGTGTGATGAGAGCCGTCCAGCTTGTGGCTATTGCAATATAACCAAGCACCAGTGTTCCTACGACGAAGCTCTGGTGTCGCAATCCCAAATCTCCGGGTGTACGTCATTGTCGAGTACAGCCAACGCCACGATCTCCATTGAGAATGATAGCGATACGAGCTTCTCTAGCAGATCTACACTTGAAAGGAATTTCGACAGCCCACCAGTCAATATGCTTCATCTGGAGCTGCTTCGCCATCTGATTAACAAAGATCTGGCGCTCTTTGGTTAAAATCCAAGTTCAGAATTTTTAATCAGGAAATCATGGACAGGTTATTCATTACACCCTACTTGATGAACCAAATTCGTGGGTTTACCGCACTGCATTTAAAGCATTATTTATCCGACTTGAAACAAGAATTTCGAGATCGCGCAAGTCAGCTTCGAGCCCATGCCTTCACTTTGTTCAGACTGGAGCAGCCAACAATCGATGTGGGAAACTGTCTTACCGTCTTTCTTTCACATCGATTCGTGCTTTCCATGTGTTTCCAAGAAAATGACATTTTGCCGGGAGGATTTTGACGATTTCCTTCACGACTTCATCGAAATATTCCACTTACACCAAAATGTTCGTGAGGTAACAAATTTGTCGTGGAGATTTCTTCTCGACTCACCACTGAGACAGCTTTTGGAATTAGAAGACAGTGCGTTGTTACAGGAGGATTCCCTAATGGAATGTTCCGAGCTATTAGCAATGGTTAGCTCTGCATCGATCGATCCATCTGCTAGGGATACATTTATAGAGGCGATCAAGCCTCTCCAGGTGGCTATCAATGCAAGCTAAAGGAATCACTCAGGCCAATCAGCGATCGGGCCAATTATTTCATGGTTGGTTGTTGTGCGTCCAGCTATTTAAATTATTTGGCGAAGAAACGGCCTGAGGCACTTGTTATTCTTGCCCATTTCGGTGCGTTGTTATATTTGCATCGTAGGATTCGGGGGCTTGGAGACAGCGGATTGTTTGTTATTGATTCTGTTTCCAGCTACTTGGATCAAACCTGGGATGCTTGGTTACGGTGGCCGAGAAACGTCCAACAGTGGGCTATATGAGCAGTCAAAGAGTCGGTCGCGCTCGGCCACTACAGCAGTCACAAGTCACGACTGAAGCAGATTGAGACTGTTGTGATAGGAAGGTAGGAAGATGATCCTCCCGTGATAAGTTTCGATAAATGTTTGCAACTTACACTGAATCACCACCCATAGTACGGGGATGTTGGGTGAATTGGATTGCAATAGGTTTAGCATGCAGGTCCATGCCTGGTCAAATACCTAATCTACCACAACATACTAATTTCCCACTATATATAAAATGCCCTCACTCACCACGTTCTTCGTTATTCTTCTCATCAAAGCATATACACAGTGCGGCGATCAAAGCTGCATCCACACCAGGGGCAACGACGACGGCATATGTCTGCTGGCCGAACACAAGGTCGCGCCCGCTAAGTAGCTTTCGGTCAATGCGTGCAACAGTTTGGCCGGTCTTATCATTGACTATATCGGCACTATGGTCGTACCAGCCTCCTTTCATCGTGAATGTCACCGCCTTGTCGTTATGGTCGGTGAAGGTGGCGGTGGCCTTGGAGCCCAACACTAGGACGGTCAGCGAGGTCTTTTATTTTATGTTGCGAAGCCCCAACCGGCGAAAAGGAAATTCAGGTACTTGCCTTTTAAATTACTCTTCACCTCACATATCTTCTTGTGATGGGGATCCTCGATGGCGTAGGTTGTATGGAGATGCAGAAGCTCCTTGGAGATATCGAAAAGATGCTTGCCATGTGCGTCCTCAACCTTCTTGCGACCGGAAAGAGATACCCAAGCGCCATGAACTTTGAGAAGTGGCTCACCGCTAGCCAGCTTGATTTCGAAGCTATCCCCGGAGACAGAGAGCACCTTTTCCTTAAGGATCAATGTCTGTGGCTCCGTTGAGACAAATTGTTCAAAAATAGCAATAGGCTCGGCTATCGGATCGAGATGATGATGACCAAAGATACCCATAGTGTCGGTAGTGATCAGTTTCTGAAGAATATCAAGATGTTGGAGTATCAACAGATGCCGCGGGGTAAAACTGCCAGATCAGCGATAGTCACGTGGTAGAAATGATGACATCATCTATATTGAGGTACTGTCTGTATTTTACTCCCAGCAGACCTCAAAATATAATTCTTATATCATAGGCAACGATATGGTTGAAATAATAAAAGCCTGAAGCTGATAAACAGATCCTACGTCGTATCTCCAATATCCTTTTTGTCCAATGGCATTTGTCATATTCAAACTTAGGTGTAGTTAAAGAGACGTCACTCGCAACTAATACGGTCGAAACTACAATTTTTATGATATTTCCTTTAGATTTGACTGAAAGGTAATTAAATAATCTGTGAAAATTTCAATAGACTGATAAGATTCAGGGATCTCTCGGCGCTCGTGGAGCTATTGGGCATCATATTCCAGATCCGTGATGACTACAGAAATCTATGCAGTGGTCTTTATGCTGAGCAAAAAGGAACAATGGAGGACTTGACAGAGGGCAAAATTTTATTCCCAATCATTCACAGCATTCGTGCAAATCCAGATAATACAGAGCTCCTCGAAATCCTGAAGTAGCGCACGGAAGATCCAAGTATCAAGATTCGGGCTGTGAGTTTGATCAAATCAACAGGAAGCTTTCAGCACTGCAGACAGACCCTATGCCGCTTTACCAAAGAAGCAAGTCAGTGTGTGAAAGAGCTAAAAATTTCATTGAGCCCTAACGTTGGAATCAATAAAATTCTTGATCTAGCAATATTGATATATCAATTCTGTTCTCAGCCAAAGTTGGATATTATTTCGGCATCTACAGATACCTACTCATGCTTCATTCTGGTTTTTAGTCTAGATAATTTTAACTTCCATCTATCTTAATGTTTTGTGAATATGTGTACCTTGAGTTTCGATGGCAAATCATGAGGCGAGACGATAAATATTCTCTCAATCTGGATATCACTCCACGACGGACTTGAAAGTTAGATTGCTATATAGTTCCTAGTCTTGTGTCGGTTTTCAGAACAGGGAGGACCCTCCACAAAATTCCGTAGATATGCCACTCAGCCAACTCGTCGTCCATATGTCCATCATTTCTGTATCGGATACGTAAAGAGGAGAAATACCAAGGGGCATGTTGAGTGGTGCCACCAAGGATTGCCCGCCCAGGATGGACTCGTATTGTATTGGCTTTGGAAATAATATTAGCTTTGTGATAAAACTGCCAATAAATTGAAATACCTCGGTTGTTTCGCCCTCTGTTTGAACACCGGTGGCCCATGCAAATACATTTTCTTGATTGTCCCCCTCGGATAGAGATTGCAGTATACTAATGGGTCAGTACCTAAATCGCGGGACTTTTTTGTTGACTCTCCGCATACCTTGGTATCTCAGACGGATCGCTCGATATTATCCTACTCAATAAACTCTGTACCTCGGGGCTTGGACTAAATTCGGTGTCATGGTCGTCACGGACAACTTTATTTGCAACATCCTCGAAGAGACGTAAAAATGGCGCAACTGAGGGCAAAACCCGGGTGTATACGGCCAGCGCGCTTGAACATGCGCTTATGGCTTTATGGGATCCTCTGAGGGTCAAGGAATTGGGCTTTATGGCAAGGCATTGTAACAGGGTAATACCCGCATAGAAGGAATGGTATACAGTGATCCGGTCTGGTAGAGTCAAAGGATTCAAGCTCAATGCCTTCGCGCTCTGTAACATATTAGTAAAAGACATGTGCAAGGAAATTCGACATACCTCGCATGCATCTGCGGCAAACGTGACGCATAATTTTATAGAATCGAAATTTGTCGGACGATTTACCAGAATGGGTCTGATTAACAGAAGGACGGCTTGCAGATAGTTTGTATGTATTCGATCTGCATTTTGCTGAGGAAAATGATTTGATTTTTCTTTCCTAGGGGCGTCCTGTCGCCATTGATCTAGTTCCCAAAGAGTACTTTGAACCTCTTCTGATGTAGGCACACGAGCATTAGGGCCGGCGAATTTAGTCCTTTGATATCCTTAGCTCTGTAAATAACATATCTGGGGTGCTTTCTCACAATATGCTAGACCTGATGCGGTATATTCGCAAGTGATGCAGAGCAGCGGTCATCTACTCATCATCAGCATGACTTGAGGGCAATTTGTGCATTTGATTTGATAGACCGACCGTTGTTATGCCTTTCATAGTTGTTGTGTTCTCATTTATCTGCCTCTCTTGTAGACTTCGAATTGCCTCCTCATCAATACAAGTGTCGTTGATATCAACCGGCAGCTTCAGAATCTCTAGTTAATTCCTGCATCATATTTACTGGAATGCTTATCTAACGTACCTCGACATCAATGTCCACGTCTCTGATTCCAAATGGAAGCTTTGCCAACATTGACACCAGCCTTCACACGTTTAAGTCAGAGATATGTCATTGGCTCTTCATAAACCACCAGGAATAATTTTACAAACCGATCAAAGCAGTATGCACACCAGAAGAATCGCTTCTGAAGCTCCATCTTGTACGCACTGAGGCTCCGAGGGTTATATGGGCGCCCAATTCTTCGATGATATTTCAATTTGACACACAGCCGTAGAGCGATACCTACTAGATCCCTACTTCCTCTGTTAACGGCAGGTGTATTGAGATTCAGCAGCTATGAACACTCACCATAAAGGAGAATCATTCTGTAAAAAAAAAATTAGAATACGCTTGTCTTAAAAAGAGTATGTCACAGAATGTCTTACCTGGGCCCGAAAAGAGTACTGTACCAGACATAGAAGAGCTTGTACCATATCCATGTTCTGCGCAGACATGACTATTGGTATGTAAGCTCGGGCGCGATAAAAGTATGCCTTTGATTCAGTATTAGCCGTGTCATGTAGCTGAAGCGGGTCGAGCTTACCTCAGTGGAGCTTTCGGAGATTGGAACTAAGCAAGCACCAATGGCATAAATTATCCAAATGAAAAATGAGCCTAGATTTGTCAGTGATGATCAGTATACTTCAAGTGCCATGGCTATCTACCGATTTGCAGATCCACTGGGTCCGATGTGGTAGCGTAAGCAATTGATTCGCGATCCCGATGCCACTCTCGCAGCTGAACCCAGTCAATTATGCAATAACGAGCTTGGGTATAGAAGTAGACCGTGTCAACCAGCTCTCTAGCTCTAGCATCGGATGGGAGAGGCGGGAGATCTTCACTGATATCTGAACATGAATTCTGGATCTGGATCATATCAAGAACCGTAATGTCACGTTGGAGGTGCTGTCCATGAGTTGCCAAATCAATTGGGACTCCACAAGACAAATTACCTCTAGTGCAAGATTCATGAGATGAAATGGGGCTATAAGCCTCGTTAATTGGATTCCTCCCCTGGAAGCTCCTGTCACCTCTTTCGTCATTGATTTGGTTCAAAGTATCACTAGAACGAAACGAATTAGCATACTGGTTTGACTCGGATGATATGTCGAGCTAGATTCATACCGGTTCTCATTCACTGCCGCCTCTAACCCTTTCAGTCGTAACTCCCTTTCCATGTTTTTTATTCGCCTTTCCAAAGTTGCGACATATCTGCACAAAATATTCAGTTTTGACCAATGGTTCACGTTGATTTCTTTGGGACGCTTACGCATGGCTCCTCAGAGCACCATCAGGTGGGACGTCAAACAGGCAATCTATTTCCGAGATCAATTAAGAGTAAATATAAAGGAATGAAAGATACGGTATACCGGAGTGTGACTTCGAGCACGCGACACATTTGCTAGATATCCTTTTTAGCACTTCCTCATGAATCAACTTAAATTACATACCGGCTGTTACTTTCGCTCCGATAAAAGCACTTTATCTTTCTGCGCTTGCATCGACGACCTTTTTCCGATCAATATTAGCTTGAAATGTACTCCATATTTCAAAATTGGAGAGAAAGGACCCACAGGCGTTGGTACTTCGACGTTGTCCGCCAGGATCGTTCTCAGCTGGCAGGCCATCTGGTTTTCCAGATTTACTGCCCGAAGAAATAAGTTCTGGTGACGACGGTTGCTGCATGATCGTGCAATTTTTTCTAGCCAAATCCCAAAGCGACGGAATCTTTCCCTCCTTAAAGAAACAAAAATACTCACAGATCAAGTGACTTCACCCACTTTCCCCTCTCCGAAATACGGGCGGAGTCCCCCTTGCTACACGCCAATTGGGGCCGTACAACGCTGTCTGATAACTTGAGAGATATACTGCCCCACGTACAGGATAATCAATATGCCTGCCCTCATAATAGAAATGGCTGAGATTCCTTTTAAGAGTCATGAAATTCAGCCATCTCTTGAGAACTACGTTATTTCATCATAAAGGACACGATTCACACTCCGCTTATCGAACAATGCTGTCATTGGACGGCAATCCTAAAGTCCAATCAATCGCCTCCGCCTGTCAAAGGCTCCACATCGATAATTTGATAGGCCAAACTTCGGTTCGTGTGATAGCGCCATGCTGTATTCTACTTTGATTGGATCACCTAGAAAAATCCAACCTTATCTTTCTCCTTTAGGGAGTAAGTGAGTCCGGCAATCTTGCCCCGAGTGTAACGAGGCTGTTGATTCCCCGCACTTTGTGTCGAATATTTCTTGGATTTGGATTTTTACATACGTCATATTAGAATGCTCTGGCGTTTCATTTTCTTTGTTGGGGGCTCTTCTGATTTCGTTGTTTCGGTGGATCGTCCTGTTCGCTATGAAATGGCAATCCTAAAGCCTCAATATGCAAGGTTGAAAGCACCTGTCTTTTGGAAATTTTCAGATTCACTTTACTTATCTCGTAATATAATTTGGCCCGTCTGCCCTTGAACTCAACATTCTGGGGCTCGTTTTGTACCATCTATCCCGCAGTTCGATTTTGACTATGAAATAATTGGCTTCCATGTTTGTTATAAATAACAAACAATTTTACATTCATACTTGATGCTGAGATCAAACAGTACTAATAGCTATCACACCGTGGTATAACCATATCACTCGTTTGCCTTCTTGCCCGTTGACTCATCCTTTGGGAGAGAATTGAGCTGACTCTCGTGTCTGTAATCTGAGTTCAGTGTTAAGTCCTTGTAAAAGTCCAATCGAAAAAGACGTGGTGAATATCTTACGGCTTAAAGGCGATATCCTGGCCCTCGAGAATAGACTCTGTTAGCCGTGGTCTTGATGTTCTGCCCGTAACCACCCACGGCCCACTGAATATATCATCAATCTGCTCTGTTGTAAGCCCAGCAATCTCAGGCACCAGCAGGTAGACATAGAGCAATCCCGCGGCACACCAAGCAGCAAAAAAGACAAATGCGCCCCAGTTATCTGCTCTTACTAATAGCGAGGGCAGCGCAAATGTCATCGCATAATGGAACAGCCAATGAAACGTCTGCGAGAATGCCGCACCAAAAGAGCGGATACGGTTCGGCCATACCTCTCCGCCGAAGACATAGGGGAGGGTCAAAAGCCCTTTGTCAAAGCATCATTAGTTTCACTATCTCTAGTCTTCAGTTTTGTCTGCTTACCTATCGAATATCCGAAGGCATGTATAAATATGGCTGCAAGCCCTGCCTGACTGGCACCTTCAGACGCACCATGGTCTTGCTGCACTTTTATATAGACAGCGAGGTATATATCAGAGGCCATTTGAAGAGCGATCCCGATAAATAGTGAGTTTCGTCGCCCTAGTACATCGATAAATAGAAAAGATGCTAAAAGGCTAAACCCGAACTTGGCGACAGTGTACATTCCGCTGAGGAATAGATTGTGTGTAGAGCTTCCTGCCAGTCCTGCAACTTTCAAAATCGGAACAAAATAGTTCGTGACGGAATTTCCCCCCGAGAACTGCGGCAGTGCGTACATTATGAGCGCCTGTTGTACGCGCCGTATATTTGATGGCCGCGTAAATGTTTCTTTCGCAATTCTGGTGATTTGAAATGATGTTTGGTCATGAGAATCATCGATTCCTTCGAGCGATCGGATAGATTCTTTCATATCTTGCAGCTCTTCCTGGACTCGTGAGTGATCCTCTGGTAGTTGTCGGAGCTTGACAAGAGTTTGAAGCGCCTCTTCTTCCCTGCCAGACAGGATAAGCCACCTCGGGGACTCACAAAGCATAAAACTTGCGATAATCCACATTGCCATAAATATGCATGGTGAAAACCATACAACCTGATACTGTAAGCGACTTTTCGGAATATGTAGCTCCATGCCATAGACACAGAATGTAGATGTCATCAACGCAATCCCCATGCAAACTGAGTACCAGGCTGACAGAAGTCCACGTATCTCAGCAGGGGCCATTTCGACGATTGAAACAGTACCAGTGACGCTCAGGGCCCCTATTCCTAAACCCGAAATAATTCGAGATGCATACAGCCCGGATGACCCGGGACTAAAAATGGCAACAATCTGTCCGATTATCCAAACAATAGTGTATATGCGATAGGACCAAAGACGGCCGACTTTGTCGTTGATAAAAAAAGATAAAGCAGCTCCAGCTGCATCTCCGATGTATACTAGAGACACAAATTTTCTGGTTGAATTAGCGCCAGAGGTGGAGCTGATCCCGAAATGTTCCTGGAAGCTTGAAAGTGAGGAAATAGAAGCGGCCGAGCCTTGGTCCCATGCTAAGGGTTCGCTCTGTTAACAAAGCAAATGGGCATCCCAAATAGAGGTCCACTTACTCAAAGGAATAGCAGCGGTCGCATACATCATAGAGGAAAGAAGCAGGTTTCTACTGAAGATGACCTCTCTTGGCGCAGATTTTATTTTTCTCATGTATGCTACCAGAGCAGTCCTGTTCAAAAAATCATGAAGACCCATCTTGAGCATGAGACCACTAAATGCGGCTGAGGCCAGTAGGAGCTCTTCACGCAATTGAATATTGAAGTATGGTGTGATTCAAGAAGTCTTGAAGAAATTAGATGCATGACGGTACATCGAAGTAGGTGAGACTTGACCGCATCCTCAGACATGGCTTTATAACAATCTGTCTTACGGTCCTGTACTCCGGCTCACATGGATAAAATTGTGGAGTTTGATCCGAATATGATTTCAGATAATTAACCAGAGCGGCAGATCCGCAATCTACTGGTATCCCTCAACTAGACTCATATAATTGGTAAATATGTCTACCAGACCAATGAAATATGGTGCGGATCCCTTGCGTGGTTCAATCAAATCGTGGGATGCACGATCAATAACAACAAGAACGGAAATGCCGCACCAACGGATCCTATCGCGAACAAGCTGAAATGCTCATGCGCAACTACACTAACGCACCCCCGCTTGTGCGACTAGACTAGATCACTGGAGTGGACGAGTCTCTTTGTCCTTCGGACAACCCCGCATCCAACGATCGACAACACTCGCCGAGATAACGGAAATGCCGCCCGGCCACACAGACGGTTTACAATCCACATCTCGATGGCGGCAATTCCGTCCTGGCATTGGAATTCAAATCTCTTAATTAAAAGTGTAGATGAATGAAGCACATCACTTGTATTCTTTGAATATATGTTGTAATCACAGAGCGTCCAGCAATCCTCTTTCAATCTATTTTGTCAGTACAATCCGTCTTGAGACAAAATGAGCAGCCCTGAATCCAATGTTATAATTGTTGGTGGCGGTGTGTTCGGGCTAAGTACAGCCTTGTGGCTCGCTCGAGGTGGCTACAAGAATGTCACTATCTTTGATAGATGTGACTTTGAAAAGAATCACTACAACCCATCCAATGGCTGCGATGGTGCCTCTGCAGACATAAACAAAATCTTCCGTGCCACATACGGCAGCAAAAGCCAGTATGTTATGAGCGAAATCAATCTGAATATCATTGCTAAACTCAATTTTAGCTCCCAAGATCTCGCTCTTGAGGCTAGAGACATTTGGCTCGAGTGGAATCAAGCCATAAAAAATAGCGATCCTTCTGAACTTCCCGACCCACTCACTCCCGAAGATGAGCTATTGACTCTTTGTGGTGTGTTTCATTTGGCCGATGGGCCAGAATTGATTGATCTTTATAATGAAAATCTTCGAGTCATGGGCGAAACTGCTCCTTCGTTCCGCGATCTGCAATTTGTCAAGGTATGAGCAACAAATATGGCTAGTTCTTGCTCCATGTTCTAACATATTACAAAGAACAGCGACAGTGATGAGCGACGCGTCAATTCGTTAGGACCCAACTGGGCCAAGAAATACCATCGCTTTGATACGTTCAGAGATGGTCGTACAAACGGATTTCTTGATGCAGGGTCCGGTATTACTCTCGCAGACAAGGTAATGCCCCGATTCTTCTTCTATCTTTCTTGGGTTAATTTCTATCAGGCCTGCGTTTATGCGCGCCATATTTGCCTGAAGGCTGGAGTGAAATTCATCCTTGGTCGACCTCAAGGCGATATCAAAAGTCTGATCGTTGATGAGTCTGGTTCCAGCAAGCGAGTTACCGGTATACAGACTCAGGATGGCTTGCGCCACAATGCAGACCTGGTCATCGTTGCTTGTGAGCTCCTCCGCTATTTGAGACACTAAATAATACTAATTGTTTCATATAGGTGGTCCTTGGTCCTCGTCTCTTATTCCAGATGCACATCGCTCTGTCGAAGCAACAATGGGAACAGTGATGTTCGTAGATGTTCCTAGCGATCGACAGGATCTTCGAGCAAGATTTCACCCAGACAACTTCCCAGTCTGGAGGTTCTTAGAAGGAGAAGGAGATTCGTAAGATTCCATATTCACAAAGCTCAGACAGGATTAACAATCTAGACAGTGCTTACGAAGGAGGTGGCTTCCCTATCACGAAGGAGGGCAGAATAAAATTCGGGTTTCGTGCTCGCAAGGTATTGTAGACGCTCTTTCTTTCCTTGATATCATATTTTATACTAATTTCCATCGATCCAGTTTACCAACTTCCAAGCCCACCCATCCCAAGAGAGTTTGTGCGTCTTTAAATTGAAAGCAAAACATATACCCCGCTTATTGAAACTAATATTACCAACTCTTCCAGGAAGATATCGACCCCTCGGACAAAATACAGCCCGAATCCCATCAACACCGTGCCACTTTATGGACTGAAACAAATGAAGCGAGTGATAGGTGGATTGTTCCCTGAATTAACTGAGATCGGGTTCACGGATAGTCGTGTTGGTGCTCTCTTTTCCTCGATTTTATCGCACTTGACTGATAATAAGAATAGTTGTGCTGGTACACGGATAGTATTGACAACGAGGTACGTCTTTTCTTCGCTTCAGATAGGAGCACAAACCGCTAATCCAGATCAGTTTGTCATTGATTATGTACCTGGGTATTCTGACTCGTTATTTATTTGCACGGGTGGCTCGTGAGTATTCAATTAAAATAGGCCGCAGTAACCTCAACTCATACTTTACAGTGGACATGGCTTCAAGTTCCTACCGATTCTCGGCAAGGTTCGTTCATTCGCATTAATTATCTCAATTTACCAGGGCATATCTAACACAATTCTCCCCTTAGTACGTCAAAAATCAGCTGGAGAGAAATCCAGATCGCTTTACCCCTCTGTGGAAATGGCGAACTGTTGAGGAGGGCAAAAAATGCAATGGGCTTGAAGAAGGGGAGACAGGACCTCGTGACATGTCAAAGCTGAAATTAGCCTCGCGTATGGTTGTCCATCTCCATTTGTTCTGGATATTGCTGAAATTACTATCTCGCAGCTCATGATTTCCATTTTCGCATTAACAGCCCCCTCTGATACTCACTCAGGGGCTTTATGTGGGGTAGCGGAACCTCCACGGGAAACCACAAGCATACGACTATGAACCAGTTATGGTATACTCAATTTTTCAAGATTTTTCATGGAGCTTTCAAAATACTATGCGATAGAGGTAAGCTCCACACATTTAAATATACGAAATAAGAACAAACTGTGAATATGTGTATCAGCATCCTCTGTCGAATAGACGTAAACATAGTGAAAAACTTTCATGGACCTGTTCCGAATCTATAAAGAAAAAAATTTCAAGCGTGCATCATGATAAATGATTTGCTCCAGCATGCCTATCTTCCAGGTGTTCCAATCCATATCCTTCTCAACTCCAAACGCAGCCCATATGCCATCACAACGTTGAGACGGCGGGTGAGTTACACAGAGTTGGCGATTCCATCGCCCACAGGGCCAAACCCCCATATACTTGGTACGCAACCGGCAAACTCACAAGTAAAAAAACCCTTCAAGCCCTGGGATCATTGTGAATTTAACGGATAAATTGCAGACCAATGCACAAAGCGGGATGTACGCAGCCTTAATAGGCTTGGAATGAGAATCTTGTTTACTACTCTAGTCAAACTGTTCCATAGTTGCCCTTAGGAAGGAAATCGTCTAAGTCTCACTCGACACACTTTATTATTCAACAACTTGATGCACATCCTACATAATTAAGATAGCCCAATGTTCATGTTTATTTTATTTTAATGCTGCTTATGTCATCGGTTTACGCGACTCAACGCGCACATAGCGATTTGAATAGGAATTCACACCATAAATCAGTCCTGAAATGGATAAAGTAATCGGATACTGACCTCAGATTCCAGAGCTATTCATTCAAAAATAATTATTCAGATTCCAATTATGTGGTTGTCCTTTTTCTTCCTCCATCATTAAAATTCACGTGACGCGCACGGTGGCCTGCGACAAAGAAGGATCAGATTTGTACCGAGGCACATTAAGCCAAGATGGAAATATTTACTTTGATTCGCTTATTCTCTCCCAACGACCCACCTATCCTCGGAATGCTGGCCAGTTCGATTGTATTTTCCCAACGAACCCTCCCTTTGCGCCTGGCCCTTCGGATCAACTTCCAAATTCGAATTTTCTGATTATCTACCATTCGGACCGGATTTTGGTATATAATGCTGGATTATTAGGTAAAGGAGATCCCCCATCCCATATTCTCGCGGAATCGCCGTTTCGCTTTCGCAAGTCTTCTAAATATTTTTCAAGGTTGCTCATGAGCAGCGAGTCCCATTGAATCCGCTAGCCCCTGTCAAAAATGGCTCCACAACCACTGCCTTTCCCCGGGTTCACCGCGATATCTGATCGGGTATACCTTCGGAATGGGAATGAAAAGGCCAAACCAGCACTAGCTCATGAGCCAACAACTATCGTTATCTTCGGGTGGGGCGACGGCATGCCGAAACACGTCTCGAAATATTCCGAAGGCTATAATGACCTATTCCCCGTGCCAGGATCATTGTTGTACTATCTCGCACCTTTCAAGCATCTAATCAACCCCTCGACGCCCGGGTTGAAGCAATGCTACCCGTGATTGACACGGTATTCCCAATGCCCACCGGAAGTGGTAATGGAGAGGAACGAGTCCTATTACATGCCATGTCGAACACCGGAGGCATCTTCCTCGCAGCCGCATTTACTGCGTATCAACAACGCCATGGCAGCGACAAGAAGCTTCCCCATGCGCTGTTAGTATGTGACTCTACGCCAGGTAGCTTGGACTTCGCATCCCAAGTCGGCCGTTGGTCACGAGCAATGGCTGTCGGGACATCGAAATACTTCCCATGGCCCTTTGCAGTCACGCAAGGCCTGTGGTGGATGTTCTTGTGGGCAAATTATGCATGGGAATTACTACGTGGTACTGAACCCTCGGGAGTTTGGGCGACTCGAGTAATGAATGATCATGATATTGCTCCGGTCGAGACAAACAGACTCTACCTCTACTCCAAGGAGGATGAGATCATCTGGTGGGAGGATTTGGAGGAGGCTGTTGCTAAGGTAAAAAGCCAGGGCTACAAGGTTGACCTGGAGATATTCGAAGGCTCGCCGCATGTGGGCCATATGAGACTTCATCCTGAGCAATACTGGGGCAAGATCTCTACTGCCTGGGGTGAGGCCCAGCCTACATGCTAGACTGAACGGAGTGTCCATCTATCACTGTATAATAAACTTGTACATTAGACATAATATAAAATCTAGACCTATCATTCATGCAGAAAGCGCTCCCATCCATATCTATATTTTTCTAATCGTCCAAAAATATGACGACTGAGTCCATGACCACGTGGAATATCGAAATTTTAAGCAAAAGTCGATGAATAGGCTTGTGTTGTCATTCTTTTAACTTCAAACACAGGCGAAAGAGATGATACGCCACGACTCAACTTTTCTCATTTTGCCCGATAGAATATCCGTTCTCGGCCAGATATTGTTCCAAAGATCTATCCTCCTTTTCAAGATCGAGGTTACTGCTCTCTGGTAGGAGACAATAGACAGCAATACCAAGAATGGCCACGCCGCCCGCTAAGTAGAATGTCGAACTGTTTCCAGCAGCAGTCTGCAACGGGGTAAAACACTCAGTGCCAACGGCGGCACCAGTTCTTCCAAAGGCAGTCGCAATTCCATAGCCCATTCCTCGCATGGCTGTAGGGAAGGCTTCAGAGGAGATAAGTCCAATTGTTGCGCCTGGCCCCATATGTCCAAATGCCTGTAAAAGACCATATAAGACAACAAATGCAGCAACGTTCTTCGAAAGCTTGTCATATGTGCCTCCGATAATAAAACCGAGGACCATGTAGCCCGCAAAACCTAGGATTCCAGTGTTCCGACGGCCAATTGCATTCGTGAGCCAGGCACCAATCATGACGCCTGGTACGGGAAGAACCGCTAAGATGACTTGCCAGATTGCGGTTTTTCGGATATCGCTATCTTTCACGAGTGATGCAATAATTGTGCTTGACATGATACTGTTTGGAAAGTTGATGAAGTCGTAAAGGAAGAATGCGAGAGATGTTGTCAGAATGCGCCACCAGTATCGACGAGCGAGAAGGAGGTATAGCTTTGGCGATCGGCGTTGTTTTGTAAGGTTAGAATCATGGAATAAGACGGAGTCAGTCATAAACATGCGTAGAACAATGATTATCAGAGGGATAATAGTAGCAATCGAATATATCGCATGAAAGGTGACCGTAAGGTTGTTATCACTCGCGACCAAGCAAATAAGATAAATAATTTGCAGAATCGGACCAGCAAGCGTGGCCATCAGCGTGGTGAAGGAGACAAAAAGTGGCCCTCTGTATTTTCTCATGACCTGTGGTACTCAAGATTAACAAAGATTTGGAGATAAAATAGATAAATGGGGGAACATACAGTGTCTGATTCCTCAATGCCTGCAGCTGCGCTTGGAGGATATTCACCCCCAACACCAAAGCCTGCAATGCCGCGCGCTATGACGAAATACCAGAGCATATTGTGTGATGGATGCACGCTGAGAGCAACGGTAGACATCAATGTACCAATTACCACCAGCGAGGAGGTAAAGAGTAGTCCAGACCGTCGAGAGAACATGTCGGAAGTATAACCTAAAACAACGACGCCCAAAATCGCTCCGATAATCAAAGAGTTACTGATTCGCGTCTTCATGTTGGCAGAATAGCCAGCCGACCCGAGTAATTTCTTGAAAATAACATTGGTTGGATTTGCCAGGCTGTTCTGAAACCCGTCACTGAAGTTTGCAATATACTATGGTTGTCAGCGTTAGAAGGGATGTCGATAAAGGCCTGATCTTCTGTGTTGCGAAACTTACACAGCTGACGATGGTCACATTACTCTGCCACTTCTTGCGACAGTGTGAATTTTCAGAACCATCACCTTTCTCTTCTCCGATAATGACAGCCTCGCTTTTGCTGGCGAAGTCCGCCACATGAGGCTCGTCGCTCTGATGATTTATTGACATGGCGCAGAAAATTCTTCAGATCTCATAACCATCAAAATATTTTCAACAATCTCGCACGGGGAATCATCTGCATATGTTAGTTGCAATCAGATGCACCTAACTCTCTAGTTGTTCCACTTTGTGATAAGGGCGCATCCAGACAAAAAATTTCCATCTTAGCCCCCGACCGACCCACAGCTGATCGGTTTGACACACTCCCCGCGGAGATAAATAAGCATTGAACAGAGTCGTGTTTGATTATCTGAAGTTTTTTGTTATCTTTGGTCATCATTTTATAGGATATAGTAATTGTTATGTAGTCAGAGGTTCCAAAAGTCTGCAGTCAATAAACGGTCGCTCGCGGATGCATGGATTCTGTGTGGTATGAAATGTCGGGTGAGTTGTGGTCGGCCGCCCGCCAAATGCTTATTTTGAAGAGCCAAGCGGCCTAAGCTTCAGCGTGGCGTAGAAACTGTCGGAGAAGGGCTTTGCCGGTTGTCTGACCAAATATCAAGATAAATTTTTCGATCTTATAGTTCAATTTATTCGATGTGAGTTCGGTCTCTAATATATGAACCATTCAGTATTCCCTGGTGAGAAGCTTTGAGTGCTGACATTGCAGTCTAACCCAGACTAGAAATGGCCTCTGGATTTTGTTAAACTTCTTGCTTCCTTTGTCTGATAGCCAGATTTTTCGAACAATGAACTTTTCCTTTATTCCACAGCTTCTATTTGAGAACACGCAATGCAAGTCGGCAATTTGGACCTAAGGGCAAGAACTTCCACCGAAAACGAGTCACCTTATTCAAAGACATTCTTGATGTTCAAATGGGCACGTACTATCAGTGCGAACATAACGGAGACCGTACTGCTTGTTAAGATATGGAAAGAGTCCTTGGCCCGTCCACTTACGAACCCGAAGATACATCTTTAAGTTACCGCTACTTATCGACCTCGACGGAAATAGTATGAGCACACGATTTTATCATCCTTTATCGCGAAGGACGGTGGTTCTCAAACAAACTTGGTTTCAAGAATGGCATACTGATCGTCTTATTCCGCGGGCTCATTAAATTCCTATCACAATGGAGATGAAAGGGCTTCCTTTGCTCATCAATGATCCTGAAGGAGAGCGTCTGTCCGCGGAGATTGCCGAAGCTGGTTACACGTGGTCAAAGCAGGTTCCGAGGAAAATTGATATCTCAATCTATCTCTACCGACTATTCATAGAATTAGCAGATCTCTACGGCCCAATTGACCCCCAGAGTGATGGCTTCTAATCAGCAACGGAAAGAATCCTCTAGAACTGAATATTTATTATTGAATAAGCTGAATATTTATGAGACTCTAATGCAATTGAACTAATGATCTATTTTAGAAACCATAACCCTTGCTCCTTTGTAGTCTTACTCCTGTTGTCTTCTTAAAGGTGATACTGGCGAGCATTATCGACTGTAATACCCAGCCGTCCCCACATGGCTTCCACATTCATATCTTCTTGGCCACTGGAAAGCTCGTTAGCATTTGAGTGGCTTATACTTGAAAGGGGACAACCTACTCTTGCTTCTCGTTGATCCAAGGTTCTGTCGCGCCCTCCGCGGTATTGGGGTTGCGGAAAATGACGTTATATTTCTGCGACAGCCATATTAGCACGGGGATGAACAAACTGGAAGCAGATATCCAACTGCACTGAGTTACTCACCATTCCCAAAGTAAGATGAATCGCCCCGGGGCCTTTAACGAAGGTATCTTCCGCATTTTTGCCCTCAATTAAAGACAGGATGTTCTTTGCAACCACTGCAGCTTGTGCCGAGCCCGGTCTGGCGGCTTTTTGTGCGCCTGTGTCGGCAATGTCACCAACAGCAAATATATTCGAATATTTTTCATCCAGGAGCTGCATCGTTGGCCGAATTCGAAGGAATCCGTTGTCAGGGTTGATCACGGATGAACCATCGGGCGTCGAGGGTGTCAAGCCAGTGACCATCTGATTATTCGGTGTTTGTCCGGTCGCCAGGATCACAAGCTCAGTTGATTCTGTCGTCCCATTTGTTAACTGCACATCGAACGCGTTTCCATCATTGGGAAACCCCCCCGGATGGGATGACGACCCGGGACCCAGTAACCAATCGAACGCCGAGCTCATCAAATCGTTGCTTAACAAGCTCGTGGAGCTTTGGGTGGAAATTTGGCATCACGCGCGGGCGTGATTGTACCACAGTGACATCCTTCTCTGGGTAGTACTCTTTCAAATCGGTGGCCATTTGAACTCCAACAGCACCACCGCCAACGATCAATATTGACTTTGATCTCTTGACATCGGCCTGGTGTTTCTGTAGGTACTCGACCGAGGGCAACTTTTCATCGCTATCCATTGCTGCAGGCTTGGAGAGCCGAGTGCCAGTCGCCAAGACAACATAATCAAAAGGAATCTGTTTGGTTCCTTGCCATTCTCGGTCGAGCTCGATATGTTGCGAATTCACTGACAGGACGCGAGCCTGAACAACGCCATGTGCGGCGGGGTTGGGTGCGCCAGAAAAGATTTCGCTGTAAGGAATGAAGGCCTTGTGCTCTTGTCCGGGGACAATGGCGAATCGGGGCTACCACGATGATTAGCAAAGATCCATAAGCACCTAGCGGTGCTATATCTCTCGACAAACTCACAAATGTGAAAAGATGATGAAAATGGCTATGGGGTTCGGTTAGGAGGACCTAGTACTTGTGTGAGTATGCCAGTCATTGCAACAAGAGGTGAATCGAAACCCAACCTACTCTGTGGGTTGGAGGGATTATTTTCGCGAGCTCCTGGGCTGTTCCCTGTGTCAGATGTCAGAATGGGTTATGCCATAGTCCAGTTGGTTTTCTAATGTCACTCACGCGACCGACGAACGAGCCTCCGACGACGATGATGTTCCGAAGAGTGTTAGCTACCATTGTATGTGCTGAGAAAGGATTAAAAGTACAGAGAACCGGAGCTACAGAGGCAGCAGCTGCCGTTATAAATACCCCGGAATTTCTAGCAAGCGCCCTACTTTTTATCTGATTAACTCCGAGCAAAATTACCCGTTGAGGAAATGTCCGAGGCGTCCGGAGAAGTTCACAGCCGGGGCGGTCCCCCACCGCAGCCGATGGCGCCACTGGATTGCCGGGCAAGGGACGGGGTGGCGGATCATCGTCCGACGATACTTGCCGAAGATCCTGCGAGTACTTCTAAGTTTGTGTTGTGGAAATTGAACAAAATTATTCAACTCTTGAGCACTTTCAATGTTCTCTTCTGTAGGGGGAGGGGGGGGGGCATGTAAATTGAAGGGCCAAATCACACACACCCCTTTGTCTATTTATCCAATGATAAGACAGCGTTGTGGATACACAGTGGGGTGGAGTAATCGTTCGAAGCAATCGATCGAGATTAGGCATACCTCATCGCTATGACTCAAGTCTATTCAACCAGAAGGACTTGGATCTGCAGCGGTGAATCGGTCGCTTACTGGACTAGGACAGTCAGGCAAAATTATTCGTAATGGCTGATCTTAAGTGGCTGAAAAGCCAATAAATGGTTAGAATCATGGAATAAAGATAGGAATCTGATAAGAAGGCAATAATAAATGCAAAGTAGACCAGTCGCTCGGATGGGATAGCGGAACTGACTACGCTTTCCTCATCGCTATAGGCCATAGAGAATTTTTTTTTTGAAAAAGTCAGAATATAGAAAAAAGGCCATTTGGGGTTTCAATAAATCCACTTCAATATTATCTGTCCATCTTGCAACACTATCTTCCCAGTACTATCCACATACATATTACTATTACATCCATCAACGGCGAGAATGACAATTTTGAGTCCAAATCCGCTAGAAATAAATCACTCCATGGTAATCTTAGCCACCTTCCCGGGTTCCTTGAACGTTCCCAAGACAGGCGCCACTTGTCCACCGCTTGTTCCCACGTAGAGGGTCTTGCGGTCACTTGTCAGGCGGCAGGATGTGGGACCAGGGATTTGTGTAGAAAGCTGGCCTCCGGCAACCAACGAGATCTGGCCGTAGGGAGTGATACGAACGACAGAGTTTTGGGGATCGGTAGCAATATAGGCGGTACCATCCGGGGCCACGTCCATATTGTCTGGCAAGAATCCACTTGCAATGACCTCAAATTCTCCGACCGCATTGGCATTCTCATCGACCTTGACGCGACAGAACTCCATCCGTGTTGTACTCGAATAGTAAATGTATCCATCCACCAACTTCAATCCGTTTATTCCCAAGGGCAAGGCTTGTCCCTCCGCTGGCATCATTGTTGTGTCGTTCAGGGCGATTTCATAGTCACCAGTCTTGGTGTTGACTTTCCAAACAGCTCCCTTTGGGCTGTCGGCGATCAAAACAAGGTTGGAGTCTTCAGTGAACGCGGTCATTCCGTTCAGAGCCTGTGCCTCGGGGAGTGCAGCGATGTGCGATACCGCTGCGACCTGCGATACTCGCTCATTTTCCTCCGCTTCGATATTGAAATCCAATTTTTGAACGGTAAATGACCCCGGAGTAGGCTGGTAGGTCGTCGTGGAGAAGTTTCCTACCACTACCGCGAATACGTCGTCTTCAATTTCGGCGATACCGAAGCAGCTCGTGGCGTTGGAAAAGGAATGGGCGAGTGTCGCGTTTCCGCTTGTAGTGTTGACCGACCAGACTTCAGGTACATCTAGCCGAGTGAGGAGTAGATTTCCATTTGATCGCAGCACGATGTTGTCGACCCAAGAGCCGTTTTCAGGAAACTGGTAAAGTGTTTCAACCTTCACTTTTGGCTCATCGTTGCGGTAAGGGGTCACCGTCTCAGTGTAATACAGAGGCCAGGATGCGAGAACACAAGGCAAGCTCGCCAAAGCACCCAGCCAGGTGGACTGAATGCGCATGATGCAACGCCTGCGAAGTGAATATGAGGTCAAAGATTTGTGTGGTTAGCGTAGGCCTCTGCAAGTCTGTAATGAGAGATTGACAGACAAATAAGTGAATTGCGGATAATTCACCCAGGAGTTCTCTAAGTAGTGGTCAACATGTTGATGTACCATATCAATCCAACATTCCTTCCACTGGGCTTGTGTCCTTAACAACCATCCCTACATTCCAGGGGCTTCACTGGGGGCTTCACTGAAATATTAACTCCGGTCGGACGATGGGTCGATATCGCGTTTACAGGGGCGAGACCCCTGAACTTTTTGTGGATTCACATTTCAAATAAGGTTGGCTCCGTGTTTTAGCTGTGATCAACGCTACGGGCGTCTCGTATGCTCGCATTTACTACTTTAGAGCCAAAGACTCGGATAAATGACTCCTTGGTATAAACGATATGGAGGAATTTCATTTGCATGAAAGGTCATCTTTTACATTTATCTAATTTGCGTTTTTTTTTGCCATGGAACTGAAGCATTCTTGATGGTAGTACTAATAGTGAGTGGTTCTTGCAAGTTTGGATCTGCAGTTGCGGGGAGTATATATCGCAAGTGGCCAGACAGTCAGGGCAGAGCTTGGAAGCTCCGAGTCACTGTAATTTACGGTGAAGTTAAGCCAATCAAATAATTATTAAACCGGCGGCAAGTTGCCTCCTTATGAAAGACAGGCCAAAAACCCAATATGCTATCGACAACCTTGGAAGTTTTGAAGAGTGGCAAAGTTCGGAAATACAGGGGGGGCCAAATGCAGATAACCGAAGACCCCATATAGCCGACTCAACCCACCCCCGTCCAACTTGAAATAGCCGAGCAAAGCCGAGTCAATAAGCCTGCTGGTCTGCGCTATGTTAACCATTTACCCCACAACTTTTGGAAGCAGCCTATCTCAATAATCATAATGGCGAGCGTCACTTCCGATAAACCACGAATGCGCGCAAAGAAGGCTTGCTTGGCCTGCAACTCTCGGCGAGTGCGATGCAATGTGCTCGACATGCAACCATGTCGCAACTGTGCGGCATGGAATCTTACCTGTGAACTGGGGGTATCGCGGCGTGGAAAGTAAGCACAATTCAATTCAGCCCACTTCCTGGAATGGCATATCAATATATCGATCCTTAGGTATCCTCGCCGAAAGAAGAACAATTCTTTGGCTTCAGCTACTGCGGAAACGTCCCGCATAGAGGAGGGCGCGCTAGAGGGGCAGTCACTGCAATCAGAACCTCTGCAAAATCACTCAAGTCTTTACAAACCCTCTGCGCGACCATCTACAGCTGAAAATACTATCCAAAAAACTGTCTTTCTCGGCGAATCGAGCCCTCTGACATGTGTGGTGGACGAGGGAAGACGATCACCCGACAAAGGGTATGCTTGCGGGATCCAAAAGGGTCGGCTTCATTACTCTATTCCAGAAGCGTGCAGCCCCGAGGAATCCGGTGATACCTCACTTGGGCTGCAGCGGAAATCCCTGCAGGAACGTCTTATTCGCGAGAGTGCCCTGGTCTTTCCAGCCCCTACAGCTTGTGAAGTGCTTATCCAAGCATATTTTGAGTGGTTTCACCCTTGCTTCCCCATTCTGGACCGCCCGCAGGTACAAAATGTGTATCAAGAGAATACGATATCGCCTTTGTTGCTCCAAGGCATGTTATTCGTCGGGGTAAGCCTGTGTTCAGACCTCACCTTAAAAACAATTGGATTCGCCGATCGCTATCAAGCCAAGGGGGTTTTCTATCAGCGCGCGAAAGAAATATACGATGTCGGGTGGGAAACCGACACGATCGTTAAATTACAGTCGCTATTTCTCCTGAGCTTCTGGCGCGGAGGTCCGACCGAAGAGCGAGATGTGCGCTTTTGGCTTGGGGCTGCCACTGACCTGGCGCAAAAAAAGGGAATGCATGTGATGTGAGTTTTCACCCTCAATGGTGTCATTCTCAATACACAAGCTGACGATGCAGGTCGAAATTATCATTTCTGAGCTCTCGCGACCAGAAAATATGGAAGAGGATATGGTGGGCTCTATACGTAAGTCATATATCAAGCTATGCCGCGATGGAATTTCGCATTGATAGCCTCGCAACAGGTACGCGATCAACAAACATCTGCTGCCTTAGGTTTGCCATCTCGGATTCGCGATGAAGATTGTGAAGCCGCAGAGCTGGAACCATCTGACTTCGAGGAACTTGATACTACTGAATTCTCCGAAGTCTTTCGAAAACCGCCCACTGCGCATGTCAATTATGTGATCGGAATGGCTCAGCTTGCAAAACTATGTTAGTACCAATATAGGGCGACAAACAAGAGAGAAATATTACTTACACTTCGCGAAGTACGAGAGGTTGTCACCAGTCAATATCTGCCAGGCCGCTCAAAGCTAGACAATCCGCAGCGCTCAGCCCTTCACCAGCAATTGGTCGAGTGGGAATCAAATCTGCCACAGGAGATGCATTTTCAATCGTCTCCTAGCCGACAGGTCACCTATCTTGTGGGGATGCTGCATATGGCTTACAAGTACCCAATCCACCCAGCCCCTACGAAAGAGACCTATTGTCCTGACAATGCGCAGTAATTTGTATGTACTTCTGTACCGACCGATATTTTTGCAACCTCCAAGTGCGTCGATGAGTCTGGAAGGGAATATCGCCTTGGATGCAGCGACAAGAAGTACTCGAATACTCGAAGATATGCTCTCGGAGAATTTAGTACAGCATGGTTTGGTCCACCTGTGAGATCTCCCCTCTCTTCCTCGCAATAATGACTCCACCCAGCTAACGTCTCGTCTGAGTAGTATCACGCATACCTTCTCTGCTCTATGTATTCATACGATTCATTTCGGACGAGTCACCGGCACAGCTCGCAAGCTGGCCGAACACAGGGCAAAACTCTGTCTCCTCGGTCTTAAAGAACTCCAAAAATCATGGGATCTGGAGAATTGGGTTTTAGATCTTTTCTTTCGATGCTTGGATGACCGCACTGCGAAAAATCTGCGACTGGCCGAGGCGGACTGCCTTCAACGCTGTCTACTCAACTTGCAAAAGGGTCTCCAATTCCAGATTCTCCATCATTCAACATGACTTACGGCAACATTGCCCAACCCCTATCCCCAGCCTCTCATAACAACGAGATGATGATAAGCACGCAAGAAGCCCCTTTCCCCAACCTCTCAGAAGATGCTGCGATCAATATGGACTGGTATGAGTTGTTTAACAACACAGAGGGAGATGATGTCATGGGGCTGGCGGGCCCTTTGACGAATCCGGACTATCTCAACCCGCAAAATCTGGAATTTTTGTATAGATTTTTATGATCTGGCAGTATATGATCTTTTTCAGTGTTGATGATAATTTTAGCGAGACGAGGGAGTCCTGGGTCCATCGTACTTGGTGCTTGACAAGGCTGGCGCAGATCTTTCCGGAGTGGATGTCTTCCAGCCCCAAATATCACACCCGTCCGATGATGACAATTGGCGATTCCCGCATGCCGTGTCACTTGCCAGGATGTACGACCGGAGCTGCATCATGAAAATCCTCCGCCTTATGTCTTGGCCCTCGCCTTTTGCCCGCTTGATCGTCACGCTTGAGCTTAGGTCGACCTCTAGACTCGGAAGCCGGCCGATAGGGGATGCTGTATGGCCTGTGCAAAGCGGCGCGTCAAGGGAAATCAGCCCCTGCAACTCTTACAACTTCAGTTCTGGTCGATTGACAGGACGAGAAAACCCACCACGAATTTCAACCTGGTCAGAGACTGGCCTCAAGTCTCCTGGACATTGGGTTTGCATCAGATTTTCCGTTGAAAGAACCCACACGGACTGATATCACGCTAAGAAAGCTAAAGTTACGATCGCCATCAAAAGCGTCATGCGAGTCCACAACGATTGTCGCTCAGCGATGACCTGTGAGACTGTCCCTCCACTCCACTTGTTGCATCCTTCGACATGAAAATGGCCCCAGGCGAGCATGGCCCTGGCTTGATCGCCGGCGTGTGCAGGTTGAAGCATCGCATCCCATTTTGTGCGATGCTCCAATGTGATTGCCCACGCTGCGCTCTCTAACACATTTACAAATCGCGTCAAGAGGGATTGGGTCAAGGTATTACGAGATCCATGCGAATAGGGGAGTACCCGAGACTGGTCGTTTCAATATATGGAGAGGTTTCGGTTTGGCCGAATGTATGGAGAACCGGGCCAGATTCTTGCAAGTCGCAAGATCTATTCCTTACAGAGTACGGTCGCGCGATTTGCGAGCTGACGCAGGTATTGAAAGCCGTGACTGCCGGTACGATCTTGATACATCGAGACTTCAAACGATAATGGGCAGGTGTCGTGAGTAACACGCTCAAGTGGAACGAGTGCTCCCATACATCTCCGGCAGCCCAAAGCTCATCCCGGTAGATTTTATTGGACGCCTTTTGCAGCCCTTGGACTATGCTCAAACCTGGCGGAATTCTTGTATGGTGAAAGATCCTTTCTCGAATATCACGCATGGAGGGGCGACCAGATACGGGGCGGGGTCAATTATGTCGCAGATCTGGTCAAATACGTCTTTCGTGAGGTAGCACATTGCCCTAGTCATCATCTCAAACTAAGATCCTTGAATTTGTCCACTTGCGCCCGCCTGACAGAACGGAAGAAGCATGCTAGGCGAATCGAATCATCTTGACCACCAGTCGCTGCATCGGGCCCAGAGGGACCGTTTCGCCGGCTTGAACTCGAATAGGCCATTTTCTTGATCATTAGTATGATGGGCTGATCGGGGCAATGCCCGCGCAAGTCGCGATTCCGGCCTCAGAGCTATTAACCTTTGCCGAACTCCGAGAGAGTGAAAAGCCCATTTAAGATAGGAGTTACAGGGTATTGGTACACGTGGGACTGGCAGTGGACATAATAGGCGATACACTACAGATCTAGATTTCCCATTCATCGCTGTGATGCATGCAAATATTCTCAAACTCAAGAAGTTGGAAGCTTAGATGTTTGCAGCTACAATACATTTTACTTAGAGCAACGTTGTTGCCACTAGATAATGAAGATATCTCTGTTATTTGATGCATTAGTACTCCGTACGGAAGATCTAGTTCCCGAGATGCGATGCTTCTTTCTAGAATTACGAGACTGTCGTCGTGGCCTGAGACTTGGCCGTTCGCGGCCACTCTGATATAACGCCGCTGCCTGCTGGCCATGGCCAACCTTCCAGGTCCATCCATCAAGGGGCCCACTTATCTCAAACACGGCCTGTGCGCGATCCGACCGCAGCCATGCACATCACTAATTCCGGTCAACACTTCGGTACTCGAACAATCCGGCGAGATAGAACGTCACTCGTTGTCAGAATACCCATGTGAGCCGAGGGAATATTCAGAAATCGAGCTTTATTGGTCGCCCTAGAGCGAGGCTGGGTGAATACCCCAGAAGAAACATGGAAACAATATGGGGAGGAATGCTTCGGAGAGTTTCTGTTACATTTCTGAAAGCGATTGTCCTGACCGCAAGGGGTAGGCGGTTGGACTTCGAGGGGACCTTGTACCTGCATGTGAAGGTCGCTGCCCCTGCAGGCACCATTTTTGGGGAACGATGATAGCCCCTCGCCCCTCGCCCCTCAAGGATCCATATGATCCATATGATCATCGGCCAAACGCGGGTACCTGGTCCCTAGTGGAGATTCGCAGAGACGTCCAGCCACCTCTGCTTGCGTGTCGCTGTTTCTCTGATAGGATCGATCTATGCTAAGCATTCTCCTATGACTTTAGCTGCTGCTCGGCTGGCCAGTGGGAACACCGCGTCTGCGCTACGTAACGTCATAAGGGATTGGCCCTTGTGTGAATGGCCAACCCCCGCTGATCGCGATCGGCCTAGTGGACTTCCGCTGTGATCCGTCAGTCTTGCCACAGTTTGCGTGATTCATGTGTGATTCGCCAATCGTTCTATTCTTAGTCGGGATAGTCGCGGCATGACAGCTCCCAGGGATTTCCATGGATTTCTCTTTTTCTCTGTTGCTGCCTCGGCTATATATAGCCAGGGCCATCCCCAGCAGATCGAGTCAAAAATCTTATGTCATAGATTTTACTCGTACTCTTCGTACAAGACACATTACACGCATTTAGTACTCAACCTACCACTTTATTCTACCTCCAATCATCTGAACCACTATCATACACCTTCAAAATGACTTCAGCACGTGCGTCAAGTGAGCGCAGTGGCTCCATTCAGTCTGAAGACCGACCCAAGACATCGTTCCAGACCAAGGCCGACCCTAATATGGCACTTTACGAGGCCCAACCCAGTAAGATCGCGATTTCCATTTTGCCGGCTCATCCGGAAGAAAGTCAAACCTGAAGCTAACACTCCAGCAGTGTCCGTGAACACCGAACCTGGCGCCCGTGACCAATACTCCCTTCGCAGTATTCAACATAAGGACCGAAGTGGTAACATCATCAGTATGTTCAATCTCCAACTCATATCAAAATACTCGTTGAGCTCAATTGCTGACTGTATCTAGCTGATCCCGACCAGTCTAACCCGACACGAAACCGTCTCGAGCGACCTCTAGACACAATCCGGTCATTTGAAGCCGCCATCGACTCCCAGCGGAGACAGGATCGAATGTGACGGAAATAATAAATGATAATTTGGGAGTTTTAAGGGTTCCAAGGATTACGATGCTTATGGGATACTTTATGGTTTTACTTTTTGTTTTTACGCACCCGGGATGTATGACTATTTGTGATTATTGAGAGCTCTTCGGGATATTGAATATACCTACACTTTTATTCCTCAGACAAAGACTTTCTCTTTAGTAGTGTTGAGGCCTATGTGAAGGACGAAATGCAGGAAAGTGGTGGATGAAAGGAGAGAGAGGCTACTGCCTATAAGATATAAGACAAAGACACAGTATCCTGGATACCCAAGGCCTGCCGGACTAAGAAGGTACGGAGAGCTTGTAGCGGTTGGGATGACTGAGTGAGGAGGCGAGCCCACGTGAGATAGTCTACGCGAGGAAGTCCAATCATTTGTGTCGAGGCAAAAATACCACCGTACAGAGCCAAAACTGTGCGTGCGCACTTTTTGGTCGAATGGCACAATTTGCCCTATTTCTGTCACGAAAATTTATGGGGAAGATATCCTTGTGTATCGTTAAGGCTAGATCAAGATCCCGCCACCAAATGCCTGATGGATTGATATGCAAGATTTCCCCAGATCGTCTTTCTTGGCATTGCGATCGGATCCAATATCTGATCTAAGAAACGATTCTAAAAAGAGATACTAGGCCCCCAATGGTGGCACCGCCGGAAAGTGACCGGCGTTTGATCCATCGTTCCAGTAACTGCCAATCAGAAGTCAAGATGTAAGATAAAGTCATGTCGCACGGAGCAAGCAGTCAGAAGGCTTATCCATCGGGGTAAATTAATTGCGCAACGGCATTATTTTTGTGGGTAGTGTAGTGAAGCTTAACCATGCAGAGCAACCATCTCCGAGTATACTAGCTGTATGAATAAATTTGCGCTAGCCTCTTTTTTTACCACACGATACGACCCAGAAGTGAAGCTAGGCTATTCTTGCACTGCAAAATAGGGAGTGGATGAAAAATTCACGACACAAGCCGCGGCAACACTCAAAATATAGAAAACTGCGCGGCGTTGTTTGTGGATGGTGAGGGACACGTACTGCCGACGCCATCCAAAGGTAGGGCCCCACTCCACCACGTCAGCCGACGAATATTTCCACAAGGCTCACCAGCTTCTCAAAAAGTCTTATCCAACCGATCAAGAACATCTCACATACCGTTACCATGAGCTGGAGAAGTGTCTCAGGTGCTGATAATTATTTTTTGTTTCCATGAGCTGCGTACCTGGTGAACTTCCTGCATCGCCTCATGGATACTCGTACGACGAAAGACGCCGGCTCAACACTTAGAACACGCTAACGAGCGCTAGACTGCAGAAACATGGCCAATTTTGAGTTGGGTGGAGTACTATTGGTTGGCCGATATCGATTGTTCGGGACTAGTGAACCGATTCGTATCTAAATTAGCCCTAGCAATGCTGGTTGACGCGGTCCATCAATCCATCATCTCCAACTAGGAAAAGTTGACATCCGGGCACCCGCCCAAGTCTGGTGTTTGTGAGGGACCGGTGATTTCTTTGGCCATTAGCTCGGTGGATGCTGGCTGGGTCGGCTATACGCGTCCCCCTCATGTTGTCAGGGGCAAAGTAGCAAATCAGGACAATAGGAATCACACTAGAAACTATTAATGGACATGGGAGGCAAAGCCACCCGGGGTGCTTCTTCTCCTCTGACATTGATTTCCATTCTCATCAGTTCTAACGAACGTTGACATTCACTCTTTTCTAATCATCCTTCGTTCCTCTTCTTTCGCTCGTATTCGAACCCTTTTTGGAGGCATCCTCCGTTCACTCGCTATATTTACAACCGGCGTCAAATTGATTCGCCCAATACACGGCCACCATGAAGTTTTCTTTGTTGTCACTGGCGACCTTTGCCACGGCCGCTGTGGCTAGCACAATGGACCCCATTACTATCAAGGTAAACTCATACCCCAGATGCAGACCGATGCAGCATTTTAACCCTACCGCAACAGGGCTCCAAATTCTTTTACTCTAGCAATGACACTCAATTGTATGTTTCTATGCGCCTCTGAAGCCGAATCTACCATAACGAGTACTGATTGTATCGCAGTTACATGCGCGGTGTTGCTTATCAATGTAGGCTTGCTATCATCCAACGCATAAGCCGTGATACTGACTCGGACAGACTCCAACAGCGAGGATCCTCTGGCCGATGCCACCGCTTGTGAGCGTGATGTTCCTATCATGAAGGAGCTGCGCACCAATGTCATTCGGACCTACTACATCAACCCCGACGCCGACCACACCGCGTGCATGAAGCTTCTCCAAGATGCGGGCATCTATCTCATCTCTGATCTGTCGTCCCCCAACAGTTCCATTAACCGTGCCGACCCTGAGTGGCAGGTTAGCCTCTACTCCCGCTACACCAGTGTCATCGACGAGCTTCAGCAGTACAACAACACCATCGGTTTCTTCGCCGGTAATGAGATCTCTAACACTGCCGCCACCACCGATGCTAGCGCCTACGTTAAGGCCTCTGTCCGTGATATGAAGACTTATATCAAGCAGAAGGGATACCGTAGCATGGGTATTGGATATGCCACTGCTGATGTTACCAACATTCGCGTTAACCTCGCCAACTACCTGGACTGTGAGAATGATGATGAGACCATCGATTTCTGGGGCTACAACGTTTACTCCTGGTGTGGTAACTCCACCTATGAGAAGTCTGGCTACAGTACCCGAACTGAGGAGTTCCGCAATTACACTGCTCCTGTGTTCTTTGCGGAGTATGGTTGCAACGACGTTCAACCTCGTCCGTTCACTGAGGTTACCGCCCTTTACGGCGACACTATGGCCGAGGTCTGGTCTGGTGGTATTGTCTACATGTACTTCCAAGAGGCAAACGACTACGGTTCGTTCAATCTTCATTGTCAAATACGGACTGAAAGCTAATTCGATCTTACATCCAGGTCTCGTATCTGTGGTTGACAGCACTAGTGTCAGCAAGTTGGCGGACTTCACCTCCTACTCCAAGCATATTGCCACTGCCTCTCCTACCGGTACCAACAAGGCTTCTTATACTCCGACCAACACTGTCCTGCAAGCTTGCCCGACTGTGGACTCGACCTGGCTGGCTGAAGCTTCTCCCCTTCCCCCGACCCCAGATTCCACCCTTTGCGACTGTATTGCCAATGAGGCAGCTTGTGTTGTGAGCGACAGCGTCAGTGAGGCTAAATACGGTACCTTTTTGGGTGTTGTTTGCGGCTACACTGATTGCGGTGGCCTGGACTCCAACGCGACCACTGGCAATTATGGTGCCTACAGCATGTGTGGCGTTAAGGACCAGCTCGCTTTCGCTCTGAACAAGTACTACAGCGAGCAGAATAATGAGGCATCTGCCTGCTCATTCAAGGGATCTGCTACTACTCAAGCTACCACCAAGGCCACTGGTACTTGTTCTGCCCAGATTAAGGAGGCTGGAACTGCTGGAACCGGCACTGTTTCCACCGAGGCCACTGCTACTTCTGGCTCTGGCTCTAGCTCCACTTCATCCAGCTTCGCTTCTCCCATCGGCCTTCACTCGAGTGCTTCTTTCGGATCTTTCCAGATCGCTGCCTACATCGTTACCGCTCTCCTGGCCGGTGTTGGTATGGTCGCTCTGTGATTGCGAATCGACGTTCTTTCGATTGCTATGGATTATTTTCTTGTCTTTGATTTCTTTCGGTAATTTACTACTTGACTCAGCCAAATAGACTGATTTTCCTTTCCATATGGCTAATTATATCTGGAATTGGTAGTCATGCTGTGAGAATATAGCTGGCTGGTGTTCATATTACTCGATTGAATCCATTTCCTTATGCACGCTACATGGTATAGTTAATTTCTAGTAGCAAAATTTCACCCGTGTCATCTCATAGAACAATTGAATCTTTTGAGATCGAAAATTCTGTTTTGCTAAGAGAATTCCCTTTCCAAATTCTGAACTGATTTGGCATCTGTAGTAAAGCGAGAATGGAAGGTTTATTTCCCTGCAATAGCCCTCTTGGTTAAAATCGCAGATGTCTCATCCAATCTCATCCAGTCATGTGCATCTCGACAAGCCTGTCGACTGAGGCGCACAGCCCGACTTGTCCGTTCCCTCATCTCTGTTTCGAACTCGTTGATGACCTCAGATGCCAGGGAAGATCCAGAGTAGATTTTTCCAATGGCCTCTGACAGATGATAAGCATCTAGCAGACCATGATTTGCCGCTTCTCCTCGATCTGCAGATAATATTAGTGAGTGATGCAGTTTGTGGCGTACTATGAATACTAACACATTGTCATTGCATGCGCTGAATCCCCAGCTAGAGTCACACGACCATCATGGTTGTCCCACTCAAGGCACTCCCAATCTGCTAGCTTGATCTCCGTGACGGCTGTCCCAGTAGGGATCCGCTCAACAGCCTGCTGTAAGAATGGTACGAACCCCTGGGCACGTCTCTTCATATTGGCCAGCCGGGCCTCATTAGTACCGGCCACTTTGTCTTCTGGTGTGTTCTCAGGCCAGGACATGCATATTTGAGCTCGATAGCGCTCGGTCTCTGTTCCCGCAGTCCCATTTACCTTGGGTGTCTCAAGCATTGAGAACCAAAAGAAGGCTCCTGTTGGTGGATGGCAGCCCTGGAACAGCAAAGGGTCCATGTCGCGCAAAGGCTTAATCTCCATGGGCGTCAAATCAACTGCAACACCCGTGAAATTGATTCCAACTGGCACATTGTCAAATGCATCTGGTCGTAAAATCTGTCGCACCATCGATCGGCTACCCTCGACACCGATAGCAAGACGTCCGGTCAAGGTCGTTTTATCGGCGAAAACCAACTGCACTTTGGTTATATCCTCGGGCAGGTTGACACTGACCACTCGTCGGCCCCAGTGAACATGGTCTTCGATTCCATGAAGCAACGCGCGCCGCACCTTTTCGCGATTCACGCGCCACCGGACGCTTGGTGGAATTTTGTATTTTGGCTCTCCGGTTTCGAGGTTGATGAATAAAAAATTGCCATTGTCGTTGAGCGCAACATCTGGATCCACTTGAACGTCTTGGATACGCTTTAGGGTGTCCTGGGGGAGCATCTTGTGCATATACTCCAAGGCCCAGTGTAAGGTGATGGCCCACCCCTGGCCACGTGCATCGGGAGTTTCATCGCGTTCAAATATTTCGAAGGGGATATTCTTCTGCTTCAGAGCTTGTCCAAGGGTCAAGCCCACAATACCGGCGCCAACAATCAGTACAGGATCCATGGTAGCGACAATTATGAGATCCCTGATTACTAGCGTTCAATAGTATCTGGGGAATGAGATCGGAGGAAAATGTGTGTATTGGATAGATGTGAAGGGAAGAAGCTCCTTCTAATGGCGTGGGTAACCTGGATGCCTGAGGCTGTAAGGCTTTAACAATCCCCATTCTTGTTGTCGCGGTCCAAGAAAACTTCACAATCGACTTTATTAGAATTCCGTCGCATAGATAACGTGCGGGGTCCGGGGCTATCGCGTATCCACAGGAAATTTCCCACGGCTTCAAAATCGGCTTCCGACGGTTCGGCTACGTGAGCCAATGCGACGGCGCGGGGCTGTGTATCTCCCGACGATGTGACGACACAATTTGACACCTTTGAGAAACAGCTCGAATCAATGCTAAGATATATAATATTCTTCAACAACTTCACTTCGTCATCGCCTCAACACAGTCACCATGTCGCACGAAGCTCTCAACCCCATCCACCCCTCTGTCCTTCCCCACCTCGACCCAGTGTTTGTTGATCTTTATAACAAACACGTCGCCAATACCCCGGCTGGACCAATCGATTTGTCGGTTCTACGAACAAAATATTCGGTTCTTTACTCCTATGGTACTGGACCTGCACCAGAATGCGCACGAGTCTACGATAGCGAGGTTCCTGGCCACAACGGCGAATCTATTCCAGTGCGGGTGTATGAGCCTGCATCACCTGGTCCATGGCCGGTACACATTGATTTCCACGGTGGAGGTATGTGAAAAGCATCAACCGAATTATCCCACTATCCCATCGAAAGCTGTCTCTGACTCGAAACTAGGTTGGGGATTGGGTGATCTCGACACCGAATCCCACATTTGCAAACACATCTGCGTCAAGGCCAATGTTTGCGTGATAGACGTGGACTACCGATTGGTGCCAGAGTTTGCATTCCCAATCGGAGTACAAGATTCGTTTGCGGCCCTACAACACATCTTCGCCAAAGGAGCCGACCGATTCAAAATCGACCCAACGCGCATTTCATTGGGAGGAGTCTCCGCCGGTGCCAATATCGCCTTGGTCTGCGCCCATCTCGCTCGCGATAACAATATTCCTCTGAAACTAGTCGCTGTGGGAACGCCTGTGGTCGATGATATTTCAAAATACAACTCGGCGTCTGATGCACCATGGGAATCGATGCACCAAATGGAGCACGCACCTACACTGAACTGGGCTCGGCTGAAGTGGTTCGATAATTTGAAGTGGCAAAGCATCGCGGCGGAGGGTCCAATTCGTGGGCAGCAATTGGCTGCTGTGAAGTGGTACGCTGATATTCTGCAAGCACCCAGCTTCGCCGGCCTTCCCAAGACGGTTATTTACACAGCTGGATGTGACCCTCTGCGCGATGAGGGCGAGGCGTATGCACGCAAGCTGATTGAGGGTGGAAACGAGGTTATTCAAAAACGGTTCGCGGGTGTTCCTCACCCCTTTATGCACATGGATAAGGGTAAGTTTTGGAAGTTAACTACAAATACGAGAAGGCGTTTTCTAACTCGTGTAACAGATTTGTGGCAGGCGAAGGAGTTTATTGATATGACGGCAGATCACATCAAGGCTACGCTCCACGCTTGAATGATAATTCTTATATGTTTAGTCCTCGGTATAGACAGTTCACATCAAGTTCTACCCAATTTCCCAGCAAATGTGACCCGTATTTTCCATCGTATAAGATTACGCACCGATATGGGGGACGATGTCAGAGGCAATGTTTTGGTGGTTGTTGTAGCAGCCGACCGTGACAAAAATATTAATAATCGCGGGTTGCCTATCTATGAACACATGACGGTGTTTGGAAAGATCAAAGCAGTATAGGAGCAAGAGCTTCGATATCATGGCCATTTTAGTCCATCGGAATAGCAGGCAAGTTCAGCCAAATGTTGTTTCAGACTACTTCTGCCGGGCTGGATGCTAGAACCATACTTTTTAGACAAAGTGTTTATTTATTTTTATACTCTAGAAGATACTAGTATATTGTCACTCGCTGTCTATCCTGTAACTCAAAGCTTTGCCATGTCATACAGCTGTTCGGCCAAGGGAATAATTGATTCTTTTAGCCCCTTGAATTTGAGACCGAGCACCTTCTCTGCTTTGGAAGAATCGCAGGAATAATGTGTGTGAGCGAGGCGATTTCCTGGCTCACCAAGCGGGGCTTGATGTCTGTCTGGAAGCTGTGCACGAACGACATCAGCAATCTCTTGGGTGTCGTACGATGCCTGTGTAACCAAGAAACGGTCGTGACTGGCCGCTGGATAGCTCAAAACCTTCATACTAGCTTCCGCTAGGTCCTCAACATCAACCCATACTAAATATTCTCGATGAGTAAAGTAACAGTTTGGAAGGATGCGGAATTCGGACATACCGGGCGCCTTGGTAGGTGGAATTTCTCCATCTCTGCCTGCATTCAGTACCCCCCCACACAATTTGATTACTAGCGTTCAGCTGCGACAAAGATGAAATAGGGTGGATCATCTTCCCGAATACCATCCCAGGGCAGAGTGTAACAAGCTGGTAGTTCACTTGGTGATCTCGCACATAATCCCAGGCCGCTCGCTCGGCGACAACTTTTGAGGCGCGATAGGCGATGGGCTGATTTGAATTAGAAAAATATTCAAAAATTGATGAGAGGAAAGAATGAAAAAAAAAACAAAAAACTCACAACAGCCGATGCATTAACGCCGTCCTCATAGGTCAACGGACACCAATCCTCCTCCGTGTATACACGGCCAGGCTGAAGTCCCAGACTAGCGTCATAAACACTTGCAAAACTTGACATGATGACGACTCGTCGTACAGTTGACTGCTGTGCGGCTGCCTCACAGACTACTTGTGTACCCTTGAGTGCCGGCATCATCAACTTTTCTTCAAATTCTGCTGGGACCGCATCGTAGTTGAAAGCCGATGCTAAGTGTAGTACAGCTTGGCAATCCTGCAAGGCAGACGAGAGACTTTGAAGATCGGTCGGATCGGGAACAACGACAAATTCTAAGCCTCCAAGATCGCTCACACTCACACCCGCGGCGCTGAGTGACTCTCGTGTCGAATCGCCTTTTTCAGCTGATCGAACGGTCGCTCGGACTTTGTAACCGGAGCGAAGAAGAGTAGCGATGCAGTGGGCAGCGATAAAGCCGTTACCACCAGTCACAAGTACAAGAGATCCGGAATCAATAGGAGCCATCTTGGTTCAACAGTGATATTGATTTTGTACAGGAGTGTTCAATGTTCGATTCTTATATTTTGAACTCCTAGAGACCGATCGGACAAACCCACCCGCTGCCGTCGGATAGATAGTGGAGTCGAAAATATTACGACTTTGGCCTTGTTTCCCATTTCCCCGCGTTTATGTATTTAGAATGTCTTACCGAATGAATACGAAATGGACCCAAGTTTAGACGATACCTTCTCAATTTGAATTGCTATCAATTTACACGGAAACCATAAAACTATCTTAGACAAATAATTTAATCCACTCAAAGCACATAACGAAAGTTCGCGTCATCGTGAACATCGTTCGTATGGTTCTTGCTACTTAGACGAGCCTCCATTTTGCTCCTTGCTGGAGTCCCCAGGCGATCCGCGGTAGAGTTCCGACGGGAATACAGCATCCGAAGGGTTGTGGATACAACAATGGCAGCTGCGTTGACAGCGACCAGTGTGATCTTGGCTGGAATGTACCTGATAGAAAGAGTCAATATTATAGACCAATTGGAGAGATTTATGGATCTTCCTTACCGGGGAGCGTCCTTAGATTGGAATGTTTGAGGGCCAATGATGTTGGCGATACTGAATGCAGCCGATACAATCGCCGCACCCGAGACCTATTCATGTCAGATAAGCTGGCAGTTACTAGTAGCAGGCGAACTTGTGCCATACCTTCATGGTGTATCCATTGAAGTTGGCACCCGTCCAAGCATATATTATACCAAGCGGAGCAACGGTCTGGGCATGTCAGCGATATCAAATTAGAAACCCAAAGAGAACATACTGTGTTGACCAAATAAATACCAGCTAAGCAGCCTCCCTTATTCTCACTTGGAAGAAAGGACATAAGACAGGAGCCCAGGAGAGTTGGAATCAGCAAAATGTCAATTGCTAGCCATCTCGAGAACCCCTTTGCAATGGCATATGTAGAGGCCATTGTAGACACTATGCTGACAATCCCGCTGGGCATATTCAATAGCGCACTCTCCTTTGAGTTGTATCCGAATCCTAGAATCAAAATGGCTGAAAATGTGGTGATTACACCACTAGGTATCGTAATGAGGATTGTCAGCAAAACCAATAGCCAGGTTTGCATATCTGCAAAGGCCTCTAGAACTGATCGCCAGCGGAAGACTTTGTCACCAACACCGGCCTGATCCTGTGACAGTCGTTGAGATATGCGCTGCTTTTCGGCTTCGCTCAGAAACTTGGCTTTAGCAGGACTTTCTGGGAGAACGAAGATAACCAGGAGCGATGCTAGAATATTCACGGCGCCAATTGCCACAAACATGATGCGCCACCCACCAAATGACAAGTTTGCAGGTGCGTGTTGAGCAGCGAAAGAAATTAACCCGCCGACAAGCTGGCCCATACCAAGACCACAATACCAAAATCCATATCGCGGTGTCGACTCTGCGCGGGTATACCACATACTCGTGTACATGGTAAGCGATGGAGCTGGTGTGAAATTAGTTTATGGTATGGAATATCGGAGGTTACGTGACTTGCCGATAACTGCCTCCATCAAACCAAGAAGAACACGCAAGGCAAGCATTCCGCTGAAATTTTTGGTCGCCGATGAACAGCAAAGAATGATACCCCAACAAAACACGTTGACTCCGAGAACTTTGGAGACTGGGAATCGCTGTAGCAGAGCTCCTTGGGGAATTTCTGCCACTGCATAAGCGATGAAGAAAGCAGTTGCCAGCCAGGAGAAGTCATTTCCAGACATCCCCAAATCGCCCTGAAGGCCCATCACATTCGCATACTTCCTGGTGTCAGTAGCTTGCGGCTGAAGGAGAAAGGGATGGGACAAAACACACGTTGATGGAAATCTTGTCAATCATTTGTAGAAAGTATGTGAAGAACATGATGGGCAAGATGTGCCAATCCACTTTGCGAAGCAATCTCTTGTCATCCATCGTCAAAGTACCCAGGGAGCAATCCTCGGGTGAATCGAGTTTGTCCTCCAGTTCATTCTTCTTCTCCATGATTAATATACTCAAATATTGGCGAAAGTGTTCGGATATCAGTTCAAGGGGGTGGTGAGCATGCAGGCATGGCGTTGCACAACGAGCGTTTTATTAACGGGACGGGGAAGCTTTGATACCAGAACACAGGGAGATAGTCAGCAGCAGGAACTACTGTCAACTTCCCCGGACAAACGTATCACAAGCTGCTGATTGGTTCCGCCTCGGCGACAGCGGCGAAGATGATAGAAGCAAGGATCGGCTGCGGAGACGCCACAAAATGCAGCCGTCGCATAGATAGCGGAGACTTCCGTCGCTTATCGTGGTCATCCTTGGGAGATGTTTTTGGGTGGGAACGGGCATCCGACGCGAGGGAATAGCTTCAGTGTTGGAATATGTATATATTTGAGGTTTGAGAAACCTCGTTCTGCTTCTTGATGTCAGTTCAAAACTCATCTATCGGAGAAAATATGCCTTCGCGTACCGACTCGCCACTTCAAATTGCCGTCATCGGCGCCGGCCTCGGCGGACTTGGTGCTGCTGTCGCCTTGCGTCGCCAAGGGCACGCTGTGACTGTCTATGAAAGATATGATTTTGCCGGGGAGGTTGGCGCATCTTTGAGTGCCGCGTCGAATGGATCGCGCTTTTTGGAAGAGTGGGGTGTGGATGTGAAAGCGGCCAAGCCAGTAAGTTCAGCGGAAAAGAGGAGTAGAGGGGATAGTTGAGAATTTTTTTTGATTAACTTGAAAATAGGTTATTCTAAAGCAATTGATCATGCACAGTTGGTCTGATGGTGAAGTGCAAAGCACATATCCCCTGGGCGATTACAAGTCCAAATTTGGCACGGTACGCAACAATGCATGGTTCGCGAAGACAATGTAGATAGCAGCTGATGATCACAGGACTATAACAATTTTCACCGAATTGATATTCACAAAGAGCTCATTAAATCTGCGTTTGAAGAACCAGGCGAGGGTCCTCCCTGTGTCCTGAAGGTTAATCACAAGGCGGTCGAGGTCAGCGCTGAAGATGGAAAGATCAAGTTTGAGAACGGAGTCGAAACAACTGCCGACATTATCGTGGCTGCCGACGGAATTAGGGTAAGTTGCTCTTATGCTCAAATGTTTGATCTCATTCGCTAATTATCACTTCTAGTCGGCGACGAGAGAGCTCATTGGAATTACTCCCGAATTCGAAATGTCGACCTCTTGCTGCTATAGATGCATTATCGGTGCCGATAAACTTCGGTCTCTCGGTCTAGACGACTATATTTCTAACGAAGCTATTGAATACTGGGGTGGATATGGAATCAACAAGATTGTCATGTCACCTTGCAGTAATGGCGAGGTCGTGAGCTGTTACTGCTTCTACCCGGCGTCGTTTAATAACCTCCGCGAAGACGGCTGGGATATCGGCGCAACACCGGAGCAGCTAGTCGAGACATTCCCTGACCTGGATCCTAGAATGCAAAAGTTGATGCTCAATGCTGAAGATATCAAGATGTGGCGCTGTATGTTATTCATCCCTGAACTGGCACTGACAATACTGATTATCCCTCTAGTGTATAGACACCAGCCATATCCGTTCTGGGCCAAGGGCAAGGTCTGCCTTCTTGGAGATGCAGGTATGTTTTGAATCCATTTTTCCAGGCCCTTGAAATGCTGACCAGTTAAATAGCACACCCCATGATGCCCGACCAGTCTCAAGGTTCTTGCATGGCGTTTGAGGATGCTGGTGCTTTGGGAATTGTCTTCAACAAGAACTTTCGCGAGACCTACAGTACAACTGAGGGCTTGGCTCTTTATGAGAAGCTACGCAAGCCTCGCGCTACCCGGGTACAGGAAGCGAGTTTCCGGGCTCGTGAAGATTTGAGTGAACGTATTGGCTGGAGCTCTTCGTCAGACCGTCCAGGAAAATTGACGATCGAGGAGGTCTGCGGATATAACATGCGAGACCATTTGGCCGAGCTTGTGTCAGAGCTGAAGAAGGCTGATTTGTAATTTCTGTCCATAGAATTCTCAGATATTAGTACATTTGAATTTGAGATGTGACCATAAGCTCTGCTTGCAAAAGGATATGCTCCTTGCATAGAAATTCAAAAATCCCATTATTCCATTGCCTAGATGAAAACAACTCCTGGAAACTGGCTATACCTAACAGCAGCCCAGTTCATGTCGGATGCATGGGCTGTGCCACTCCAGACAGTTTCTAAAAGCTGTCGGGCGTGTTGGATATGGCTGAAACCAAGGGTATTCTCCATCACCATGAGACGTTCCTTCACTATCATTCGCCTCTCAATGCTGATACTGCTGGAACCGGAAATAACGAGAGGGAACAGAAGGCAGCCCTCAACACTGCTAGCATATGGGACTAGCTGCACCGCATCTAGTATCGTCGAAACCGCGTGCTCCACAAATTCGTGAAGTGGGTCGTAGCCCTCGACAACTTGATGCAATCGCAAGCGAATCGCCCACTCAAATGCAGTGGTAGCGCGCTCCGTATCAAGTTCCTGTTCCGCGCTCCGATCATGATCCGCGCGCCACTCGTCGATCCGACTTTCCACTTGTGTAGCCGCAGCTCGGAAGCCAATTTCGGATAGCTCGTCGACGCGCTTGCTACGGTGATTGGCTAGAATGTTTACCATTCCTAGAATGTCGAAGAGGGCCGGGGAGATTCCGTAGATAGCGTCGGTAGATTGGGTGCGCTCTTGTGTCGGGATACTATCTCGACGGAAGGAGGTTGTCAATTCCATCATGCTATCGCTGTCATGGAGAAGTGGGGGCTTGCAGCGAGAGATTGTTGACATCGAGTCAAGGTAATGGAACAGACTGATGCAAAAATTCATTTCATTTGTTGAAACGAGTGATCGAAAGGCTGGTGATTTGAGAATTGCACTCGCGGCCTTCAAGTGCCATTTCCACACTCGGGATGTCCCATCAAAGAGCTCTGTTAAACATAGCAGCAACACGGTTGCGCATGCTTCGAAGATGGAATGACGATCAGGTTGTCCCAGTAGTCTATTTACCTGTGCCAGTGCTAGAAAACCATTAGCTCCAATTTCAAATTCGCTCCTGAATGTAACTAACCTTTGCCCTGTCGCTTTAGAGCGCATCCCCAGATGCTGGGATAAACTCTCCTCCAGTGGCATCCACTCAAGCTAAGGATGACACTAGTTACCGCATCCGATGCGGCCGCCAATGGTAACAGTGTGACCAGAAATGGGTTCCGATCGGTATCATGAGATCGGGAGAGCGCGCGAGATACGACGTGGATATAGTGGTTGAACAGTGATCGGTCCTCTTCACTGTTCAGATATGGATTCGCTGATAGCAGGGGACGGTCGATAGGGAGCACCACCGCGTTTTGCTTGCGGAAAGGGTGTGGAAAGAGCGTGGCGATAAACTCTTCGTCATCGTCCGGGGTAATATAGGTGGAAATGATCCGATCACCGTCGGATAGTTCGACCAGGTCGGTACAGGGTGGCTCGGTCGCATGGGACTCTGGTGATGAAGAGTCGCTCGGGTCATTTGTCGTCTCGATACTGGGTGACCACTGACAAGGAAGGTTCAGGCGTCGACAATCACTGCATCGCGGTTGTATTTCATCGCACTTCTTCTTCCTATGAACCCAATTAGCTTCCGACAAGATGCTATGCTCCACTCCAAATATCGATCTACCTCGCCTTGCAGGACAAACAGCCGCCGCGGGACCGCGATGCACGGGGCCGTCGCGATGCCGCTGCTAGTCCGGGTTCTTGCTCTGTGGGGCTTCGTGGTTTGCAGGTATGTCCAAGGCCTGTTTTAAAGAAAGTCAGTGACCATTGGGATTTCAGGTGCTGGCGAGCAGGATAGCTGAAACGTACGTTTACACCGTGAACACGGCTGACTGCCGTCGCATCGTTGTTTCTATTGAAAATTAGCCTTTGTCCATGGCGCGGATTTCGAGATGCAGCACTAACAATGCGTGCGCAGCGAGCACAGACTCGACCAGGCGTACTCATGGCGGGGGGAGGTGTCACTCCAGCAGAAACCAAACGAGGGGGAGAAGCGACGGACTTCTTATCGGGGAGAGTTCCGATCCGACGGGCTGAATGATAAGCAGACTGTAGCGGCGGTCCACGGGGTGCATTCTAGACTTTAATGAGCCTAGTGCGAGGGTTAGTGGGGTGTTGGAGTGTCTGTTAGAGTCCAAGGTGTGAAATTGACCGAGTGCGGGGAAATGATAAGTTTCCCCGGATTTCGGCACTCGGCGACAAAGACAAACCGAGCGGACAACTTCCATTCTGAGATTGCCAAGGAAATTATTAGTCGCGAGCTACAACAATAAACTTGGGATGGGGTTTCAATACTAGTAGAGTAGGCACGGGCTGATTCCTTGCCTCTGGTACTATACTACTACTCTGAGTCCGTATCTCTTAAGGAAGGGACCCAGAGTGACGTGAAACTTGGATATGGTCATAGACTCGGCACACTGGAGATAACCAAGGATATATAATTCCCAATTCTGTTTCATTTCAAGTTATTACTGAAAGTGGGGACGTCAACAGAATGTGGCTTGATAACCTTGGAAATAAATCCACTGATCAAAATTTTAATGATAAACATGAATCCGGCCGCCATGGGAAGTACTAGTATGAAACTTAGCAGAACAGGAAATTTGGGCACAGGGCGCATGAACAGGAACCTTCTTTTTTCAAGTTTCAAGGCAGATTTGGCGATGTGGTTGGTGGTCACAGTGTATTACGATATTCGCTGGACCAAAAAGGAGACGCCTCGATGTATCGAGCAACCCTCCCACCCAGGCTTTTCACCGATATAGAGCAGCCGTGACTCGTATCAAATGGTGAATAAATAATAGCATGGAGAAGATAAGAGTACAATGGCTCCTCGCGGTCTGGTCACGGGTACGTGCCTAATCCAAAGTCAACAAGTGAAATCGGCGAGTCTTATGAAAACACAGGAATGGCAGGACTGGCGGCAAGAACAGCAAATGACAAATACGGACTTTACAACGTGATGATGATAAAGATGTCTGAGGGTGAAGGTGGAGATGGGATGGTCAGAGAGAAGGGAAAAGGGGGAGGGGCTTGGCGTCGATGCCTGTGGCATTAGGCGTCAACAGGGATGTGTTCCATAATTTTATCTAGAGTCCTTGCAACCCCTTTACTGCATTCGATGGTATTATTGATTATCTGCCTTGAATTTATGAAGTCAAGGTGGGACTTGAGGTAATGTACTAAGGGGTCTGGACGGAGGTCTATACGGCGAAGTCTTCGGCGTTGCGAAATGACTGGGCCTTAGTAGCACAACCATTACAGTGCTTCATTTCTCTTTTCCAATACTGTGTTGAGGATCATTCCAATGTAGTGTTTTGAGGGCAAAAGTTCTAACTTCATCCTCGGCATCTTACATTCATGAGAAGGATTCCGATTGTAATTCGTCACTAATTCATGATATTGCTCTATTCAGGTATCTATATTTATATTTTGCTTAACTCATGACACATTTTGCATTTACCACTTGTTGGCAAGCACAAGGCGATAGCGAGCTTTGCCCGCATCCATGTCCAGAATGGCTTGGTTGGCCTCCTCCATGGGCCTCTCCTCGATCCAGGGGTGAATACCCTTCGTGGCAGCGAGATCCAGCATTTCGCGGATCTCATCGGGACTACCAATTAGAGAGCCACCGAGCTTGATACCCCGAACGATCAAGCTGAAGGCAGGGATCTCAAGACCACCATCTTCGGGGGCGCCCAGCTGAACAAAGGTTCCACGGGTGCGCAGAAGTTGGCAGTATCCAGTAATAGGCATCTTAGACGAGGAAACAGTCGAGATGATCAGGTCCAAAGACTGATTGTGATGCTTGGCCCAGTCCTCATCATCATCGGTGGCGATATAGGCGTCGGCTCCCAGCTTGAGCGCATCCTCCTTCTTGTTGGCCTTGCGTGAGATAGCGACAACCTTGTCGGCGCCCAGGGCCTTGGCAAATAGAATACCAAAGTGACCCAGTCCACCGACACCGACGATACCGACCTTCTTACCGGGGCCGCAACCGTGCTGGCGGAGGGGAGAATAAGTGGTGATGCCACCACAGAGCATGGGAGCAGCCTCGGCCGAGGGAATGGCGTCGGGGATCTTGATAACGAAGTGTGATGGCGAGCGGTTGTACAGGGCATATCCTCCGTAGGACTTGCCACCGTTCAAGAATGTTCCATTGTATGTTCCGGTCATACGGTTGCAGTGCTGCTCCAGGCTGTTGGCACAGGCCTCGCAGTTTCCATCGTAGTTCTGGCACGAGCCACTCTGAGCGCCAACACCGACGCGGTCGCCAATCTTAATGTCGCCGGTGGCCTTGGATCCGACACGGATAGCTTTGCCGACGATTTCGTGGCCAACGCAGCAGGGGTAGGTAGTGGGACCCTAGAATAGTGTAACATATTAGCTTGGGCCTCTAGATTAAAAACAAATCTCAATTCCACGTACCCATCCACTGCGCAAGGTGTGCATATCGGAACCGCAGATACCACAGTGAGTGACTTGGATATCAACATCGGTCTCCTCCCAGGGCTTGGGCTCAAACTCCTGCCACTTCATGTTGCCCTGAGCAGCACTGGCATCGAGGCCCATCCAGCCCTCAAACTTGTAATCGGTAGAACCCATGATTGATGAATGTGATCGAAATGAGATAAATGTTGCTCAATTGTGTCAAGAAAGTTAGCTGCTGGGGGAAGACCGGGGCCTTTATACACTGCAATTCCTCGGCGTCATAGCTAGCTCCATCCATTGTGGAATTTTCTGGATCCTTTTGACCCTTCGGTCTTTCGCTGGCCTTCTGCAGTAGTAATCGAGGGTCCACTCGTGGATCTGAACCAGAAATCGGGAGGTCATCACGGTTTTAAGACTGGTTTATGTCCGCGCACAATTCGAAGTGGACCCGGTCGAGTCATGTTGTCGCAGATGAGTGGCTGTGGATGACTGGCACAAATCGGAGGTAAGCGGCAAAGGGCGGCATCAGCACTGTAAATTAGCAAGCAGCGTCAGCGCGGTGCTAGTGCGTCTCTATTACCAGTTTAAGATTTTGAAGACCCGGTTTAGTTATATTTATCCAATCATGAGCCGCCACGGGCCAGAAAATTGAATCCTGAGGTGTCGATGTGGCGGATTAGCTTTGGAGTTCGCAGTGACGACACCTTGGTGGAATCGTCCGAGGTAAACAATTTCGGTGCGGTGTGTCAAAATTCGAGTTGTGTCGGGCCGGACTTGCCGTCCTCCCTTGTTTTACGGTTTCTTGATAAGCCCCATAATTGAAGCCGGAGACATTTTGTTAGGGCTCTTCTGACCGCCTCCGCCTACAGAGAATTGTTGCATCGCAAGGAGTGGAGGATTTTCGGGAAAAGTACGGTGGGGCTTTGATAAGACACCAATTATTCTTTCAGGTCTGAGCTCCTCTCGGTGTCCATCCGCTCGACTGCCGTTCTTAGACTGAGCGGCGTCATGGCAGAGTTCTAGGAGCTGAAAATCTAGGTCTAGCTCGTATGCGTAGGGAGGTTTCTTGGCAAGTCACTCCAAACTCAGAGCGACCGATAGGCGGTGCAGGCCCGCGTTTAATGCTTTAGCGGATCTTGTTTCCAAGGTGCCACTAATCAGGCATGCAGCGCGTTTTTGGATATATACTATAGGCTGGCTGATGTCTGGAGCTTTCACGATCCAACACAATAACCAGAGCGCCTCATGGCCACTAACCTAATATTATCAGAAGCGCAATTCTCCGCTTAGGGCCACAATGAAAGACAAAATGAGGTATGCAATACGTGACATGTTACGCAACCTTCAAACAGCCCTCTCCGCATGATTTCTTTTTTCAATCCAGCACTAGTACGAGGACTAAGTGAGCCAGCCGACGTCAAGTTTCCATGCCTGACTAGGATTTTCGAAGCGAACATCAAAGTGACGCATCACCTCAGGAATGACTTTGGCCAGCTCGAGGAGACTGATATTCCTGCCGAGGCATATACGCGAGCCACCGCCTAACTGGAATTAGTCACGCAAAGCAAAGGGCCGATAGAGATATTCACGCACCGCAAAATTCAAGGCCGAACTTTTTTTGGCAGTGTTTTTCCATGGTCGTCGAACCATCTTTCAGGACGGAAAACTCGCGGGGAATGAATCAGGTCTGGATTATAGTGCAGTTCCCATGCACTGATGCCAACCTGTGCCTGAAAGGAAGAGTTAATTCCATCGACACGACCGGTAATACATAGTAAGCTTTCCACACACCTTTGCTGGAAATTTATATCCTCTCAGGATGACACCGTTATGCGAAACTTCTCGTGGAAATATGTGGGCCACGGCCGGATGCATGCTAAGCGTTTCCTCAGTTGTTGCTTGTAGGTATGACATCTGCTGGGCTTCTTTGAATCTAGCTGGATTCGATAACAGCCCTGCCCGTTCCCGTGCATCAATCTCATCACGTAGCTTCTTAAGAACAATCGGGTTTCGGTATATATAGTAGAAAGCCGCACTTAGAGTGGTGGCTGTAGTACCAGACCCGGCGATGACGTTGGAACCATATGAACTGAAAATAGATTCTTCGTTAATTTCCCCTTTCCGTTCTAGATCCAAAAGTTCGGCGAGGAACGGTTCAGGCATCTGGTTCTCACTGGGCTTTGAGCTGAGCTGACGAAATTGTTTACTTGATTCCGCGATGAACTGGAACAGCTCATTATGCGGAATGTTTGATCTTAAGCAAACCAGCAACTCTGGCCAGTATAACATGTAAGACTGGAAAGGCACCGAAGGTCATCTGACGTTTCGCGGCAACTTTGATTTTGTGCAGGAGACCACTACGATCCCTTTCTGTCTCCATCATATCGAAATTCGTATCCATCTGGGACATTGTTAGAGACCGATTTCGTTTCAAAACTCCGATGCAAAAACATACCATAATAGAACCAATGACATCAAAAGCGTAATATTGTAGGAAAACAGGGAGGTCAACAAGCCTTATTGCCTCTGCAAATTCACAGAATTTGCGCATTAACACAACATTCATCTTTTCAACACCACGGCGGACACCGCTCCTCGTGAGCGGAGACCAAAGACTTGAATCTGGATCAAATTGATCGAACCATCAACGAGAGAACGTTTTACCGCAAAGAAACGATCGAAAAAATAATTTGGAATCAAAAAGTCGGTAAGTAGGACTCTAAAATGGATGGACTACAAACGGAATCGGCATCGATGGTTTCAAAAGTGACAGATTTGTAAGGTGACAAACTATCTGTGAACTTTCCAAGACTCCTTCTCTAAACAAATTGCCTGATGTGTGCGATTCATTCATGAGCTCCCACCAACCATTGAAGGATTATCGAAATCTGGGAAGGTGAGAATACTTTTCGGCGACCGGTCTACATTTTGGAAGACCGGGAGCTATCTAGAGCGCCGGTGCATTTACATGTGCGATCAGGTAGCCGAAATGAATAAATCTGTATCTATAATATAATAATGCCTGCAAGGCATGGAAAATTGGATAGACATAGGCCCAATTGAATGCCTCATCTTGCGGTATGTTGATTATTCTGTGACCAAAGGCCTCAGACATGGCTCACTCAGTTTATATCGCTTCATCCAGTTGTTTGTTACTGCCGATGTAACGTCGGCCTTGGTCGTACGCAATTATATCCAGTGAGAAATAATGATGAGGGTATGTGCACTGCAACGGACGGTGGGAGCCAAGAATTGCTACAAAGTATCTGGTATATATTAATGCATTGCTAACGCCCCCGTGAGCTCGTATTCCGGGTTGAAGGCCACTCAATGTATAAAATTGACACGACATGGAGTAAATACACGAGAAAACAACGATCTAAAGCATAAAGTATCTTGTAGAGTATCTTCTTGTTGTGTGCCGAATGGAAGCTACCGACGAACAGATGGCAGACCTACCCAGGGAGTCTCTTTGTACATACATGCCTTCCCTCGAACCACTACGCACAGTATCACATCTTGTTGACACCAAAAACAGTATCGTCGTATACTCGTTGGATAGCGAACGTTTGGTTGAGTCAGCAAATGTTGACTTTCATAGTGTCTCGGACTTCTCCCACCACATCAACTATAAGACGTGATTGGAACGCACACCTGAGAAGCGTCAGGACTAGTTTTCGGTTTCCCTTCATTGAATAATGGATCAAGAAAGCCCTGTTGACTTCCTCCCAAACAGCAACAAATCGCGTTGAGCGGAGAACCAAACAGTCCGACGAACTTCCAGCAGGATCATCGGTGAAATTGCAAACCAAAAAAGATCCAACGGTCAAGCCACCCGATACTATGTGATCATTTTGTCCAATTCCGCTTCAAAAATTTTGAAGTTTCGTATGACTTTCATCGAGCTTCGTCTGCAATGGAATCCTCGGGATTTTGCTCGGCAAAAATAGCCGGCGGGACATGATGCAATTGCGGGTCTCAATGGCGATCCAAATCGGGATTGAAAATATATTTACGGAGTACATATGCATAGATGTTATTTGATATTGTTGAACGGCGATTTAAGTTGAAGAAGATGATTCTGAATAATGATACCAGAAGATTCACTAATCGCTTTTGATCATGCTGGTAGAAAGTGACCTAATTGTAACCTTGGTACAGAGCATCAGTGGAGCTGAGCTAAGTAAACTTGAATATAATGCGGAGGGCCCCGCCAATCGCGTGATTTGCGATCGCTATGATAACACAATAATCCAACCTGAGTGGCCCGACGAAAAAGGCACAGTCAATGGTTCATAGTGCCATGTGCCGATTATCCTAGATTGTTCTCGTCTCGTCGGATATTTAATTCCTACCACTCCCCGCCCCGAGAAAAATCGGCTGGCCGGAGATTCTTGTGTTACGAGTCACTGAACCTGTCCTCCCGACAGGACGAAATGGTTGCCAAAAGCCAGTATGGCACGCAGGATGGGCTGCAAGGCGAAGAGGGGATAGTTCAGTCCCAACCAGTCAACAATGCGCCCACATCCGAAGATGAAGAAAGTCCACTACTCGGAGGATCACAAGATACAGAACAGACTGTGAAGACTGCGGAAGGTGTAGGAGCGATTGTCGCAGTGCTTCTATTAGGTACGGAATTGATTATTTTGCACGTCGCATTGAAACTAACATTCTGTCACTGAAGGTGAATTTATTTCTAATGCCGATGCGACGCTTGTCATGGCCGCCGCGGGTCGCGTTTCTTCCGATTTCAATCGGCTACGCGATGCGAGTTGGTTATCGACTGGATACACAGTGGGTCTTTGTGCTGCTCAGCCGATGGTATGGACGATGAACCGGAGACTCGGAGAGGAACAAAACTGATGATGAAGTATACAGTACGGGAAATTGAGCGACATCTACGGCCGCAAGCCCCTTCTCTTGATTTCTTATTTTCTTTTTGCCGTCGGATGCATTATTTGGTATGCGCAATAATTGAGACATGCTATGCCTATCTTACTGACATTTCGCTAGTGGTATTGGACCCCAGATGTGGACAATTATTCTAGGCCGTGCAATTAGTGGAATGGGCGGAGCAGGTACAATGATTATCAGTTCAGTTATCATCACAGATATCGTCCCCAGACGTGAAGTGGCAACCTGGAGGTCCTATGTCAATATTTCGATGACTCTCGGTCGCAGTCTGGGAGGTCCTGTTGGTGGGTGGCTTAGCGATACAATCGGATGGAGGTGGTAAGTGGAGAAACAATCCACTCATTCTGGGATAATTGCTCATTATCACCAGGCTATTCCTCGTACAAGTTCCGTTCGTCGTTTTGGCCGCATTCCTAGTAGTTGTTAAGCTTCAGATCTGCGAGAAAGCAGCCTCCAACAAAGACAGCACGTTCTCGAAACTCGCCAATGTGGATTTCCTGGGAACGGGTTTCCTCGGAGGGGCGATAATCGCCATAACCTGCATGATTGATCAAGGAGGAAAGTCCTTCCCATGGCGCTCATGGATAACCGTTGTTATGGGCGGCGGTGGTCTGCTCCTCCTTATCTCATTCGTTCTGGTTGAAGCGTATGTCGCCAAGGATCCGATCTTCAACTTGCGCATTCTGCGAAGACCAAACGTTGCCATTAGCTACATTATTGGGTTTCTTCAGATAATGGCTCAACTGGGCATGTTGTTCTCCATTCCACTCTACTTTCAGGTTACCCAAGGTGCTTCAACCACGGCTTCTGGTGGTCATCTGGTTCCCACCATAATCGGAAACACTGTTGGAGGTATTTTGGCGGGATTATACGTTCGAAAAACGGGGCGGTATAAATTGCTTCTAATCCTGGCTGGTTTGATTTCGTCCATCGCTTATGTCTTGTTGTACCTCTTCTGGAATGGCAACACCGGATTCTGGGAGTCACTCTACGTTTTCCCGGGTGGATTCGGTACAGGAATCGCTTCAGCAGCGGGATTTGTCGCCATGACAGCAATTCTACCGTCAGATGAAATGGCAATGGCTACTTCGGGCTATATGCTTTTGATTAGCTTTGCGATGACGGCCGGTGTGACAATGTGCAACTCGGTCCTCGGCATCGAGTTCGAGGCTCAGTTACGTCGGAATGTGCGAGGGCCTGGCTCGGAGAACATCATCAAGCGGGCGATGGCAGACACGGATTATATCGCCCATCTCACGGGGCAAATTCGTGAAGTTGTTTTGGCTTGCTACTTGTCGGGCCTCAAGCAGACTTATGTTGTATCGTCTGTGAGCTCTCTCGCAGCCGCCTTTTTCGGACTCTTTATTCGTAACCATCAATTGTAATATACTTGTTTAGATTTAGAAAAATGACTATCGTTCAAGTGTATGCTGTGTGCTGTTGGTTTGAAATGATGCGTTAAATTTAACGTATATTTCAGAAATACTAGTACTAGGTACAAAATGTTCAGTAACAGAAGAATTGCCAAAGAACGGATGATCTCCGACTCTCGATCCACAGCGGTGCAATCAATGAATTCTTTGATTTCCGACCCGATAAATATTTCAAGTTCACACATGGTAACCCCGGAACAAAAACTCAGCCCTGCCATGGCAGCTGTCTAGCGCCAAGTATCGCTGATTGTCACAGCGGTCGTGCCGCAGGCCGCTGGCACTGTATAAGAGAGATTCGGATCGCTCTCCCAAGTGATTGTACCAGAGCTCGCAACTCGAATATACTTGTATTGGAAAACTTGACCAACAGGCAGATTGACCGTGATATACCACAGGTTGTTGGAGCTGGTGTATTTACTCGCACTTAAGGCAATAGCACTGCTGGTGTCCCAGCTGCCAAGCGCAGAGATAGAACCAGCCAACTTGATGTTCTCCCCGTATACAGTGGTTGCGATAACATCGAAAGTGACCGCCACAGCGGTTGGCGTGGTGCATGATGAGGTCGTAGTGCTTGTCTTGGAAGTGGTAGTAGTTGAACTTTTGCTAGTAGTTGTTCCGCCAGTAGTAGTCGATCCCGATCCACTTGTCAAGGAGCTTGGCCAGTTCGTGTTGGTAGCAGTGCTGTAGGTTCCCGTAGCTGAAGTTGCAGAGCATGTTCCTGGAACACTGCTTGCAGAGGTCTCACCCCATGCCGCGGGAACAACCGAGTTGCGGCGCATGTTTGCAGTGAGCAGGGCTGCGTATGACCAAGTCAGATCACGGGCTGACGCTGGGGTTCCATCAGCTCTGAGAAACTGTTCGGACATGGAGCCATTTGTATACGCATATTGTTCCTGCAAACTATCAGCGATGATGTCAATCGAAATACACAGAAGCGCTTTTACCTACCGCGATGCTCATGTAGCCATCGGCATATGTCTTGACCGCACTGACGATTGAGGAGTACGCAGTGCTGCTTGATGAATAAGTACCGGTGGCAGCTGAGCTATACAAGTCTTTGAAGAAACTCAAAGAGACACTGCTGATGGTCAAAGAGCCAGCTTTATTCCACTGATACAATGCATCATAGAGTTGCTCAGCAGCAGCCATCGTGCACAGGTACCAAGGGTTACCATTATAGTAAGAATCCTCGGGGTAACGACCAACTGCAACAGCTTGTCCCGCACTCTTACCCGAGTTGATAGTGTAGATAGATCGGAATGAGTCAGTAACTACCTTGTGGTTTGCCAAAGCACGAGCCGAGCAAGGCTGGAAGGTGGAGTCATCACAGCCCGCCTCGGGATCGAAAGTGTGAATACTACCGAGGAGGGTGTTTGCATCCTTTCCGGTACGGCTGCTGCCAAAGTTCGCCAGGGTGTAAGAGCCGGTCCAGTAAGATTGCAGGAAACAAAGGACCTGGGGTGCTTGAGAGTCGCAGTACGAGCAGGATGATCCCACCTGACTAGCAAATTTACTGCCTTCGACCAGGGCACGGTGTTGGACGGCTGTTGTGAAGAATGACTCGCCGTTGACCTCTTCCCACAGATCTGTTCTTCATCAGCAATGTTTCGGTCGGGAAGTTGGTGGGCCTTACCGTATCCAGAGCTGTTCCAGTTCTGTGCAACGTAGGAAAGGTCGTTGCGAACAATAGGCCAGACAATATCAGTGGCCGTGGATGTGTATCCATTAGACTAGAATTTGTATCAGCGTGCGAAATGGCTCATTTTAAAGAAAAGTAACCCACAATTAGCCACTGCCCGAAAGCAACCATCGCAGTAGCTCGGAGGGCAGGGCCATCACGCTGAGGACGGCCCCACGAACCGGTATACGCTGTCTTGTCGACGTTAAACTTGGGTTCACCAAGCCCACCACTAGAGAGACCCCCAGAGGGATTGGAAACGGTCTGAATGTAGGCTTGGGAGCTTATGTACTCTTCGATGACAGTGAGCAAGTCTGTGTCGCCATTCTTGAACAGATCAACCAGGGTCTTCATGACTAAAGCCGAGTCACGAGTCCAAGTGTAATAATCTGCGATGTCAGACTCTCATCCTATATGATCAAATGTTTCGCACTCACAATCAGGGCTGTCTGTACTCGGACTGGCAATGACGATTCCCGAGTCCGAGCTTTTCGCATACGCGCCACTCGAACCGATGTTATCCAAAATACCCTCTCGCGCAACCGCAGTCTCGGATGCCAGCCAGGTATCCAAGCTACCAGTCGCACGAGGTGCCAACTGTGGTGCGGCCAACACAGTCGAGCCAACAGTCAGCGCGCAGAGCGCAGTCCAGATGCGGGGAGCCATGATGAAGAATAGGCTATCTCTGTTTTTGTCTGGTGTTCAAACGAGGGCGTTCGCATGGGTTTTATGCATCGCCACGTTGCTGTGTGCCCGGTTCGGTTGGATTTCAAATGTCAACATTAAATTGCAGGGGCCTTAACCGGGGGTGGGGAAATGTGACGAGGCAGAGATCGGGGAGCTGCAGACTAAGGGCTGCAGACTAACTAGTTCGTTTGTGGCTTTCGTGCCTGTCAGCTTTGCTATTGCACGATCGGACGCGCTAACATTTTGTCGAGGATGAGGTCCCTACCCCTCTAATGGATCAGCACTCTTCATTTTGCAAGCTTCTTCTTCTTCTTTTTTTTGCGTGCCACTTTAGCAACTCTCTCGTTTGTTCACACCTCCTTCTATGTTCATTGTCGCGATTCTTTCCACTGACAAAATATATGCTAACATCGAGTCTTCTGAATCAAGCCACCATGATCTCACATCTGCGCCTCCCCTGAGGCCTGCATCCTGCAGATGTCTTCAATCACCCCGCAGATTCTCCGTCCCCTGTCTAGCCCAACTCCCGCCGGGTCTTTCGGAGAGGCGACCTCCAATCAATCTTCCTACTCTTTCCGTCCTTGAACGCGTCGGCTTCGCTTGGCAAGGAGGCGTTTTGTCAGGAAATTTAACACGCATGTAAGGCGGTCATGACCTGCATTTCTCCTTCGAAACCCGGCTTTTAGCGCTTTCTTTTTTGCAAATGTGGAGAAATCTTGATCGACAATGTCCGCCTAGTGCGCGGAGGATCTCCCTCTTGGAGACTGGCGCTGGACGCTAAGGCCGACATTGCGGACAGGTCTATTAACCGAGCATACTAATTGCATATGTGCCTGCGGGATAGAATAATCACGGAATTCTTAAAGAATGTACTTTGTACTTCCAGCTAGAGACTGAGCATAAATCACTCTGGCATTATGAAAAGTCTCGCAATATACGCGTTACAGCTCATATGAAGCGATCGAGAATGCGACATTTCATTTAATATACGGAATGCAATATTGAAAATCGTTAGCTGAACTACGGTACTTGTATATAGATAATAGACTAATAGACTAGTGTATGCAAGTGGTCAAAAGTTGATCAAAAATTAAAATTAAAAATTCGGACTTAATCCAGGGGCTTATGTGAAACCCGATGCTCTGGCAACGGGCGGACGGAAAAAATGAAGTTTAATAGTATTCACTCAGAACCATTGGCTCTATGTGCCGACAATCAGCCGGGGGTAATATATGGTGGTCTAATCACAAAACATATGACAGTCGCTTTTGTGCCCTGCAGAAACCTTGAGTTTGCGGGGTTAATGTATAAAATGCGCCAGTGGCTGCGGAATAGACTCGACTAGAGAGTGCTATTACCCACATTATCGACGGGGCAAAATGTACCTTGTCCTTGCTGCTACAATTCTGCTCATTCAGGCCATTGCCGCACTCTCGCCTGCGGAATGGCGGTCCCAGTCAATCTACTTTCTGTTGACTGATCGATTTGGACGTGATGATAATTCAACCACGACTGCTTGCGATGTCACAGACAGGGCATGTACCGAACCCGATAATGAAAACCAACCAAGCTAATTGGAATAGATTTATTGTGGTGGAAGTTGGCAAGGAATCATCAATCATGTCCGTGTGGCAAAAATAACTTAATGAATTGGCTATACGAGGCTAATTAAACCTAGCTGGACTACATCCAAGGCATGGGATTTACCGCCATCTGGATCACCCCAATCACCGAACAGCTCGACGGCGATACGGGTGACGGTGAAGCCTATCATGGCTACTGGCAACAGAAGATGTGAGTTTGCGGATAATTGGATCGTGCGAGATGTTAATTTTGTTAGATATGAGGTCAACTCGAACCACGGCACTGCTGCTGACATCCTGGCTCTTTCGAAAGCTCTACACGCTCGGGGGATGTATCTGATGGTCGATGTAGTGGCGAATCACATGGTAAGTTGAAGGTTTGTGCGCTACTCCCGATACTGACTAGAAGACAGGGATACAATGGTGCGGGAAATACGGTTGACTACAGTGTCTTCAATCCCTTCGATTCCTCCTCATACTTCCATTCGTATTGTCTAATTAGCAATTACGATAACCAAACCAACGTGGAAGACTGTTGGCTCGGAGACACCACTGTCTCTTTGCCGGATCTGAACACTGAACTATCTTCTGTCCAGACGATCTGGTATAACTGGATTACGGATCTAGTTTCAAACTATTCTAGTACGTTTCCCGTTTACTCTTGCCAGTCTCTGCTAATACCCAACCAGTCGACGGTCTACGCATCGACACACTCAAACACGTTCAAGAGTCCTTCTGGCCTGGATATAACAGTGCAGCTGGCGTATATTGTGTGGGGGGAGGTTTTTGACGGAGACCCAGCCTACACATGTCCCTACCAAAACTACCTAGATGGAGTTCTCAACTACCCCATGTGAGTATCTACCCTCTCAACTCTGCAAACTATATTTATCTGATTTATAAGCTATTACCAACTGCTTTACGCATTTCAGTCCTCAAGCGGGAGCATCAGTGATCTGTATAACATGATCAATTCAGTTGCTTCCGATTGTTCCGATCCCACCTTGCTCGGAAACTTCATCGAGAACCACGATAATCCTCGATTCGCTTCGTGAGTAGATCATTCTTCATTGAAGAGCAAACTCTGACTGAGCAGGTACACGAGTGATTATTCGCAAGCGAAGAATGTGATTTCTTTTCTCTTTTTGTCAGATGGTATCCCGATCATCTACGCTGGCCAAGAACAGCACTATAGCGGAGGCAGTGACCCCGCGAATCGCGAAGCGACCTGGCTTTCTGGCTACTCGACAACTGCTGAGCTGTATCAATATATTGCAACAACGAACAAAATTCGTGCACTCGCTGTTTCTTCAGACTCTTCTTATATTACATCTAAGGTGGTGTCTTCCATATCCTCGGGAAACCTCATCTAATAATGATAATAATAGAACTCTCCATTCTACCAAGATAGCCACACGATTGCCATGAAAAAGGGATCAAGTGGATCGCAGGTTATAACAGTTCTTTCCAACTATGGCTCGTCCGGCAGCTCTTATACTCTGAGTCTCAGCGGTAGTGGATATCCTTCCGGCACTGCGCTCATGGAAATGTACACTTGTACATCGATTACTGTTGACTCAAGTGGGAACATCGCAGTGCCAATGGCATCTGGTCTGCCTCGCGTGCTCATGCTAGCTTCTGTTGGAACTAGTAGCGGGCCTTGTGCATCGTCGGGGTCCACTACAGCGACTACTAAATTGACTGTTAGCACCACAACTTCGTCTTGCATCCAGGCCACGGCACTACCAGTTCTTTTCAAAGAGACTGTTACCACTTCCTATGGACAGGAAATCTATTTGTCTGGTTCGATTAGTCAGTTGGGTAGCTGGGACACTGATGATGCGATTGCGCTTTCGGCAGATCAGTATACCTCGTCGAACCATCTATGGTATGTTCAAGTTACGATTCCAGTCGGGTCGTCCTTTCAGTACAAGTTTATTGAGAAGACAAGTGGGTCTTCGTCTGTGACTTGGGAAAGTGACCCTGATCGCTCGTACACTGTGCCTACTGGCTGTTCGGGCTCAACGGCCACAGTGACGGCCACATGGAGATAAAGTCACTCTACCTTACAGTTCAGGCTATTATATATGGTCAGAATCACTTATTCCTTCACGGAAGGTATCATGCTATTATTTCGTCATCTCATTCTTCTGGTCTTATATCCAGCAGGCCGACCTAAATATGGAAAGATCCAACATTCTCTAGGATAAAATTATAAGTATCCTGTCGAAAGTTATCAGCCAAAAGTGCTCCACGGTTATTGAAGAATTGCATCAACGTTTGATTCGTTCCCCAATCTGGCCAGTCCATGTAATCACTGGCCCGCGAATTGGGATCCAAGTCATAGACAAAAGACAGATAATATGAATGAATGGACTTTGACGCATAGTTGGGCAGAATTCCATAAAAGACCTGCAAGATATCTGACCCATGGAACGTTCCAAGTATCGGAGTGCCATAATCGTAGCTAGAGAGATAAGACCAAGCGGCTACATCTGGCTTTGCCTCCTTCGCCAGCTTCAGAAATGCGCGTCGAGTAATTGTAAAAGTGAGATCTCCAAGGATTGCTGCAATCCGCTTATACTGCGGATACCAGTTATTGAAAATACCCGTGCGGAACGGGGATCCATCAGTGGTGACATCTGGATATGTCGCAACAAGCTCTTTCAGCTGAGCCTCGGAAGCCCCCTGGAAGAAGATATTTTTCAAATAATCCACCAACTGAGACGTTGTGGTGATGCTGGCTTGGAAAAGAGCAAAAATGGTTCCTTCATCTTCTTGGTCGCCCACGATGAAAGGAACAGAGGCATACCTGCCACTGGTAACCAGATTTTCGGGAGAGTCTGTCAAGACTGTTCCATCTGGCCTTGGAAGATATGATAACGCTACAGAATTGTATGAAAGAATTCCAGGAACAGAGTTTGCTGCGTTCAGGAACTTGGTATAATCCAGGCCGCGGAGACATTCCAGAGTATCGGTAGCAGATCCGCATCCTGCTGATTCAACAACAGTGTCGTATACGTCTTGGCCCTTGGTACCGTCCACAGGGTCTGCGGGTACAATGCTCCCAGAGTTCATGATTCCCGCTCGGAACAGCGGCGACCCATTGTAAGTATTATCGCCATCATACAGGGCCATCTGGTCGAAAACAGAAATAGAACCTGCAGACTCGCCCCAGATAGTCACCTTCGAGGGATCTCCCCCAAAGGCTTCGATATTATCTGCCACCCACTCCAGGGCAAGGCGTTGATCGAGTAGGCCCAGGTTTGCAGAGCCATCTTTCAATATCTCTGACCCAGGCATGAAACCAAATCCACCAACGCGATAGTTTATCGCAACAAAGATGATTGGCATATCAAGGCTCACAGATGCGGACACGAGACTGGAACCATCATACATCTGAGTCGATCCAAGTTCAAACCCACCACCGAATATCCAAACGAGAACGGGGAGTTTTGCATTCGCAGCTATTCCTGACGGACGTCGAATACTGACGGTCAAACAATCTTCACCGGCATTGCTAACGGTTTGAAATATCGGAATATTTGCTAGCTCTCCCAAAACAGATACCGGGAAACCAGCAGTATCGGTAGAGAAATAGAACTGAGGGCAGGATCGTGCGGTTCCTGTAGCTTTAATCGTTCCGAGAGAAGATGAGATGGCCTTCGGGGGCTTCAGTCGAAGTGATCCCGTGGGTGGCTGCGCAAAGGGTATTCCGTTGAAACTGTCCACATTGTTCGAGGAGGATCCAACGACCGTAGCTGCAGGCTTCGAGATGGTGACAGTTGGGGCACTTGCTCTCTTCTGTTCTGCTGGTGCAGCAAAAGCCGCTGGCAGAGCGAGCAAGAAATGCAGAGTTAACTGCACCAACATCATCTTGAATGGAGCCGAGAGAATACTTATGAGGTCTCCTTGGTGTTCCTTGCTCACCCCTCAAGGGACAAAAGCAACGCTTTTAAATATCACTCTGCGGCTCCATTCTTCATAGACAAACTCAACGGAGAAGGAATAAACATGTGGTTCCTCGGTTGAGAAAATGCATCGCGAGGTTCAAATCGACCCCGCGGCGGAGGAGAGGGGTTTTCGGCATCGGAGTCGCATCTATTCTAAGAAAGGAATCTTCACCGGAGATTGCCATGCGCGAGTCAATATTGAGCATACTGGGGCTCGCTAGATGTAAACGGCTGTTAGGGGAATTCTTGTAGGTCGAATAAGAAGGCCAAAGCGTAAGTGCCTTAGGTGCGTGTTGAAGAATCAGCATGATAGGACAAAAACTAGCGCCCTGGGCAGTCGGCTGACTAGAGGAACGATGCGCACGAACGCTGGAATGCAAGATGACCGCACCGGCCCCGCGAATCCTGGGGGTGTGGGGAACGTCCCTCCACTGATACGGCGGAACTGCAGATCGACGGGTGGACTCGGTTTGGTCGCCGTTGTATACTATACGTCCATTCACGACAGTCATCTGCGAAGGTCGAGTGGCAAAATGCAGAAGTTTTACTTGAGTAAATTCTATTGGCATGCCCCTTGTTCCTGACAGATCGGACATAAAAAGGGTCTGGGGCGCAACCGTGAAGAAAGGAAAGGGATGGTGAGCGATGAACAGTAGTTTGGTTCAGTCAACTATTGAAAACTCTAGGCAGCAAGGCCCAACCGTATTCAACCGTATATACTTGCCCAGTCCAGTTATCCGAGGGCTGCAGAAGCGAGAATCCTACCCAAGCCGCGTGTGTTCCGGAGAACCGACCGAAAGAAGCCATGTATATGCATCCTTGCTCTATTCTGTAGATTATAGACTTTGTATACAAATTTTTCTCACGTGAAGGTGTGGCACCTAATTTATGCTTGCCAAAAACGCCGAATATGCCATGCAAAATATCACCCCAGCATTACATCCTCGGTCTGGTCATTCCAGCGGCTCACTTCTCAGTCTGCCAGCCCTCCCACCTCTCGAAATCACCCGTATCCAAATCAAACAAATCCAACATGCGCCCCACACTTTGATTGATCAGATCATCAACCGATGCAGCCCGAATATAATAAGCTGGAACTGGTGGGAAAATGATAGCTCCGCTGCGCGTGATCTCGAGCATATTCCGCAAATGAATGTCACTCAACGGTGTCTCCCTCGCAACGAGAACAAGCTTGCGTCGCTCTTTCAGCATAACATCCGCTGTGCGCGAGATCAAGTCATCACAGAACCCGCTATGAATTCCCGCAAGGGTCTTCATACTGCAAGGCACAACGATCATCCCATCCGTTTTAAACGAGCCACTCGCTACTGGCGCTGCCATGTCATTGATGCTGTGGACGTGGTCGGCCAGAGCCTTGACGTTTGATGGGTGGTAATCGGTCTCATATTTTATGGTTGCTTCGGCCCATTTACTCATGATAAGGTGTGTTTCAATGTTCAGGCGACGCATGGCGATGAGGACTTTGATTCCAAGGGCGGCGCCGGTAGCACCGGTCATCGCGACGACGATACGTTTGCGGGAAGCTGCTAATCCATGACAGTGTTCGGTGTGTATTGTTTCTTGGCCGTGAGAGCTTCCAGGTGAGGCGCGACCGGACTGAGGAGTCTGTGTGCCGGAGAGTAGAGAAAGCATGGTGTAGGTGTTTCTGTTGTTGTATGCTGGTATTGATATTCAGTGTTTGTAATCAGTGTTTGTATGCGGGACTGTATGATGCGATGGTGAGTGATAGATGAAGATGCGAAAGGCGTACCAAGATAGCTGTCTTATAACAAGCCGTGGCAAAACAAAACTCGGTTCTGTTTGGACAAGAATCAGCAGGGTGAGGGCCAAAGTGAAGGCTGTTCGGCCCGATTTTCATACTCCGAGCAAGACCGAGCCCCCGATACCGAGCCACCGAATACGCGGCCCGGGAAGAAAATGACCGAATACAAGGGCATCGAAGGAATCCAAAATTGAAAGGAGTGGTGCTGTACGATCCGAGTTATCCGCTCGTTCTCAAAAGGTCGGACCAATAACGGACGGTTCATCGATCGCACTACTTGGAGCTATATGCTGCTAGCTCAATACCATGAGGCGCAAGCTAGCTTGAGGGGAAAAGGGCATCAATAGCTAATGCCCTTTATTTTCAAAATTGTGATAAATTCATTATGGTCATTATACAGTGTGCCCCTGATCATATTTATTCCATCACAAAAATCCATTCTCTTGAGTGAAGTCGAACATCGGCACTGCTAGTGTTAGTCAAGGAACAAGCTTTGGCGCGGGTCACACACCATTCATAATCGAGTCAAGATACGCGACCGGGGAAATGTCGAAGGCATTTGGCATTTCAAGATAACTTTCATAATTTCTGCATAATCAGCGATATTCTCCCAAGACAAGATGACTAACATACCCATCAAAAGGAACTGGATTTGGTCCTGTTCCAACGTTCTCATTTTCGGTCGATTGGTTTCCCTCCCAATCCAGGGCACCTCGGAGTGTCACCAACGCGCGGATATGACGAGCGGATAGCCATTGTCGGTCTGGCTCCGACATTGTCCCATCGTCCGATCGTGAGTCGGAGGAGGAAAATACATCGATCACTCTTTGCTGCAGATCGCGGCATTCGGGGTCATTGCGAGTTTCCTCCCACATGCAGAGCAAAAGAGTCGAACTTAATACAGTATGTACCATAGACCAACTGCGTATTGGAACAACGCTGAGCGCTTGGAAGTCGAGGAATGCTCTCGAAGCGTCAATCAAGCTTCCCTTCGCGCGTGAGCGTAGAATATCCGAATGTGGCGGCTGTACCTGCGCTTGTTTCATGGCTGGACGACAGGCGACAGATACACAAAAGGAGGTGTGCATTTTCAAAGCTAAGTATTCGAGATGTTGCTGCAGTTTTGTGCAATTTTCGCGAGAATGCAGATGCGGTTGGGCTTTTTGACGGACGCTGTCGATGAGCTGTAAGTATTCGATTCCTCGTTCAGCGGCAGTAATACCTAAACCCTCAGGTCCTAGAATATCCAATCCAACTCTGCAGATAAAATGCATGATTTCCGTATATGAAAGGCCCTGTCTCTCAACAAATGAGTTGTCAAGGGGCCATCCGGTGACTGATACAATGGGAGGGCGATCATAACAGAGGCAGAGTAGGCTATCTTGCCAAACAATTGTCGACCTAGATGGTTCAGTTATTCCTCTTACTCTTACTTTGATTAAATTGCTTCTTACCATAAGGCCCTTGCCTTTGTTCGCACATACTCAGGCCAATGAATGGTACTGCGCTCAGTATGAAGCCCCATAGTCTGCGCTAATCGAATGGTCGTGCCTAGCAATGCCCAGGCCGCATCGGACTGGCCCATATTTTGTAGTGTATTCCCCAATATTAATAGTGCCTGAATTATATCCAACGATGGGCGAAAAAGAAAATTTGCCAGGCGGAGTGCATGAAATGACCGGCGAGCTGGTGGATAGGTCAGCGTGGTCAATGATTCCGGGTGGGCAAAACTTACCAAAGTCTGTAGAAAGTTCCAAGCGCTGCGGATACTCGATATCGGAGTAATGTGCACCAGCTGCCAAAGTAGCTAGCAGCAAGCTGATATGGCCGATAGACTTATCCGTTCCCCAACGCTCCGTGATTTTTTCAGGGTTACGTAGGTCTCCGTTTGCATGGGCATTTAGATAAGTGCACAGGTCTGACTCAAACCGATCCATATCTGCTAGTATCGGATTGAAAGGGTACGCAGTCACACGATAATAGTGAAAGAATCTACTGGTTAGCTTATACGCTCATGATAGGATATGAGGGACATACTTCAAAACCTCCGTCCGTTGCGGCAAAATGCCTAGCAACGAGTGCCAGCGCTCTTGTGGTGTTTTAGAATCCATGAATGGATACGAGTTGAAAGTGTTCTGAAGACCCAGTACCGATCCAACCTCCCTGGCAACGGAATCGTTCGCATCGGACGCTCTCAGTCGCAGGATCGAGACGACGGAGTTATCCCCAGAGTAAACATAATTCTTCGAAGCGTCATCCGATCGCACATCGCCAGCCTCCGCAGGTACATGAGCATCGGCATCAATATCAACATCAATATTTTGACCAACCGAGCCCTCCGGCGACCTCACATTCCGCACACTCCCCGGCGCGGTAACAGGCGACGATGGGCCCCCTCGCCCACGCAATTGATATGAGCAGATGTGTGGGTGCTTGCGACGGACACAGGTCCGACACGGATGGTGACCGTCACATTTGACTTTGCGCTTCCGACAGGGATAACAGGCGTGTGTTTCGCGTTCTCGGGATTTGAGTCGGAGAACTCGGTCTGCCTCATCTTGGCTGACATTCATGCCGAGGTCCGAGATTGCTGCAGGGCCAGGTATGCTTAGCGGGATTGGCGTTTTTGGGATATTCTATTGGTGCGATGAGTGCGATAAGTTCATATATGTCAGTTCCGAGTCGCCGAAACGCAAATAATGAGGAAAACCCTGGGAAGGTAACCAGCTGCAAAAGTTGAGTGGTTCAAGTTGACTCGGAGTGTTCCGGTTCCGTGCACGGGCCAGTTTGCGGTGACGGCGAGGCTGGAATGCTGCAAATCGTGATATTTAAGGATAAATAGCAATAGAATTCTTTCAATTCTCGTCGATTGAAGGTTAAGTGGGTGGAGATATTTGAGGATGTGCAGGTAATTGCCCAAGCAAATTTTGAGTTGCTGTGAATGACTGCAAAAATTGCCAGTATTCAAACATTACTAATAGGAACTAACACATTCAGAAATACAAGGAATAAAATTTACGTAGTTCTAAAATTTTACTTGAAAATTGAAGAAAATAAGATGGAAATAAATTCCAAGGTTAACTACAGATATCTGAGCCCATCGTACAGATCGCGAAGACATTTCGGTAATTATGGTGCACCAGCCTTAAGGCTACTAATTTTGGATACGAGGGTAGTTATATACCTTAGCGTACTGGTAGTTAAACTCCTTCACGTCGTGACTGAGATAACTCATCGTCAGGTTTGCACTCCTGGGCAGTCTTCACTTTGATATTGCCTAATGGCATCTATGGCAATTTTCGGCTTTATCTTTGTCACTGTGCGAAGGATCAGTTTTGAGCCTGTGGATATTGGACATCGCTGTCCCACATTGCAGCGCCCCGTTATGCACCCTGATTCAGCCCCACATCCTTAGCTGCAGTTTATGAAGACACACTTTACTTTTCCGCCTCTCATATTGGAACTGAATGATCCCAGTCCGTTTTCCGACATACATAGAACTATTTAGTGTTTTATTTCCCCACAGATCCGACGAACATCCGATTAGTACGCAAGGCTGCGTTGATTTGGTGAATGATGATAATAGCTTCGAACAAGGAATTGACAGCACTAGAGTTGAGGTGAAGTCAATGCTAGCCATTGTCCTATTGAATACTGATTTAGCTACAAGATAGAGAAGCTCAGGTGATATCTAGCCTGATATAGAGACAATCACATCAATATCGCGGGGTACATGATGCTTGTTTGAAGTGGGTTATGTGGGGTTGAATGGACCCTCACCCTCAATTGCAATTCTCTATTTATTCAGTCTTTACCGCATCCAGATCCTGTCGTCTTTTCCCACCGGGTACTCTGCCGGTGGTCTAACTAGTGCCACTTCGTTCTTTCATCTAGCGATTCATCCTTTAGTTGCTATCAACATGAGATGTACCACACCATACGCTTTTCTTGTGACATCGCTTGTCGCACTAAGCGGTGCATCTAGCCATCGTAGTAGTTGCACAAAATCCGCTTTTCAGCATGCCCTCCCCAAAGAAGCAACCGTTTTATCCACGGCCTTTGTGGAGGCTGGGGGTAGCTACGGCGAGGGAGCTCCTGATATTGCCTATCCCTCAAACTCAACTCATCTCCCCGAGCTCTGCGCTGTGATTGTCAACGTCACCACCTCCGCTATTTCCTCATATCGCTTTGGTATATTCTTGCCTTCTAAATGGAACGGCCGCTTTCTCACAGTCGGCAATGGCGGATTTGCCGGTGGCATCAACTGGCTAAGCATGGGTAACGGTGTGACCTATGGCCACGCCGTTGTATCGACAGATACTGGCCACAACTCGACTAGTCTAGATGTCTCATGGGCACTTAATAATGAGGAGAAGCGGAAAGATTTTGGCTTCCGAGCAATTCACGGGTCGGTCGTGTTTGGTAAAGCCCTGACCGAAGCCTTCTATCGTCGAGACATTGAGTATTCGTATTATGCTGGCTCTTCGACTGGTGGCCGTCAAGGCCTGAAGGAGGTGCAGCTTCATGCCGACTCCTTTGATGGGGTCCTTATTGGCGCCCCAGCATGGTGGACTGCACACCAGCAGCCATGGACAAGCAAAGTCGCAACTTACAACTTGCCCGTATCAGGTCCCAATCACATTTCCAGTGATCTATTTGCCGTTATAGCCAACCAAGTTATCAAGCAATGTGATTCTCTCGACGGAGTCGTCGACGGGATTGTATCATCTCCTAGTGAGTGCAACTTAGAAAGCTTAGCATTGGCTTGCGATACCGAGACGGCCAATGCCTCTGCTTGCCTCACGGCCCCTCAGCTCCAGACTCTGCAGAAAATCTATGCCAACTACACTGTTAATGGAGAACTTATCTTTCCCGGAATGGAATTAGGTTCCGAGGCAAGTTGGTCAATGATTCTCTCTGGCGATGCACCATCCGGGCTTGGAGACGGTTATATCCAGAACTTCGTTTTAAACGACCCCGACTGGACTTGGGAGCATTACAACGATAGTATTGTCTTACTTGCCGAAAAGCTTGACCCAGGTAAATGCACGGCTTGGGATTATAGCTCCCTCAGCAAATTCCGCGACCGCGGTGGCAAGCTCTTCCTCTTTCACGGGCTTGCTGACGGTGGCATTGTGTCTCGATCATCCGGTGTTTTTTACGAGCGCGCGCTGGCTCTTCTTGGAGGCTCGGATGCAGTGCGAGATTGGTTCCGCTTATTCTACATCCCGGGGATGGAGCATGTAGGAGACACGCCCGTGGGGGCCCCCTGGTTCATATCTGGTGGCTCTCAAGCAAGCCGACTAGGATCGAACGCATGGGCGGGACGGACTGGGCTAGAGGATCCTCAGCATGACGCGTTGCTCGCTCTGATGGATTGGGTTGAGAAGGGGTCGGTGATCAAGCAAGTTATTGCGACTACATGGACCAACTCGACGGATCCTGCTTCGGGCGTGCTTCGGCAAAGACCACTTTGCCCCCACCCAGAGAAACAAGTCTACATTGGTGGCAATGAGAAGGTCCCAGAGAGTTGGAAGTGCGTCTAGGGAGGTGAGGAAATTTGAAAAGCTCAAGGGATAATTTACAGTAGTAGATACATCCCTAATGTGGAGATGTTACATTAGTCCACTGTCTGCATACAGAATTTTAATCTGAAACGAAATCTTGGAAATCAATTTATCTATATTCTAGTAGTAATATTACACAAAAGTTCTTCTTCTCTACTCCGAGTCTCTAAATCCCATCTGGGCCCACTTCGCCTTGACTTTATCCTTTAATTCCTGCGGGTACGAGTGTTCAAAATCGGCCGGAACCCAGTCACGACCGGTCGTATACTCAGTCGGCATCAGTGCGTCAGAAACAACCTTGCCACCCTGAACCGGGGAGCCATTTCCATGACTCATATACGGAACTAGAGGGAATCCACGCACATCCTCGAAGAAAGTCTCATCAAGATTAGGTCGGCAGCGCGTCGAAAAAGCCCACATAACGTCCTTGCCGTTGTAGACATCGATATCTTCACCGACCAGTACCAGGCGGTGAATTGTGTAACCCGCCTTGCAGTTGAAAACAAGATCGCCAACTCTCTTAGAGAACTCTTTCGGGGTAGTCTTGAGCTCGCGAAGCTTGGAGCCATCAACCCGGAGGGCAACCCAGGTGACCTGCGATTCGAAAGGTGCAAATGCGTCTGTAATGGGCAGTCCCTCCTTCTGGCAGATTTTGCGAATTTCAGCTGCGGCGAGCGAGCCGATCAATGTGTGCGTCTCATCAGTGAGACGACCACACGCGGACATGGGGAGAATTGGGTTGTTGCGGTATGTGATGCGATCGACCTTGTACTTGGGCCAGAGATGGGTATCAGCTGGGAAGACATAACCGTGCATCTCGCCGAAAGGACCTTCAGGTGCCTTCTCAGTGATCGAAAGGGTACCCTCGAACACAATTTCAGCCGTTGCAGGAACGTGCAGATTATTCGTGTCGCATTTGACCAATTCAAGTGCGTCGCCTGTCATGGCACCGACATACTCGGCCTCGGACACGCCGTCTGGAATTGGCATGCTGGACGCCATGATGGCGGCAGGGGGAACACCAAAAGCTAGAGCCCAGGGGACATCGCGACCCTCCTTCTTCCACATTTGGTGGATCTGCCATATATGCTGCGGTTCAATGACGAGGCCAGTGAGATGGTTCTTGTCGTGAACCATTGCACGCGCGATAGACCAGTTGGTCCAGGAGCCGTCGGGCGACTGAACGATGTGCATGCCGTAGGTTTGGATATACTTTCCACCGTCGTGTTGATGGATCATGGGAACAGGGAGAGAAGTCAGATCAAATTCACCGTCGAGGAGAACGTTTTCTTTGCAGGGGCCAGACTCGACAATGCGCGGGGCGATGGGGGGGCAGTTCCGAGGCAGACAACATTTTGTCGAGGATCTCGCGCATCGACGCGGTGGGTGGTAAAGCCAAATGGCGGGCAAGACGGCCATAGCGATCTTTGGGCGAGGCACGGAGGGAGGCTGGTGCACCGAGGATGCGGAAAAGACCATTTTGGTTGCCAATGAGGTTGTTGAAGAGAGGCGCTTTGTCGTCGGTTTCGCATACGCGGCGAGTGATAGCTGCGGCTTCAAGATTGGGGTCGATCGGCTCGTTAATTTCGACGAGATCGCCATCCGCCTTGAGAGCTTCGACGAAAGTGCGGAAATTCAGATGGGCCATGATAGTATGGATGATACAAGACGGTAATGAAGAATACAAGATTATGGTGTGATTGTGAATTGTAGATTGAATTGGAATTGGCTTGGAGAGAGCTGGTTTTTAAGTAGCCCACCGGAAAACTCGGACATACATCGGTATGCCGTGCCAGAGGGATATACCCAAGACCGAAGTTATCCGAGTCCGAGGCGCCGGATGACTTTGTTGTGAGTAACAGATACAAGTACAGTAAGTACACAGTGAGTAGAAGATCCTGCAGCATCATGGTGATGGTATCCACAGCGAGGTCCGAAGCCGAGCACCGATACCGAGATCTCCACATTCCATGCAGCCAGTGAGTGGATTGCGGCTTCGGAATCGGAAACGGCAGTGCAGAGCAAGCTTCTGCGGGGTATAAATCAGCTACAATTGGCATCATAACAGAAAGTTGCCAGACACTTAGCATCTCAGCAAAATGTTTTATGAGCCCGGAAAGACAGAGCATAACCTCCCGCATGACCCGTTCAAGGTGGACTCTTCCAATTGCTACCAATGCTGTCCAAATCCATGCTGATATCTGCTTAGGCTTGTGTGGTCCCCCGCCCGATCGGATGGATTTCGACTAAGAACAACGATGGCCAAGCCAACCTGGCCCCCTACTCGCAATTTAACAACCTTACTTTCGACCCGCCATATGTGATGTTCTCATCGAACCAGACAGTGTCGGGCACACGCAAAGACACGGTGATCAATGCCGAACAAACTGGGCGATTTGTTTGGAACCTCGCGACCTGGGATCTGCGCGAAGCGGTCAACATCTCCGCCGAGCAAGTCCCTTATGGAGTGGACGAGTTCACACGGGCGGGGGTCAGCAAGGAGGCCGCACGCACGATGGATGTTCCCATGGTGGCCGAATCGCCGGTTAAGTTCGAATGTGAGTATCACTCAACCGTTCGCTTACCTGGCAATCCGCCGATGGGAACCGTCGATGTGGTGATTGGACGAGTAGTGGCCGTGCATATCCGGGACGAAGTTCTGACAGATGGATTGCTCGATGTTCGCAAGACGCAGCCGATCGCACGATGTGGGTACTACCAATATGCGGTGGTGCGTGAGACATTCGAGATGGTAATCCCAGGCATGTCCGAGGATGTACTCTACGGGCTAGAGGGGAGTACACGAGGAAATGCCAATGCCAATGCCAATGCCAATGCCCGAGCGGCCAATGAAGCAAAGGCCGAAACTAACGAGAATGCCAATGCTCGGTTGAATCCGAGTGGAGCCCTCTGAATTCGTATCAATAGGAGAGTTATCTCGCACTATCATACGCTAGATGTTGGTCGACATGGGGGTTTCTTGATGCAGGGTCCAAAACCCTGCCCACTGTGGCGTGTTCTAGAAGTTTAGCTGCAATTTATGGTCATGCGTCGACTATTCCACCTTCTACATTCAGAAATAGTTTATCAAAGAAGTCAAAGGACAGGATAAGCGTGGCAAATGGTTGAGATAGAGCTGGCAAATGAAAGGATCCACTAGTTCTCTCCTCCTGCAGGGATATGCTGAATTAGGGTTATCGCCCGCCACTCATAAAGCTGCCCGCCTTTTGCTCCAATGAATATCCCGGCCAAGCTCTGATGTTGCACTGTGTCCTGCCAGCCAAGGTCAAGCCAAGCGCTCTTGGCGCTGGTGTTGACCAGTCGCAATCATAGCACCATCGCAGCGGGCCAATAGCTCACCACCAGCCAATCTCCGCCCAGATTCCCGATTGTGCCATCCCGGCAAGATCCTGCGATACGCGGCGGCACGCGACTTTCTACAGCCAGTGGCAAGCTTGTGGCACAGACAAAGATATCAAAATAAAATTCAGGCAAGCCATGAAAGGAAAAATCAATCGGATACCGACGGTGCCTGGCTTGGCTAAATTCGAAGTACCACGCGCAGGGGAGGCCCGACCGATGGCGACCATGGACTAGTCTAAGACGCACATTGGGGAGACACAAGATGGCCACGCGGGATAAGTGTCACAAGCTGAAATCGCACTAGCCTGATGCTAAACCGTGGTGGCTGGTCGAGTTGTGCCGCACCTCCTGGTCTACTTTAAAAGCATTACAAGCCCACCTCTCTCTGATCTTCTCCTCATCCGTCGCATTCTCGCATTGCAACCACTTTAATTTGCACTACACAATACTGTTTTGCACTGACTAGTGCTCATCTGCCTGCGATGAATGTCTCCGACCCTGTCGACCAGGCAGAGATCGCCAAGTCCAAGGCCATCGCCCACGATATCGTGGACGAGAAACACAACCTCGCCATCAGTGAGAAGCAGGACTTCAGCATTGAGCCTGTTTCCCAATCCTATGTCGGTGACGACGATGACTTGAAGACAACCCCAACCGATGAGGAGTTGGCTACCCTGCGTCGTGTCTCTGGAAAGCTACCCTGGCAGACGTTTACCGTCGCTTTTGTCGAGTTGTGTGAACGTTTCTCCTACTATGGAACGACAGCAGTTTGTAAGCGCAAACCAATGAAACTACCCCGGTAAAAGTCGATACTAACTTTCCGCAGTCGTCAACTTTATTCAACGCCCTTTACCCGGAGGCTCCACCACCGGTGCTCTCACGACTGATTTCTCCAATGGTGTGCCAGGTGCTCTGGGTATGGGGCAACGTGCCTCAACTGGATTAACCTTGTGTGAGTTTTACCGTCACGAATGAATATTACTGCGCAGATGAGGCAAAGCTGACCCTGTCAAATCAATAGTCAATCAGTTCTGGTCCTACATTATGCCCCTCGCTGGTGCTTGGGTCGCTGATCAATACTGGGGTCGTTTCCGCACCATCTTCGCTTCCATCGCCTGCGCTCTTGTCGGCCATACTATCCTAATCATCTCTGCCATCCCCCAGGTCATTTCGAAGCCCGGTGGCTCGATTGGTGCTTTCTCTATTGGACTGGTAATTATGGGCATCGGAACCGGTGGTTTCAAGTGAGTCTCTCGAATAAAGATGCTCTCCACCAACATTGCTAACCTTTCAGATCCAACATCTCCCCCTCATCGCAGAGCAGTATCCCGATGAGAAACCCTTCATTAAGACCTTGAAGAGTGGAGAACGCGTGATTGTCGACCCTGCTGCGACTATTGCTCGCATCTATCTCTACTTCTATCTCATGATTAACATCGGCTCTCTGACCGGTCAGATCAGCATGGTTTATGCAGAGCGCTACATCGGGTTCTGGCTATCCTACCTGCTTCCCACCTGCATGTTCTGCTTGTGCCCACTGGTGCTGATCCTTTGCCGTAAGAACTATAACCTCGTCAAACCCACTGGATCTGTCTACGGAAAGGCATTCCGTCTCTGGAGGCTCGCGATGAAGGGTCGTTTCAGCTGGAACCCCATCAATTGGTTCAAGAGCAACGGCACTAGCAGCGACCGTGAGTCCTGGGACCATGTCAAGCCAAGCAGACTGGGCGACAACAAGCCGGAGTGGATGACCTTCGATGATGCGTGGGTGGATGAGGTGCGCCGTGGTCTCAAAGCCTGCCAGGTCTTCCTCTGGTATCCGCTGTACTGGCTGGCCTACAACCAAATGCTGAACAACCTGACCTCCCAAGCCGCAACCATGAGGTTGGGTGGCGTCCCCAACGACGTTGTCAACAACCTCAACCCATTTGCTTTGATCATCTTTATCCCCATAATGGACCGCTTCGTTTATCCAGGTCTTCGCAGAATGGGATTCAACTTCACCCCACTTAAGCGAATTACAGCTGGTTTCTTTGCTGCCGGACTTGGCATGATCGTTGCAACCGTGACCCAGTACTACATTTACAAGGTTGGACCTTGCGGAAAGGAAGCCAACTACTGCTTGGAAGTCGAGGGCAAATACAGTGACATTTCGGTCTGGGTACAGGCACTGACCTACATTCTTGGTGGTCTTTCCGAGATTTTCGCGTCGGTGACATCCCTTGAATATGCCTTCACCAAAGCCCCGAAGAACATGCGTTCCCTCGTGCAGGCCGTGGCACTGTTCATGAACGCCATTTCTGCCGCTATCGGACAGGCAATGGTTGGACTGTCTGCTGATCCTCTACTGGTGTGGAACTATGCCCTTACCGCAATTCTTGCGTTCATCGGCTGCGCTGGCTTCTGGCTGACCAACTACAAGTTGGATCGTGAGGAAGATAAGCTCAACATGCTGCCTACTGGCAGTGGATTTGAGGCAAGGGCCGAAGAGGATACGGAGAGAAGGTAGATCCGTGATATGTTTTAAAAACACTTAATTGAGGGGGTTTGGAAAAGGATAATTATTAGGCTGTCCCAGTCATGGGTTATTGAGATACGATAATAATGATATTCCTTTCTGTATCGAACACTTCAACGATCCCTTTTCTATCTTTCGCCTATTTCAAACACAGTAAACGTCTCAGCAAATTTGAAAGCAAATGTGTAGAAGCCATCCTAAGGATGGCATTCTCTCATCGGTCAGATACATCCTTTTGATACCATTCATTCTTTCCATTGCCCGCGCCCGGATCAAAAGACCAATTGACACATATGAAGATTCATCAGCAACAAGTCTCATCAGCGCGAGACGGAGTAGCTGCCAATCCAGTAAATCCTTGGAACTTCTGAGGGAATCCAACTCGAAAAGTGTGTTCTCGTTCAACCGAAGGGTCCAGAAAGATCGGGGCAATTGCCACTGACATATAGAAACCAGATTTTCCGTATCCCTGACATCGTCAAAGCTATATTTTATGGGACAAACCAAATCAGCGATCAAAACAGTGATATCCATGGGCAATTGACTGAATATGGAAGCGACTCTTGGTCTTGTGAACGATAGGAATTGGAACCGGTCGATGATATCTCCTATTCCGGGAAGAAATAGCGGACTTTGATAAGGTTCTACCTGGTGCCCAGTTGGCCAACGGGATTTGATGTGGAATTTGTCAACTTCCCCACCTCCCTGACGCCAATACTTCCGAGACGCTGCGGCGAGTTCTGACAATCTCGATGCGTTGAATTCTGTTTCCAGAACATGGCCAAAGAGAGTCCAACAGTGAACATGAACAACATATCCGATTACTCGGCCTTCATATTCAGTCGGCTTTTCTCGCTCAATATCTAAAGGCGAGAACCTAGTAAATTTCTTTTTATCATATTGACATTCAGGCTTGCTGTAAACACAAGCCATAGCAGGGTCCGTGGGAACGTGATAGACATCAGGGGACGAATAGCGGAAGTTTCCCACGAGACCTATCCCCGATAGGCGGCATCTGGAGCTCGTTTCTTCGATTACTACACAAATTAGCAATGTAATTGAATCATCTGGCCAAGAAAGACTCACTTGCGCGGTAAAGGTAGGAAGTCGATTGTGGAGACTCGGCTATATATGTGCTTTCCACTTCTTTAGAAGAAACCATGATGTGGTTGCGATAATTCCTGTAGCAAGTTTTCCATTTGCGATCGCCAAAAGCCGTGACTACATCCGTATGATAAGGGAAGTATGTCACTTGGAATCCCCGTCCTGGCATCTGTAGTCCGCATAATAAACATTTTGGCCTTTCAGTAGTGTGGCGACTTTGGTTCACCAGTGGCATCGTGATCGACAATTTCAAGTCTATGAGTGAGAAAGCTTTTGTCGACGTTCAGAAGAACAGCAATTTCTGTTTGTTCTGACATGCGCCTGGCATTTTACGTCATGATTTATGCTTGACTATAAGAACTTAAATCCATGGGTCACGTCGGGATTCAGAGATCAAACAACCATTATGTACTCCAGACCTCTAGGGCGGTCAGCCTAAATTCCCTCTCCAGCCTATTGGAATAGTTGTGGCTATAACTAATGTAATGGGAGAAGCGGTTGTTGATATAGGAGAAACGGTGCGATTGGTCAGATCTGGAATAGTAGGCTAGCTCCATTTGGATTGCTGGTAGATATTTTCGTTTTAGAGAACAGGAATAGCTTCCATATACACGTTACAGTCTCGCAATTTATTCTGCTGTCTACCAGAGCGCTACATGGTGGTGGGGGTGGTGTTCATGCCATATCCATGTCCCATTCAACTCGCACGTTCTGATCGTGCTGTTTCGAGTATCTCTCCCTGCTTCACTAGTTACTAGGTGGTACTACGAACAGACAATCCGCTGTATGTGTTAAATATGCTATATTCACTCTATCAATGGATATAAATGATCCACCATTGGCAAATGGCCCCACTTCACTAGAGTCAAGCCAAGCCACATTTGAAATATACAACCCAAACGCCAATCATAACTGGTATATCCGAACAAATCATATACAATCACCGAACGAAACCTAGCCAATCTAAGCCAGCTTAGGCCTCAATTGCACATCCCCCTTAACATAATCCATTCCAGTCTCGAAATCGCCGTTCGTCGCAAACTTGATATCCTTGCTGTAGTGATCGCGTGCCTGCCAAGGGCCCTTATCAGCCGCCATGGGCAAATGCTTCGAAGCGACCGTAACATAAGTCGAGTTAAGATTCAACAAAGGACGCTCTTCGAGAGTCTTCTGCTCGTTAGCACCCATACGAGGCGTGGCCGAAACAAGCTTCCGCTCCTCCATGGTGCGCAGCAGACGAGTAACGAACTGGGCCGTCGCATCCGCGCCAAGAGTCCACGAGGCATTCGTGTAACCAATGATGAAACTGGCATTCGGGAGATCCTGCAACATAACCCCGTTCCAAAGGAACTTGGATCCGATCTCGATCTTTTTCCCGTCAACAGTAAGATTCGATCCACCCGCAATCTGCAACTGCAGACCCGTCGCGGTAATAATGATATCCGCGTCCAGTGAGTCGCCCGAGTTCAGCGTGATGCCGCGCTTAGTAACCGTCTTTATTGTGTCGGTGCGAACATCGGCTTTGCCCCGGCGGAGACTCTGGAAGAAATCTCCATCTGGGCAGACGCACAATCGCTGGTCCCAGGGGTTATAGCGGGGTTTGAAGTGGGGGTCGTGGGTAACGTGAGAGGGTAATTGGCGGGAAACATTCTGCCTCAAGATCCAGCGGGAAAAACCTGGGAAACGCTGGCAGAAGAGGAAGAAGATGCGCGAGGTGTAGATCCAGATAATACGCTGCAGCCGGTGATACAGCGACGAGGGGAGTAGGTAGGCGAGCCAGCGGGAATTGGAACGGTTGGGCAGGGAGAGAATGTATGTGGGACTGCGCTGGAGCATCGTCACGCGATCGGCCTTTTCCGCGAGATTTGGGAGGAGAGTTATAGCCGTGGCGCCGGAGCCAATGATGACGACCTTCTTGCCGGTGTAATCGAGATTCTCGGGCCAGAATTGCGGGTGGATGATTTGTCCCTGGAAGTCATCCAGGTTGGGGATGTTGGCCTTGAGAGGCTGGTGATAATTATAATAGCCCGTTCCGAAGATGACGAAGCGGGCGCGGAGAGTGGTCGGGGTACCATCTGCATCAACGTCCAAAGACCAGACATTCTCGGTAGAAGACCAATCAGCCGAATTGAGGCGATTGCGGAAACGGATGTTCTTCGCGATGCCGAACTTCTCAGCTGTGTCGCGTACGTAGGATTTGATGGCGCTGCCCTCGGCGATGGGATTGCTCTGGTTCCATGGGTTGAAGGCAAAACCGAAAGTAAAGAGATCGGAGTCGGAGCGAATACCAGGGTATTTGAAGAGATCCCAAGTACCGCCAAGGTCATCGCGAGCCTCAAGGATGGAGTAGGAGAAACCGGGCAGCTGGTCTTGCACGCGATATGCGGCGTTAATACCGGAGATACCAGCGCCGACAATAATCACGTCGAAGTCGGTGGCAGGGGAGCCAGCAGAGCCAGCAGAGCCATTTGCGTGACCATTCATGGTGGCGACAAAAGGTGAGAGGGAGATGTTGGGGAGAAGTGGAGTGGAGGAGTGAAGATGAGAGCGTCTTTAATCTTATAATCTCTGCGCGTATGACTCTGCTAAAAGAAGACCCGAACATGCCTCGGTTTCACGGCGATCGGTGGGTCTCTCTGCATGGACGCAATGTTGGGGAACTTGTGAGTATCAGATGATGGCGTGCACTAAATCGGAGAACTAGGAGGACTTTGTGATATCTACGGAGTGTTGTACATACCATATTATTTGATATTTCCTATGCTTCCCATAAATCTACTCTGAATGGTGGAAGATTTTAGGGCTTCTCCTCTGTATTGTCAGCCGGATACCGTATCGTCCACCACAATCCACCTGTAGCCTATAGTATACCGTACGGTACATACCGATCTATAACCCCCCTCCTCTCCCCTCTACGCTGTTTTTTCATCCTTTAAAGTACAGAGTATAATAATGATCTATCTCGTTGAATGAATATCACCATGCGACACTCGCATCACTGTGCACACTCTGCTCACTGCTGCGGTACCTCGGTAGGGGGGGGGGGGTATATGCCCATCCTTACTGAAAGTGGATAGGAGTGCGAACTCCTCCACACTTTTCTTTTCTCGCTTTCACACTGGGCCCACCGAGGATGTTGTCCTCCCTCCACCTCCACCCGGCACCTCGGTCAGGGCCGAGGTCTTATCTTATATTCTGTCGCTGTCCTTATACGCCTCGACTGCTTCACCGATGCGCAATTGACCTTTGCGCAGCCTCCATTGCTCGCTCTGCTTGATATCATTGCCGCTATGTCTGTCAAACTCACCCTCCAGCAGAAGCTGGACTTCCTCCCAGCCATTGCCTCCATTACCCTCGCTGCCTTCTATGGAATTATAACCGGCCTTTGGCGCACCGAGCGACAAGCCAAAACCCTGTTCCTTCACATCGGCTATGCCGTCATGCGCAAGGTCACCGCACGCCTTACCCCGGCGCAAATGCAATACGCCACGCCCGCGTCCAACAAAGTCTACGAACAATACGCCCGCAAGGCCCGTATCCAAGCCCAAACAGTCCAGCTGGAACATGGTGCGCTTGGCCACTGGATCGGTGATCGCGATGCGACCAATGTGATGATCTGGTATCACGGTAAGCCCATAACCCCCTGGCATGCAATCATGCAATGCTAATGTGTCTTCAGGCGGCGGATTCGGCCTCCCCGCCAACATTGGCTACTTCAAATTCTACGCCCAGCTCATCCAAACCCTCAAGACCTCCAACAAATCTCTCGCCGTCTTCTCCCTTACCTACACCCTCGCCCCGGCCGAAACATACCCAACTCAACTAAAACAGGCCGTTTCCGCAGCGCGCTACATCCTCTCAACCGGCCGATCCCCCGATACAATCTTCCTCGGCGGCGATTCCGCAGGCGGAAACCTCGTTAGCGGTGTCCTCTCCCACCTCGCCCATCCCCACCCTCAAATTGAACCCCTCTCCCTTCCCAACAATGGCAAACTCGGCGGCGCAGCCATGATCGCACCATGGACCCTCCTCGACACCGAATTCCCCGACCAGGAGATCTACCATGGCGGTGACCTGATCACCCAGGCCGTCGCGCAACCCTGGGCTAGTGCGTACATTGGCAAGAGTCCGCGGGACAATTACACCGATCTATCCAATGCGCCGGTGGAGTGGTTTAAGGATTTCCCTGTCAATCGCGTCCTTATCACGGGTGGCGGTAATGAAATTCTGCTTCCGATTATTCAGGACTTTGCGGCGAAGTTCAAGGAAGGTTTTGAACGGGTGGAGTTGTTTGTGGGACATCGTGAGTGCCATGTTGCGCCAATTTACAACTTGTACCTTGGTGATATGACGGAAACTGCCCAGGGGAAGAAGGTTAAGAGCTGGCTGGTTGAGTTGGCGGAGTAAATGCCGAAGCACAGTATATAATACAGTAAATATTATTGTTCATAAAGCAGAAATACTTTGAAATAATTCATGTTGTACTACGACATTATGTTCAGCCCTACGAGTATGATCTGTGCGACTATCAACTTGACTGTAAACAACTTTAATGAATGTCATAAACATGAAATCATTTCTAAGATACAGAATGAATATAATTGATTCTAGTACAATGTGATTCATATGATGCCACCATCTCCATTCACATGCATCTATTCTCCCATCTTCACACTCACTTCTACCCTACCCCGCGCTCAATAGTTTATAGTTGCCTTTGACAATATCTTCTGCTCTTGAAATTCCCCTCATTTTCACATGCAGGAACCTGCAACTCTATTTATGCGCTAGCCATGTTGGGCAACACTAGTCCCAGAATAGTAAAATATCCCCGGGCGCCGCATAAAGTCAACCATCAAAGGGACGGTCATACATCATCGGACTATCATGCTCTGTGCTATTTCATATGTATACATCCTGGTTACCTGAATAGGATGCCGGTACGGGGTTGTGATGCCACATTATGTGAATTATTTTTATGATTACTATTCAGGACGCCTATACTTGATCATACTTACTCCATGCTCCTTTTATGCTCATCTCCATTCTGCAAGTGGAGCCATTAGATAAAAGATAAAATTCCTCTTCCCCAGTTCTCCCCAGCTTCTCTCGACCTTCCCCCACATTTTCTTCCTTGTCATCTCCTCTCTCTCCCTTCAAAATGAATTTACCGGCCCTCTCGGCCCTCTCCATCGCTGAGGGCTACCTCATCCAACACTTCCTCCTTCCCGACTTCGCCTTCCGTACTCTTATCCTCGCTGCTTTGGCCAGCAATCTCCTATTCGGAGGAGTCTACAACTTGCTCATCTGGCCCCTCTTCCTGAATCCTCTCCGCCACCTCCCCACAATTCCAGGCCTCTTCAATAATGCTAAGATAATTTTCGACTCGCCCCGTGGCCGCACCCCGTTGGAATGGATGAAGACAGTTCCTAATGATGGCCTTATTCACATGCGTGATAGCATCAGCCAGAGCTATCTCATCGCCACAAACCACCAGGCACTACTTGATATCATGAGCACAAACACATATGACTTCGAGAAGCCATGGCGTGCCCGCAACTTCCTTGCTCGCATCCTAGGCTTTGGCCTCATTCTTTCCGAAGGCCCCGCCCACAGGAAGCAGCGCAAAGCTCTCACTCCCGCTTTCAATATTAAGAACATCCGCGCTATGTATAGCATCATGTGGGATAAGACGGTCCAGTTACTGGAAGAAATGGAAAAGGAATTAGCCGAAAACCCGATGCAGGGAACTAATCCAGAAGATAAAGTCGGCAAGCTAGAGATGGGCGTCTGGGGGAGGTATGTTCCATCCGTCTCCTTCATTACATATTAGATATACTAACTAACCGATCAGCCGTGTTACGCTCGATATTATTGGCCCTGTAGCAATGGGCCGTGACTTCCGCTCCCTTCAAAACAAAGACAACAAAGTTGCGGAAAGTTTTCTCCGAATCCTCGAACCAACAACCGAGAAAATGGCCTTCCTCGCCATGAACTTCATTCTACCCCAATGGATCGCCCAGCGCGTTCCATGGCGCTTGAACAAGGTTGTCGCCGACGAGACCGGATTCCTCCGGAATCTCTGCAACGACATCGTCAAGGAGAAGCGAACCACTCTCGCCGAATCCAAGGCTTCGGCCAAGGACCTTGAAGCAGATATCCTGGGTACCATGATGTTGGGCGGTGATTTCTCGGACGAAGAGCTAGTCGATCAGATGTTAACATTCCTCGCCGCGGGCGTAAGTTGAAGTCCACCATCAGCACAGCTTTCCATCTCTAACTCCTTTCAGCACGAAACAACCGCTGCCGCTTTAACATGGGCCTGCTACCTTCTAACACTGCACCCAACATACCAAACCCGCCTCCGCGAAGAGATCCGCGCCCAAATTCCCTCAGCATCAACCGACATAACCCACCAAGACCTCGAATCTCTCCCCCTACTAAACGGCGTCTGCGAAGAAGTCCTCCGCCTATACCCAACCGTCCCAGCCACAATTCGCGAAAGTATTCGCGACACAATGATCGCCGGCAAACGCGTTCCGAAGGGTACCCGAATCCTCCTAATCCCCTACGCAATCAACCGATCCCCGCTATTCTGGGGCGATAATGGAGAAGATTTCCTTCCTGAACGGTGGATAGATACGGATCCCAAGACGGGGAAGAGTGTGCCGAACAAGAATGGCGGCGCGAGTACGAATTTTGCGCAGATTACGTTCTTGCATGGGCAACGGGCTTGTATTGGGAAGGATTTTGCTAGGGCTGAGCTTAGGTGTGCGGTTGCGGGGGTTGTTGGTCGCTTTGCTTTTGAGATGCAGGATCCTAAGCAGGAGATTCATGTTGCTGGTGCAGTTACGACGAAGCCGGTCGAGGGGATGAATTTGGCTATGCGCAGGGTTGAGGGGTGGTAGTAATTATGCAGGAGTGTAAACTGAAAAGAGATCTGGGAGTTATGTTTATGAGAAATGATTGGGTGGTGGCGTTTTGTGTATATTGAATGTTTTTATTCGAGTAAATATGGAATGACTGATTTTATACTTCACATTGTATTCAATGACCTGGATCGACTCTCACTCCTCTAACTATGGAATCTTCCGGGTCCCGGGCTTCAAACCTGAAATTTATCCAGATCCAGCAATTTGGGCCATGCACGATAGTGAGGAATATAAGACTTAGACGGTTATAGAGAGAATAAAAGTGAGCAATATTATAAAGTAGTCATGGTCCGGTACGAAATCCACGATCTCTTGTGATTCTCCACCGGTAGTCTAGCTACGCCACTTGGAGCCACGCCATTGCAATAGGATAGTAGGCACAATGCTGACTCCAACAATCAGAGCCACAGCAATTCCCGCACCACCACCCCATCCAACTGTTTCAAACATCTGCGGAAACCAGAAAGGGCCAATGAAGCCCCATACCTGTCGCACAAATGTGATAAAAACACCGACACTGGCCGCATCCATGCGGTAGCAGTCCACGGCATAGGTAATATTGATTGTGGTGACAATCTGGTTACCACCAGCTGCAATTGCTGCCCCAATGATCGGGGTGATATTCCACTTATCACCAGCTTTGCCTAACTGCACGCAGAAAACGACAACACCACAAATTGTCAACGCGTGACCAATATAGCTTAGCCATAACCTGTATTCTGGCTCTGGGTACCGTCCACCTTTCTTCTCGCGTAATTGCATCCATCGATCGGATATCAATCCTCCAACTTGCTCACCCAGTACTGAACCAATGATGATACCCAGGAATTGCAGTCCGACTTGTTGCGTGTTCATCGCGAACTGCTCTGGGAATATCTGCGGGATTTCGATTGTGAGCATGATGCTGCCCCACAGAAAGATCATGGCGTAGGCGGCGGCGGGAATCATCACGCAAGGCTTCATGACGTAGCTGAGTGGTTGAACGAAGTCCCACAATCGCAAAGGTGCCGGATCAATGCGTCGGAATTTGAACATACTCTCCTTCGCGCTTGTAACGTTGTTTCTGGCCGTTTCACTGCGAAGGTATAGGGATTCGGAGCCGAAGACGAGGTATACAACGAACTGTATGCCGTTGACCTGGAATAACATTAATATAAACAATGCCTTTTTGGAAAATCAAGCAGCCCAAGGTGGAGCTATTAAGACTCACAATAGCAAGTGTCCAGTAAATCCACCGATATCCCACCCTCATGACGGCAAACCCAAACAAAAAGGGCGCAATCGGTACACCGATCGTCACCATCAAGGTCCAATACCCCATACAACGTGCTCGATCTTTCTTGAAAAACACCTCTGCGACAACTGCACTACCAATAGCAGCGGCGGGTGAAATGAAGAATGCAGTGATAGCACGACAAAGACCCATGGTAGCATAGGAGTGACTCTCCGCACAACCGATATTACCAACAAGGGCGCAGATCAAAGAAATGAGAAAGATGGGCCTCCGACCAAATCTGTTGCTCAAAGGTCGCCAAAAGAGCGGTGCACCGCCCAGCACGGCGATGAAGAGTGAGACAAGGTAACTGGTTCGCTGCATGCTAACACCGAGGTCGGCCGAGATATTGACGAAGGCAGATTGAATCGACGCGGCCGTGAAAAGACCGATCATAGCGTGGAAGACGACGAGGGAGAGATTCAGTGCTTTCTATCGTGTTGCATCGCGTCAGTATCATCATCTCATCCCCTCTCCATCAAGATTCATCTTACCCGCCATGTAGACCAGTTGTAAGGATCCGCATCGTTCATATCAGGAATCGGATCCAGGTCAAGTGTGTCATGTCTCGCAAGAAGATATTGACGATGTTCCTCCGAAAGATGAGCAACACGATCTTCAACGTAGAAAGCGTCCGTCTTCCCGGATTCAAGATTTGGGCTAGCGCCCTCGACGTGGTGGGAATCGCTGCTTGTTTTCTCCATGCTGGATACTCCTGTGTTAGCAATAGATCTGCAGGAAAGAAGAATGGTGTTTACCTTTATAGCCCCCTTTCTTCGTACTCAGCTCTCCGCCGAATAGTCCGGGGATAGGGTCTAATCTGGGGGCGGGGGCATCTCCACCCCCAGACAAGACAGATAGGATCCTCGGAGATGATTCTTTGTGGCGGTCCATTGGTCAAGTTGGTATTCTGGTTTCGATTCTATTGGTCGTCTGTGAGTCTAGATGCAGCAGCGGATATAGATTCTGCCCTTGTGGAGATCGTGGGGTGTGGAGAAGATCAGTGCGCAGGACTTTTGATCGCAATAGGAGGGCAGCAAGGGGCGTAATTGACAAAGTTTCTTAAGAAGGCGTCTATCTCCGCAAACCCATCGCTGATAATATCCTCGTCGCCTGGCTGTCAGGATAATGCTTGATCCTTCTTGGCAACTTGGCGGAGGTGGCGTTTCTAGCTCCCCACAATTTCCAAGAATACTGAGTCCGTACCAATGGACGCGTCGCAAAATGAAGAGGAATCAAGAATTTGATTACAGTACTCCCTTGGTCCGATCAATATTCGACAGTTGATGCGCTTATAATGTCGCTTGAAAATGCTTGTGAAATTATTGTGGGGATGCAATGGCCAATATCATACTTTTATGTACATTTTAGTATCGGCTACCCCGGGCCCCTCCCACAATCAAATCAAAACACTTAATCATAGTAGCAGTCACCCGACTTTCTCGTGATTTCTCATTAATAGACCTCTTTCGATCTCTCTAAGAGCTAGTGCTATTGCTCGAGATGCAGTCCACCCCAATATCTCCCTGAATCCCATCACAAACAATCTCTGGTGGGTCTCCGGCTGGGCTGGTAATGTCAATGTTCGAGAGTTGAATACCCGAGCACACAGCGTTTGGCGAGCAGGTCAAGTCGACGACGACCTTTCCATTTTTACCAGAGGATGTACCGTAAATATTGTCAAAGACGATGTTTGTGAAGTTAACTGCGGACGGGTAGGCGGCACACTCGGTGGCGTTTATGTTAAAGTAGCACTGATCCATAACGACAGGAGCATCGGTGTTCTCGATATGGATGTTACGGTAAGTGATATTGTTGATGCGACCGTATCCGACGTTTTGGCCAGCCCATGCCTTGAGACGGGCTCCATTCTACTGAAGTCAGTATCGCCCGTCACCGGAAATTTTTGCTTATTGTATCATTGATCTCACCTGTCCATTCAGCAGAGTCACGTTCTCGATATGCGCATTCTCGATGTAATCCATCTGACCCGCGTACTGTCCAATGCTTCCCATGCTGACACCGTGGGTGTTGTTGCACCACAAATTTTGCACGAAGATATTGGAAGTGTTAGGCTTTGGGGAAAAGCAGTCATCGCCGATATCGATTCTGGTGTTTGTCACGCTGAGCCCATCCACATTCAACGAATCGAAACCGTCGGTGTTTTTGGGCAAAGACTATCTCAGTTAGTTGGATGGATTTCTGAGATGACCAAACGGTAGATGACTTACGGACGCGTTGGTGGAGTAGGCATTGATGAACACATTATCGAAAGAAATGTCCTTGCTCTGCACAAAGAAGTTGGTCCAGCAGGGTGAGTTGAGTTGCGTGATGCCCTCAACGCTGAGGCGCGTCGCATTCTCGGTCAGGAATAGAATTGGTCGGTAGAAAGTGTTGGTCGAGTCCTGCGTGTATTAGCATGATAACTATATTCGGGGTAGAGGTTGAATCGCCTACCAAAATCTCAAGTCCAGCAAACGCATCATACCACTCCTGGCCGTTTCCGTTCAGAGTACCTTTGCCGAAGATCTTGATGTCCTTGCCACCCCATCTCCAAAAGGTGATCGACTTCTGGAAGGAGTAGTAGAAGTTATTTGCTTGCCAGTAGTCGATATCATCGGTAAACTAATGACAATTAGCACACAGCTCAACAGCGCCTTGTTAACAGTTTCCATACCTTGAGTTCACCATCCAGCTGCACTTCGACGTTATCCAAGAAGGTCAAGTCCAGCTTTTTTCCAAGCATATACGTCTTGCCCTTCTGTAGCAGCAAACGCCCACCATGGTTGGCCTGCTTGATACCCCAAAGGAAATCCGCCGACACATCATCCTTCTCATTCTTCGAGGCACGAATAGTGACTGTCCGGCGGTTCGGGTATTTCTGTCCATGAGCTCCAACCTTGCGGAGAGCAGCGGTCTCCTTTACCGGGATAAGATGCGCCCCTGGGATTATATGGCTTGAGGCAAGGCCGGAGACTGCCCCAGCAAACAGAGCTGCAATTGCAAGGACCTTCATCTTGTTAGAACTGATAAATAGCTTGCCAGAAAGTGATAGAGGCAATTGCGACGTGGACAGCTCTTAAATACCTTCACTGGATGCCAATTCCAGAAATATTGCGCCGAATAAATCTAGAAGGGTTGGCACGCGGGGATACACGAAGATTTCCCGCCTGTAGGAATTGACAATGGCAACTACTGAGCAAGATCAACAGGGACAAAGCCCGAAGAGCTGCCGATTGCTCTCCGCATGCCAAGGATGCGGAGAGGAGGGTTAGATGACTGGGTATGGGGTAGAGTAAAGTTTACAAGGAGGTTGGTATTTAACTTAATGGGAGCTAACATGGGCAGCTCTAGCTGTCAGTGGCTGGGATTCATTGCGCCGTCTTGGTTGTCATGATTTGTGCGTTGAGACTAGATTCTCCACCAATCGCGGGGTCATCGAGAGCGAGCTGCGGGGATACAGTTGTTTCATCAAGAGTATCTCACGAAATGATTCATATTGCGAGGCTATTTTTTCCCTCCTTCTATGGAATTTCCGATCGCACAAGGTTCTGAAGTTGCAACAGATATTATGCAATCTTTCAGATTGCACTGCTACTGCTCTATACATATCATCGCGAATGTAGACGCAGACGCAGACATCTACAGCTTCTTTCCAGCCAGCACTAGACCAGTGATGCAGCTGATGTTTCCAGACCACCAAGCAACCGAGCGCAAATAGCTCAGCCCCGGCGACTCAATGTGCGAGTACAACCAGCTATAAGCCAATCTCGACGCCGTGTACCAGACACCGATGGTGTTGATTTTCTCTGCCGGAACACCGGCGAATAGAGCAGCAAGAACTGTCCAGTTAGCGCATTTCGCTCAAAGATCGGAATTTACATACTCGCTGCGACAAACAGGGGGAAGCCCTCCACGGCATTCGCATGTGCCGCCTCCTGTCGCTTCAACTTGTTCAGCGCGCTGCGAGAGATCTTGCCAGCCTGTACAGCAGCTTCGCCATACTTGCCGAGGTCCTCTCTGGGCGCGACATTGTGGTCCAGACCAAGGCGAATCTTCGATCCACGCGTGCTCATCAAGGCGTACGCGAGGACCCAGTTAGCCAGCAGAAAGGAGGTGGCATGGTTGGGGACCGCTTGGCCAGGAGCGGCGCGGAGGCCCAAGGTGGTGATGATCGAACTATTATCTATCAGCAGTGTACAAATCGAGAGATGGGCACGATTTCTCACGACATGATGGAGTTGTTGGATTCAATATTCCCTGCGGGCGCTCGGGTTTATAAGCGCGTCGCGTTGTGGATCACCGCATGTGGGTTCGTCCGACCGAGGAACTGTACATATGAGATCATGTCGATCGCTCGGGGTGCTGGAACAAGCGAGTCCGTGCGTTCCAAGGTTGCTGGGAATACTCACAACTGAATTTTAGGTCATTCGAACCGAGGCGTCGCGAATTCAGTTCAAGAACACGATGAATTTGTGAAACCGAGCTTGCAATAATTCAACTTCAAGTTGCTTCGGGTGCGTCAAAAAAGGAAAATATCTAGTAGCAGTGATATTGCAGTGACAACAACTGCCAGCCCTGGAGCTAACTGGGAAATATATATTTCTAAACGACTTCTCTAATGTGCTCTGACTGACTTACAGATGACTCTTTTGACGAAAGCCGATCAAGTGATAATTCACAATCCCGACTAAACCGTAATCTAGCCATGTCCGAGCCATCACAGTTGTCGGTCGGTCGACAATCGCTAGAGATACACGAGAAGCGATTATTTACCGTCATCAAGTGCGACTCGCGATGGACAACGCTATTGTTAGGAACGGGTTCATTCTCAGAGAGCATAAGAACCTCCACAGGATGATCGTGAATCGTCGCAACCCGAAGCCATTTGTAAATACCGTTCAACACTGGAATCGAGAGTCCATGGACAACAATCGAGAAGAATACAAGCCAGTATACAACCGGGACCATTGCTGCAATCAGATGGTTGACTTCGTCATCGCTCTCTCCTGGATCTGGTAGAAGACGGCGAGCATACTCGACATATGAGATAGCCCCCACGCCTGTAAGGTCAGTCAAATTCGACGTGATAACGGAGTTACACTCACCAATTGGACCAAAGTATCCCATAAACAAAGCTTCCTTCCAGTTGCTGCAAACCTTCGGCATGAAACGATATCCCATTAGAACGGCTGGAATGCGCCGGAATAGAACCACCAAAATACCCAGTGTAACGAGTCGAGAGACAGTAATTCCGGTGACTTTTGGAAGATGCAGCTGGTCCCAGGGCATGACTGCGCCGATAAACATGAAAGTAGCAAAGTTGAGAATCATCTCAATGGAGTTGTTGAAAGAATCGTGCCGGGCTTCAATCTCGGAATGGTATAATCCATCCCAATTCAATGCGCATCCGGCGATAAAACAGGCCAACGTCTCGTCGGTTCCGAAACATCCACATGTGCCGACAACAAACATCTAGGCCATTAGCTGAGATCGATTCCGGATGGGGTTCCATATCACATACCCCAATAGCGACTGGGAACAAGAAGAAACTCTCCCTGTCGACCCATCTTCGTTTAGAAGCCAAATTTATACCCTTTCGACCAAGAAAGCCCACAAGTAAGCCATAACCTGAGCCCATGATTATCATATATAACACGCCCTCCACAGCCCAGTGTGCCAGCGCACGACCGACATCTCCTCCAAACCGCCCGGTGTCCTTCTCTCCAATCCAATCGCGTTTGGATATTTCAGTACCTGGCGAATCCGCGTAGCGTAGCAGGGCGATCGACAATATTAAAAATGGGAATCCAAAGCCATCATTTCCTCCGGCCTCAGCTGAAATGAACTCGCGCAGGTGTCGACGAACGTACTTGTCAGCAAACGGGCCTTTGGCAATGGCCTGGGATAGAACCGGGTCGATGCAGATCACACAAGATCCGATGATCAACGCGGTTAGCTGGAAAGTTAGTTAGGAAGATAGCTGGAAGAGCGAATGAAAGCGACTCACGAAAGATAAGTGGGGTATCATCAACAAGATGCACGAAGACGTGAGTAGCCACTGCAGCGTCATCAAGGGAAGCAGGCATATTGTCAACTCGACCAGTCGTAACCGAAGATATCGTTTCGGCAGCTCATAGCCAACCTTGACCATTTGGATGCCAATCACAAGACGAGTGAGAGCCTAGATTGTCAGGAACATTGAATGTAGATTAATTGGATTGGTCGGATTACTCACGTATGCAGCGTCACCCACATCATCGTCCCCAACCCAGCGATTGACGTCGATGAGGCCCGCACAGAATGGGCCTAGCAGCGCGCCGACCACAAATGACGGTACTGAATGGTCAGCGAGCGTTACGTCAGGAAATCAGGTAAAACATACAGGCTTCACCGAGGTACCATCGTTGCTTGAGTTTGATGGAAATGAACCCGAAAGCAAGAATAAATAGTCCTGCTAGGTTAGCTAGGACTTCATAGGGAAAGAAAAACGGGTCTCACCTGTAAATGTAATTGTCACGTTGAAACTGCTCAGATCGAGGATTGGGTGAAGCATCGTCTCGATAATAAATCGGGCGACAAGTCAGCAAAGCCGACCGCAAAGTCGACTTCCTTTAGATGTAAGACACGAGAGCCGAAACCTGACGACATGAGAAAGTTCCGATATTCACACCGCGTATAAATCATGCAAGAAAGCCGGGATGATGAATGATGAATGATGCGTTCGCCAAGAATGCTCCCTGTGTTTGATGGGATGTTTTGGCTGCCATCGCGATCGACCGCCCCTATCTCAGGAATCTCATGCATCAAGATAACCAGCTGCACCTGAAACTTGTGGAACATAATTCACTGCTGCGCGAGACATCACACGCAGTAAGCTAATGGTTGATAGAGAGCCGCAGATAGAGGATCCGCGGCGTGAATCAAATATCCAGGACATCCCGACGGGATTGACATCCGTCAGTTGGACGCGACGCCGGGCCATGACGCCACATTGAAGGATCTGCATACCAGGAAAGCTTAGCCGAGTATTTATGCGTTGCCGATACTGCCGTAGCAGGTTTATCCTGCAAGGATCGACATTGCATGCTCTCGGCTTATCAGTAAGAGTACGCGTTGGGTTGATGGAATGTGTGATACATCTCAATCAAGGGGTTGGTGGCGGATAGTTCCAGGGTTGGTGAGGACGAACAGAGTTCAGGGGCATCTGCGTCAAGCCTTCCAAGGCTCTTGCTTGATTGTTTGTAAAGCTGAAAGAAATTGAGACTCAAAAATGCTTGGAGTGAGATACTGTCTTCTTCAAGTTTCAACCTTGGAAGCTGCCTCCAAACGTATCTCCCAATGCTGCCCAGTGAATATACTATGCCTGTTCGCTAGTGGTAACATCCATGGATCATGATATTCTCGACGCATCCAACTTGACGGTTTCGCTTATCTGTCCAGGTGATTGACTAGGCGAGAACACCTCCCAAATTATCCCCGCCGCGATAGCGAAGTAGTATATAATCCATACAGCATTATTGGCCTGAAGAGCAGTTTTGAGACATATCTCCAGCACATGACTGGAGATTTTGTTTTAAGGAAATGGATTATATTCAAGTTTGGGGTTTTTGGCCGCCGGATTTTTCTTCTTTTTCTTCGTTCTAATCCGGCCCAATTATGATGTTGCGTTATAGACTCTGTCTAGTGGTTGGCGGGGTTCCACGTATATTCGTCAACCTTATCGTATGAATCAATCTCCACACCCTGATCCCATCCAGGATAGTGACGATCATCATAAAGTTGTGTTGTGTTATCGTAACACTCACGACGAATTTCTGCCCAACTCATAGCCCGTGTCCAACTCCGAATGTCTTTAGGGAGGTAGGGAGGGCTCTCATCTTCTGTGATGTCAACATCAAGTCCACGTTTGACAATAACCAGTAACTCTTTTTCAGCCTCGCCCTCAGATGTCAGGGATTGGTCTGCAGCTAAGCCAAACCTTGCTCGCTTTCTGCGATTCTTTTTCTGCTCCAAAGGCTCGCGTGTCTGTGGATCGAGAACGGCCCCAGGAGAATCTGACTGCGTTGACCGATAAATAGTGACAGACGTTCCGGTATCAGGCCCATCCCGACTGGATAGAACAGTTTTCCAGGTGCTTGGTTGAGGTTCGCGTAAGATCGGGGGCACACCAGCAAAAAACCTCACTATTTCAAAATCAAGCATGTTGGAATTTGGTGTGATGAAGTGGAGCTCTTTCCAACCAGTGCTGTGTTGAATGAATTCGCTCATCATAGTATAGGACGCATGGCCGCGGACCGGTCCAAGGACGGTAAGTGTATCCACTTGCAAACTAGGGAGTAACTTGAGGACCCATGGAATACTGTAAAAAATGGGATAGGGATCATCTAGATGACACAACTTCAACTCACCCCCACCGACACGTATATGGCGGATCCCCGAAAGAGTACTCAAAGGAAGCGTAGAGAGTTTATCAAGCATAGGAACCGGGCTTTCGAAAGAGAACGGGATCATCGCGAGCTAAAGAGACTCTGCTTCTTGTTGGATTTTTTGACAAGCACGGAGAATGGCCAAAGAATGAGGCGCAGGCTTCATGGTATTTGTCCTGTCTAAGTCGATACCCCTCTTGCCGAAAGCGATTGCGAATTTCGCCTGGGAGTCCCAAAAGCACGTAGCGCCTTTCGCAGAGAACCTTCTGACCTTTTTCGATTTTTTTCAGCTGTCGATTTCCAATTTTTCCCTTCGCGCGTTGATCCTCGAAGCACCACAGCAGTGGATCTGGAATCCATCGCGGGGGCTTTTGCTCGGCAAGGTAGAAGCAGACAGAGCATCTGTGATTTCCCATATTGCAGTAAGAACATTTGCCATTGATATCCTGTTGTGGAGTGTGTTGGCGCCATTTTCTAGCATATTCTGCGTAGTTCTTGCCCTTTGGTGGGGCCCTTCGAACTTTTTTCCGCGAGATGTTTCCCTCGGGGCCTTGAGGGGTAATTGTTTTGAATGTTTCTTGGCTTTTGTTGCAGCTTCAATGGCATTCCCAGGCGATCCAAGTTCCTCGACAAGAAGCCTGTCGCAGATTTTAACGAACTCAGACTGTTCCATGTTGACTGCGTTCTCTCCATGCATTGCAATTCGCCCACGCAGTAATCCAACAGCCTCTGGTAGATTATGTTATATCCTACTTAAGCATTAACACCTCCCTTTCCCATTCCAGTAACGTTTCAGAACAAGATAAAATGTTTTCGGATGATTCAGCCTGAGTATTTATTTGTTCCTGCTTGGCTGAACAGGCCCGTAGTAATTCGATGGCTTCGGTACTGCGACCTAAAGATTTCCACGTGAACGCAAGATCAGCCATGCTCTTCAACGTGTTGGGATGGTCTGCGCCGAGATTCGTCTTGCGGGTTTCCATGACCTCAACAAAGAGCTGCTCGGCCTCCTCCCGCCGACCCTGCCTCCATACAGTCGACGCGAGGTTGCTTAAGATCGATAGCCTATCAGGATGGTCCACGCCAAGCTTTATCTTGCTCGTCTTTAGGACCTGCATCTGGAGCTGCTCGGCCTCTTCCCACCGGCCTTGATTCGATAACGCGAATGCGAGATTGTGTATAGTCGCTAGTGTGAGGGGATGGTCCGCACCAAGCTTCGTCTGGCAGGTCTCCATGGCCTGTACCTGGAGCTGCTCGGCCTCCTTCCATCGGCTCTGATTCTGATATGTCGACGAGAGGTTGGCCATACTCATCAGAGTGTCGGGATGGTCCGCGCCGAGCTTTATCTTCCTCGTCTCTAGGACCTGTACCTGGAGCTGCTCAGCCTTCCTCCACCGGCCCTGTTTCTCATACGTCGATGCGAGGTTGGCTATACTTGTTAGAGTGCCGGGATGGTCCATGCCGAGCTTTGTTTCGCGAGTCTCTATGACCTGCACTAAGAGCCTCTCGGCCTCCTTCCACCGGCCTTGGTGCATATATAATATAGCGCAGTTATTAAAGCTCATCAGCGTGTCTGGATGGTCCACGCCGAGCTTCGTCATGCGAGCTTCTATGACTTGAACAAAGAGCTGCTCACCCTCCCTCCACCGGCCCTGATTCTCATACGTCGATGCGAGATTAGGGGATTTTAATCTCTACTACCTATACTAGGGAGGGAAGGCAGCGGTATAAGATAGTGAAGCGGAGATACTTCTTAACTTAATAGAAGTTATAGCTCTGGATAACTGGTTACCAGAGGAGATAATCACAAGAGAGGGTATACGTAAGAGCTCAGGGACTATAATTAACCTAATCTTAGGGATAGCAGACCTACGGGATCGTATAGTTAACTACTAGGTAGATAGGAGGGTTTATACTAACTCTGACTATCTTCCTATTTATACCCTGATCGATATACGCACGTAGATAACAAAGGCAGCCCTGCGTTAAAAGTTCTATACTTCACTTCGGAACAGGAAAGGGAAGGTAATCCGTAACGCGTCGCAGAAGGGATATCGCATATGGATCAGGAAAGTCACTAAGCAGGGCCCCTAAGGGCTCTAGAAGGTATTGAAATAGGCCTGGAACCGGCAACAGGATAATAGCGGAGAGTAATACGGAGAAGGTGGAGCTACTCCGCAAAATCTTCTTTCCATAACCGCCAGAGGCGGATCTCTTCAGATCTCAACTAATATAGTTTCCAACAAGCCAAACTCCTATTTCCTGATATAACTAAGCAAGAGGTGCTTAATCCGCTAGTAGTGTTTCGCCACTAGTGAGAATGATCGTATTCAACGGACTCAACACGCTTGTTCTTCCCTTGTTCCTGAAACTGTTCGCGTGTAGTGGAATGGGATTGAATTATCTAGCCATATCCAGGATTTGCTTCAGTCCATTAAAATCAGGTAGGTTTTTATCTCCTGCGAGTATGTCACTGAGCGTGTTATGAGCTACCCTCTGGATTGTCTGCTCATCCGTGACACCGACTGCTGCTAAGGTGCTAGGAAGACCAAGTAAAGCGATAAATCGGGCAACCGCATCACTTGCTTTTGCTTCTTCCCACCCTAAAGCCTCATTAAAAATTGCTAAGACTTGATTCTGTGCGGTAGAAGATTCATGTAGCGTGTATTGAAGAACATGGGGAAGCAAAATGCAACTTGTGATACCTATCAACAATAAGCATGGATTCATGAAGTGGACCTGGCTTTAGTTACCGTGCTGTACATTCGCGACACTTCCCTGGGACCAAATTAGTATGGGGCTGCGCTGCTCAATTCTTCTTTCATACCAATTGATGTCCCATTGCGTGGCTGGCACCGAAACGCACTCCCCATCTCAAAAATGGCACCAGTGCTTCGCGAGCCGCTAGTTGACAAGTTGAGATTCCGTGAAGAAGTTTGGCTTCATCCATGGAGCTGCGATTGGTGCGATACTCCCGCAAACCACACAGCATATTCCGCAGTCCTGAGGTAATTGTTTCCCACGCTTCCTTAGGACACCCAGGGTAGCACAAACCCTCAACAAAATGATCGACAGCACGCATCCCGGATGCCAGCCACAAATGTTCAGGAGTAGTGGCACCGACGCGAGGATCCAACAGAATGAGACTGGGGGCCCCACAAGGATGAGTAAAGTGCTGCTTTTTGCCTTGTGGATTAGTCGCACTTGCAAAATGGCTCCACTCGCCTGCACTGAGACTAGTGGGTACGCATATCAATCTTGTAGTCGGCGCTTGGAGTGAGCTCGCCAGTCCCGTGATAGGGTCCACTAGCATTTCGACATCGTTGGTATTGAAACCCGGGGGCAGAGTAGTGGCTAACATCAGAGCCGTTTTGCATGCATCTGAGTATGAACCGGAGCCAACACTGACGACCACGTCAATACAATGCGTCTGCAAAAGATTTGCTATATCGATCACATCTGCATAAGGCGAGTGCTTGCCTATGCCGGTTTTTTTGAGCACTTTGTATGCCCTTAATCGCATCTCAAGTCGTTGGATTACATCCGTGGCTGTGTCGAGACTCTTACTGACAACAAGGAGAACACGCTTGGCTTGCCAGCGCGTCAGCGCGTCAGGTATATCTCGGAGATATGATGAAAGTAGAATGGCCTCGTGATCTTGGCAATCAGCGAGTGCAATCTGTTGGACACGCATACTGGATTGGAGTGCCAACATGAGGTAAGTCATCGTTCGATTTTATTTCGTGCGAGCGAAATATATAACTAATTATAACGTGGTCGGTAAGCGAGTGGCCCATGTAAGCGAGTGGCCATCCCAAAACACTATAGTGTATGTGACAAATTACAACTACATATTTCAACAATGACTGGTCTATTTTACTGTATCTTTCGTATCTTACTTATTTAGAGCATAAAAGGTCTTTTTCAAGGGTATCTGTCAATTTTAATTCTAATCTGATGATATTTACCAAAATACGCTGTAATTTAGCCTATCCAACTTGTATTCTATTCACTATATCCTAACAGCCCTCGAGACTTTCAAAAAGTGTTAGACTCGGTATAAAGATTATAAGTCTTAAATAAGATTTCAGAAGAAGCTACGGTTGTAAAGATATGAAGTTGTAATTTATCGCACTTACTATGGTGTTTTGGGGTGGCCACTCGCTTACATGGGCCATTCGCTTACCGACCACGTTAACTAGTTATGCCAAGAAATTAAAACGGACTACACATCGGCGATAGCGTTAGCTTTCCAGAATCGAACACGGACATAAAGTTGTAATCTCCGAAACTCTCCCTTTGTTTACAACAACGCGAATATTTGAATCTTGTTACGTTTCGTAATCCGGGAATACCACTTCAAGACTCCTTGGTTAACCAAGATCATGAGCCTGCACGTGCGGAATCTATTCCAGGCGTCAATTTGCTGTAATGTAGCTGATATTACGAGTCTGTATGGGTGTAACATCAAGTTTTCTATTTATTCCGTCTCAATATATCCTTGAGAGTGTTAGCGAAACGTGGGTACCTTGGTTACTTGCAATGGTTTGGACCACGTCTGACAAGCAGCTGCACATGATGTTGAGAGAACTGGAATCTATCTAACGCAATTGATGGAAACCAATATCTTAAATAGTAACGCTTCAAATAGAAATGGAATTGAAGTTCCGATTCAAGCAAGAGGAGGGTGAGATTGATCTACAAGCTGTGAAAGTCTCGCACGACGGCTGTGCTCAGCCGAAAAAGACGGTAATAATCGGTATGTTCTTGATGAACAAGGAATGACAATGACCCAAATCTACTTCGTCTGTGCGCGGGTGACTGGGTGTAGCTTCCATTTCAGGATAACGACAGACGAGTTCCGCTGGGCTGATGGAACGGGACACATTCAAGAAGCAGATGGCGAGCAATAATTTGGAAACTATAAAATCAAGCTCTCTCTCAGCAGCTAAGTATACTATAGTGCAGGGGTCGCAAGAACCCAGGCTCATTCAAAGCCCCGAAGTATCGTTGGTCGCGCTGGTGTCTTAAGTTGCACGTGCACAAGCAAGAAGCAAAAAGGTAACCCCCTTGACTGCTATAAGCTATGACGTCTTGTCTAGCAAAGGATATGTGGTCTTTCTTTGATATTTGTACCCGACGCGAGATTTTGTATTCAACGCGTGCTGATACTTTGCTCCCAATTACTGACGGATCCATCTACGCTAATCATGGCAACATCGATCACCCGCTCTCCTGGCGACCCCTCCTCCTTTCAAATCTTCCGTGACAGCCCTCAACTGCGCCGGTTGCGGCAACAGTTGCTGAAAGATGATCAAAGTGTTGGATTTGTGCCAACAATGGGTGCTCTCCATGAGGGCCATCTCTCGTTAATTCGAGCAGCTGCCTGTGAGAACACCAACGTTTTCATCAGTATCTTTGTCAATCCCACTCAATTTGGGGTCAATGAAGACTTTTCAAGCTACCCATGCACCTGGGAGAGTGACATAGAAAGGCTAGAGAAGTTGAACAAGGAGTTTATTAGTTCTGGTTCACCCACAGGACGAATTTCGGCCGTGTTTGCCCCTACTTCGAAAGTGATGTACCCGAATTTGCCACCTTCGTCCGAAATCGACGGTGATGGTTCTTTCGTTACTGTAACCCCGCTGTCAAAGAAACTAGAGGGTGAATCCCGTCCTGTCTTCTTTCGTGGCGTGGCAACTGTCTGCATGAAACTATTCAATGTCACGACTCCCGATCGCGTCTACTTCGGCCAAAAAGATTTCCAACAGACCGTTATTATCAAGAGAATGGTCCAGGATTTGCACGTTGGTACCGAGGTGCGTGTTGTGAGTACTGCACGCGAAGTCAACGGCCTGGCTCTCAGCTCTCGCAACGCCTACCTTGGTGACCGAAGACGCAGAGCTGGGTGTACCATCTTTAGGGCCTTTAAAGCCGCTGATGAGGCATACCGAGGAGGAAAAACGTCCCGTGTAGACATTCTGCGGGCCGCTCAGAGTGTATTAGATCGGGTGTTCGCCGAGCAGCAAGCTCTCTCCCCATCTGAGCGGTATTTGTTCGAAATTGACTATATCTCTCTTGCCGACTCTAACACGTTAGAGGAACTGGATATCGTTGACCATATCAAAGGAGCCGTGATAAGTGCCGCTTTGAAGATGGCACCCTTGGAAGAGACGGTGCCCAATGAAGAATGCGGACTTGGCGATGGCAAGGTTTTCGTGCGATTGATCGATAATTGGATGCTTCAGGCTGAGAATTAAGGACAATCCTGATGTGCATAGATGCTCTGTAGTACAGCACTTGGTAGGGAGCTCACCTAGTACGTTGTCTAGGAGTACAATACCGATATTTCATTTGCCTTGACGTCACCTCCAGTGATAAAGATTATCAAATGATATCAGCGTTTGGACTGGTCGATTACTTGAGCTATGCTCTACTCTCGGGCAAAGCTTAAGTTCGATAATAGTCCGCTAAACGCCACATAGGTCCTTATGGTGCTAAGTTTAATGCAGAAGAGCAGATTCTCAGCTTTTCCTTGTACTGCTGGCTGAAGTGCTCGGCGGGGCAGAGAGTACTTTCGTCAATAGGCGTTCAATACATTTGGCGCCTAGGAATTTATGTTGACTATTCTTGCGCGCCTTATATTAAGTTGAATATAGCTGATCGCATATTGTGGCGGCTGAACGTGTAAGTATTTACGAACCCAATTTAGACATAAGAGATACATAAAAATTAGGGGCTATTATGTTGTGGTTCATTGGGTTGTGGCCAGGAAATTGGGAAGCTGAATGTCGCTACAGTATTACAGAGCCTCTCCATTTTGACTAAGACATTCTGATTATCCGAATCCTTTCTCTGGTTCTCCGTCTCGTCCTTGAAGTTGCCCGCCAAGCACAATTAAACAATATATTGAAGCAGACATATACGGACATAAGACCAAACATCATGCATCACATTACCAACAGGAAGTTGTCTGTCGCCTGAATGCAGGTTCTGAACCAGTGGCGCAGCCTGCGATGCTCATTTTCGGGTGTTTCAGCGAGTCATTCAGGAAATATTTATGCCAATGAGTCGTATAGTGTATCAATAGCTGCTTAAATTGCGCTAAGGCCAGCCGTGGCGGGCTAGTATGACGCAGGCAGGATAACAAGCACCCATTCCACCTAAGGTAGTAGAGATGGGACGATTTCTAGAAGTTCACCATCTCGTGCAATTAATTCTGCGACAGGGTAATAATAAATAATATGGAAGCAAAGGACTGTTCATCCATGCCACTCTGGGTTCAATAAAGGTAATCTGGACATTATGATCTCTGGAAGAGTGAGCTCCCCATGTGCTTTGAACATATCCTGGTTTTGTCCCCAATGCTTATGTCAAGTTTGAGGTAAGAAACTTCCTGCAACGGGCTCGCGCCCGCTAATTCCCCGCTCCCCTCCAGGCACCCGGCGCTGCCGGATCCATGATGGGGAGGTATTAACCAACAAATCTAGCCAAGGTCGGGCTGACGCTCAGCGACTCGTAGCAACAAGGCTAATTGACCGCTTACACGACCCGCTTGGTCACTTCAGTCGTCTGCAGAGGATCTATCCCCGCGCGAGGTGGCATTGCAATCCGCCAGCCAGCCCCCCATGGTTTCTCCCGGGGAGCCGTCGCCAGCCTGCTGAGGTGCGTGGCCCGGTGGCCTATTCGTATCCAACTACGACGTGCGGGGCGAAATCGCCGCGTTCCGGCACGGATTCTGACTTAGAGGCGTTCAGCCATAGTCCGGCAGATGGTAGCGTCGCGGCACTGCCTGGTCAGACAGCCGCAAAAACCAATTATCTGAATCAACTGTTCCTCTCGTACTAAAGTGCTTTTCATCATTCGATCACTCTACTTGTGCGCTATCGGTCTCCGGTCAATATTTAGCTTTAGATAAAATTTACCACCCAATTAGAGCTGCATTACCAAACAAATCGACTCGTCGAAGGGGCTTCACACGGGCGCGGGCACCCCATCCCATACGGGATTCTCACCCTCTATGACGGCCCGTTCCAGGGCACTTAGATAGGGACCGCTCCCGAAGCATCCTCTACAAATTACAATGCAGACCCCGAGGGGGCCAGCTTTCAAATTTGAGCTCTTGCCGCTTCACTCGCCGTTACTAGGGCAATCCGGGTTGGTTTCTTTTCCTCCGCTTATTGATATGCTTAAGTTCAGCGGGTATCCCTACCTGATCCGAGGTCAACCTGAAAATATAGATTGAAGGGGTCGGCTGGCGCCGGCCGGGCCTATGAAGTTTTATGCTTAGTGAAACTATTATAGCCAGCATATTGAAAAAACGAGCATTTAGTCTTGCATGCAAACGTAGCGGTCCTTTGAACGTCCTTCATCCCATCTCTTGTTATAATACTCATCGATTCGGAAAATCTTTCCCTGATTGTCGATCTCAATGACCATGCAAACATGACACTCAAAATGCTTCCCACTTGCGTCAAGGGCGACTGTGCCATCTTTTCTAACAATGTCATGGCTTTGACATCCAGTCCATACTTGCTCCAAAACGGCACCTTTTGCGATGTGATAGATATTCTGTTTTCACCTGCCGTTAGCTTTCATGAAATCCAAATAATTCTGACAGCTCGTACCTGTATATGAGCCGTGAAGGGGTCGTTACACGATGTGAAAGTTTTAAGTAGACCGAGAACAGCCTTATGCCCAACACGTTTGATATGAAATGCATGGTCATACCATTCTATTTCCGGGTGGTATATAGAAAGAAAATCCGAAATAATAGACTCAGGTCCGTCAGGTTTCACAAAATCCCTAACAAACTTGAGAACCGTTTTGTCCACTTGATCAATTCGCTCGACCGAAATTGCGACATCTGGGGCAGATTGATTCATATTTGATTTACAGAATGGAAAATCGTATATTGTACAAACTGCGACAAGGTGGAACCAGGTCAGTTCATTTGATACAATCTGATGAAAGCTTTGGGGCCTTTCCCGCTCTTTAAATTTCAATTACCACCTCCTCGGCCTCCCACCAGCAGGCAGGACGTGATCGAAGCAGACGCTAAAAAGCAAGCCACTAAAGAGCGAGCCACTAAAGACCGAACCACTAAAGACCGAGCCACTAAAGACCGAGCCACTAAAAAGCCAAAAATAATTTTACCTGAGAAATGACACGCCGTTAACCGAACAAGCATGCCTACTGGGTACTTGCCGGAAAGCGGGAGTGGTATTCATACAACATAGCGAGGTTACATCGCTTCATCCTTGAATTTCGTTTAATGTGCCAATTTCACCGGCGACCAATTTTCCATATTCTTACTCAAATGATTTGTTGAACGGCCAAGTCAACTAAGCCGGCTGATCAAATCACAATGTTTTCGTTTTATGCCGCGGAAACCCCCGAACAGGTCAAAAAAGCCCAAGTAAGTATTCTAAGATCTTATGCCGATGTTCTACTATAACGAATCAATCCTGCTTCTTCCTCCACCGTGGACCCCACGAAAATGGGCTATAGCTCACTTTCACAAAGGGCCTACATCTGATAACTTCTTTAACTCCAAACGGAAGGAAAGTCCACATTCTGCTCGAAGAACTCAAAGACGCCTACGGCCTTGAATGGAAAACGAGTCTGATCGATCTCGACAAGGACGAAATCGACCGCGACAAGAATGAACAGAGAAAAGACTGGTTTCTCAGGCTAAATCCCAATGATACTTCTCTCCCTTTGAATATGTAGACTTTTCATTTTTTGAATCAAGGCTAATACAAAAGGAGTCCAGGGCGTATCCCGATCTTGGTCGACAACAGTAAAAGTCCACCCACGTAGTCATGGAATCATCCGCTGAACTTTTGTATCTCGTCAATTTGGCAGACAAGAACAATATTTTCTGGTTCTCGGATCCGACGGATCAAAGTGAGGCATTCCAATGGCTAATATTTTGGCTTGCGTCGGGGCAGTCCAATCAGGGGCAATAGAATTTTTTGAACAACGCGGTCCAGAATCCTCGTGAATATTCCCCTTAGGACTTTCATACATGATTGCTGAGTAATTCAAAATGCAGTGGATCGCTCCAAGCGGGAAGTGCTGCGAGCATACAATGTACTTGAAATCCGTCTCTCAGGGAAATATGGCGGCGGTGCACGGAATTATTTGGCTGGCCGAGACAAGGGAAAATACAGTATTGTTGATATCAACGCCTGGGCTTGGATACGAAATGCTGGGCGTATTGGATTCTCAGAGGATGAATTGGCTCGGTTAACTCATTTACAAAAATGGATTGTTCGCATTGCGATGCGACCGGCTGTAGAGCGAGGCTTAGGGGAATGGTATGATGAGCATGTGCATCCAGAATTGTTACTCGAGACGTCGTGAGTCTGGGTAGACTGTACTGCCGCTCATCAAAAGTTTGCATATAGCCAGTTTTTGGCGACAGATTCCGCGTGGCCACGGATTTCCCTTTTGTTTTGTCTCAAGGGAAGTAGTATTTTATTACCGTACATCATTAGTGGAGGTTCGATGCCGCTGGCCAACCCCTGGTTATGGCTAGGCGGATACATTGGTAGTTTTTAAGATACTTGTTTTATTTCTAATGCCAATTAATTTCCATTGCTTTGGTCAAGTTCTGGAAGAACTAATCGCAAAACCTGCGTTGAATAACACTTTCCGTATACGTTTGACGCCGCATAAGTACGGCATTTTGGAGGTTTGGACCTGCATTCACACTATACCAGGGCTTGCTTTAGAGGGCCAAGATAGGGATGATCAGACTCTTCTATTTCGACTCCAACCAAGAGATGTCGGGATTCAGGTCATAATCCTGTTTCACGGTAACTAATTTGATGCCAATCTGTCTCGCCAACTGACAAAGATCTTGGGGCTCTTCACAAGTCTTATCATCACTATAGATGATATATTCCAGGCATTGAAATATGTCTTGACAATGCTCGAGTATCGTTTGCAGCAGCAGATGGCTCGCTACCGGCAGGGTGTGCTTCACCCCTCTTTGCAAGTGAGAACCTACCTTCACCATTTGGTCTAAGTATAGGACTTTCAGGTTTGGTGGCATGCGGTCACGGACCAAAGCTGAGAAATTCGTTTCATGATCGTAAAACCCAAATAGAGCTTTGGGGGAGGCCATGAGATATTTCAGGGCCGTAAAGTCAGCAAGCCACATGCCTTTGGTAGTCGACTCACTTAAGCCATGCCAGCAAAGTTTCAATACCGTCAAGCTTTGCCGACAAGGGTACATAAGAGCGTAGAAATCAGACGGATCAAAAGGGAGCGCCCTCACGTTGTGCTTAATTTCAAATACGCGCAAATCACGAGCATGGCATAGAAGGTTCGCAAACGCATCGAGTGTATAGTCGCTCGCCTCAATTAGCAAAGTTCGCAGATCCCTAAACGGAAACGGTTCCACAGACTTGTCGCCAAATGCACTGAAATCGACGAAGCTAATTCGCAATCTTTTGAGGCTTGGGTATTGAAACAGGATAATATCTTCTAAAGGAATCCGGTAGAGTCTTCGCCAAGAATGGTCCTCAGTAAAAGGGGACAAATATCCGAGATCGATACGAAACGTGACTAAATACCCAAATCAGTCATCGGGCCACGTAATATCAGAAAATTGAATACAACAAGTAACCTTACAGTTTTCGACACTTTGTCTAAGTAGTAAAGATTCGTTCATTCGCATTTTCTCTTGGAAACTCTTTTGTTCAAATATTGGGCCATTATGCCGCAAAATAATACTCCGCAAATTTGGCATAGGAAGGGCCAGAAGATCTCGGATACCGCCTTCGTCTAATTCCTCAATTACAAGGTGGTAGACTAAGCAAAGCAGTTCAGGCTTTCGTCGAAACAAGGCCACAACATCGGAAGTTCTGCTATGTCTATCATGGTCATCATTGATATAGACCTTGTTATAAAATGCCGAGCGCGTCAACTGGTTGAGGCGAGAACTTGATTCCATCAGAGACTTCATTTCGTGTATGTCGAGATGGTTCATAATAGTCGCATATAGCTCATGAGGTAGTTGGAAAATTCCAGAAGAGTCATGACACATGATAGCCGGGTAACAGGTAATGAGCAATGTGGGAAAAGGAATATAAAGTACGGAGGCAGAAAGGTCGAGATTGGAATTCAAGAAGTGCGAGAAACCTGTCTTTATACCATGCGACCGGGGGAACATTACGTGACAATAAAGTAGGACGCCAAACCCTATACGCCAAACTAACCGGGAAAGGCAATCGTTGTTTCCAAACGCACACAATAACACATACCCACACAAGCATGCCCAGATATGATTGCATTAACATGATACACGGAGCTACTGTATCCGGTTAATTGGACCAAATTTGCGAACTGAGACGCTTGTCACCACGATGGCATGTTCTTTCAACGTTCTTCTTGATACGTCAGTGTTGGTACAGTTGTGTAACATAAGTATTTGACCTCGAGTACTTCGGGATCCACTTTTAGTCTGACCGCTTTTTGATACCGCCTACTTTATTAGTGCACCACACGTTTTAACGCGTAGCTAATACATACGCTACAGTCAACGCTTTATAGCAGTCTCTTACCTTATTATGCCTCCTATACATAGGAAGAGAGGCCCAGAGCTTGATTGCCTTACTGACATATCAGTATATACAAGGACCTATCTCTCCTCCAATTCGGTGGCAAATATGCATAAAAAGACTTCTGTTGTAATATAATGCTTGAAGCCATTCACCCCCCCCAAGTTGCTCAGTTATATGTGGCTGAAACCTAGGGAGTATATCACCATCTTGGATTACGCTCTCTCGAGCTCGCTCCTTAGCAAGATCTGCAAGCGGATAAACTCGTAAGTGAAAATCAGAGCCGTACTTGAGACACAACTGTTTAACTAAAGAGCTATTGTGCTCCATATGATTTGCACTGGCAGACATTTGCTCGCGGCCGGATCATGCCCTGGTATCCTGCCAGCCTCATGGCTTCTCCGACAGGCCATAGTTTGAACGGTAGTACTGGGGCCGGCGTTTTTGATATGTATGGTACGGAGATCACTTCTCTGGACGCGTATGGAGCGCGAGAATAAGTCAAAACTAACAACCCTGGTCGAGTCAAGTCCGCCTCGAGAGGCCTCACTCGCCTTATCTCGGGAATATCGTGGCACGTGCGTATTTCGTTAATTTCGGCTTCTTCCAAGCGCATAATTGCTTCGGCATGCACAACAGCAGAGCAATCATCTGCGTGTCCACATCGGTAGTGGTGAAGGCGGAGAAGGTCCAAGGACTGACGTCTCAATACAGGGTCGCGGCAACTCACACAAATTTGCCACAGGGGTGGAAGCACTCCCGGTAAAAAGTCAAAGTCGATACTGGACAGCTCTTCCTTTGAATTGTATGTTTCTTCGCTATGACAAACTTCGTAGCAGACGGCCAAGTGATCTTGGAGTTCGGAAATGTGACGGTCCCAGACAGATTCGTAAGGGAACTGCTGGCAACGCAGCGAAATAACATGTACATGATAGTGCACATTAAGAAGGCGAGCTTGCAAATACTGCCGAGTATTCTTGGTAGAGATGCTCTTTGTCAAAACCGAGAATCGTCGGTACCAGGCTTCCCACAATGCGTTGATATCTGGGCGATTACCCACTGTGAAGCAATCGAGAGAGCGAAAACGTTTCGACTGGAAGTATAACCATTGCCCAAGTTCAAAAAATTTCTCGCGGGCCTCAGAAAGACTCCGGAAAGTAGTGGGAACAACTGGAGGTTTCCACTGTAAGCTTCCAATGGATTTTATCCCGGAATTCCCAACCATAGACGCTGCAGCTTCTAGTTGGGCGAACATGGGTTCGATAAGGGAGGCGATCATTTCGTCAACAGAAGACGACAGGTCACAATTTCTTCGCGAGTGTTTGTACCGTTGCAAAATCTGTAGACCGTGCTGGAGATGGAGATAAGCTTGTTGAGGGACATTGCGGATATTTTCCATGGCAATGAAGAGTAGACATGAGATCAACATGACATGAGGTTTTGGTGTGGACTCCATGCCTCCAAGAAGCTCGAGGGCATGTCCATAGTGAACGTAATAAATGGTCCATGCAAGTTTTGTTCGATTGGAGATGTTGAGACGCAGTTCATGCAAAGAAGCCATTGCAATAATTTGGTGTCTGATCGCCGTTTCATAATGACTAACCTGCGGAACAAAATACTCAAAGAGATAACAAGCAGCTGAGTTGAACTGTCGCAAAGACGGAACAGTCCTTTCAAAGTAGAACTGAATAGCTCGGGACTCCGAGGAATTGGAGTTCCGGAACGATAGGCTTGTCGGTATGGGAACAGGAGGAGAGGCATGAAGCAACTCGAGCTTTCTCACGGGGGGACACTGACCGTCCTTGCGCAATATTACTTGCGGCGATTTGGGACATACCTGTATGTTTGGTAGCTTCGCCGGACGTTTCTGTTATCTTGAGCTCGGTATGAGTTCCAGGTGCATGGCACCACCCTCGCGGTTGGGGTACATGCTTGTCACTATTGCTCAACTTTTAAGAATTTAAGCCTTGGTCTTTTTTCGAGTCCGCTGCTTTTCATATAACTAACATTATTGGCCACCTTCGAAGGTTCAAAGAGCCATGCCCGATTCGGATAGCCAGGGCAAAGTTGACCATATTTCAGACATTTTGCACACTGCGGCTTCTCTTCGCCACATTTTACCCGGCGTGCTCTTGCACTTGCATCAGTGTCAATTTCCGGTATAATACCATCATATCGCTTACCTACACCGGGCACACCCAGTGAAAGTTTTCTGGTGGGGACGGATGCTCGGACCTGTCTGGTCGCCTTCAACTGGTCGCAACGGTCCAATTCTCTGTCCAGTATAAAGCAAGTTATGACCATGACGCATCTGTTTTCGCTGGTGATTTGTCTCTATTAGCATGTGTTCCTACATTGTTGACACGCCGGGCAAGGAGAGAAAAAGAGAAGGGGAGGGCGGGGGGGAAGGGGGCACCCGCGGGCATCACCGTACTTGCTGCATTTTTAGTGATCTCTGCCTATGTGAGATATTGAACTCGAGCAGATGGTTCAGAAAATGCCCCGACACCCACTCTGACTCACCGAAAGCATGACGTCACCGTAACTACCGCCCCAGCCCTGCATCTCCCATGGTCAGTCTGGCAACCAAACTATTTGGCGGCTGCCTACTAGCGGCTCAGTATGGATTAAGACATTGTAGACTCTTGTATTTGAAAGAGATCTGTAAGAACCAAATTGTATTCGTATTCTGTTACATACTCATACGGCCTATAGACTTCCCGAGCGGTGAGCACGCTGAGCGAGCCGCTAAAAGAAGGATCCACTAAAGAGCGAGCCACTAAATAGAGATCCACTAAAGAGCGAGCCGCTAAAGAGCGAGCCGCTAAAGACCGAGCCCCGCTTGCCGTAGTATGGTTTGAACTAAATTAGAATTAGTTGCTCCGCTCTATTCTATACTTAAATCACGAGATAAATAAGCCCTATAGCCTAGTAATACTATAGATAGGTAGGATAGAAATAATATAAATATTAACAATACAAGTGGCCAAGTAAAATTAACTCTTATCTTGCGTTTTAAGACTCATTACGATAATAAGTATAGATAAGTATTACTTCTTAGTGAAAGATGGGAATGTTCGCTGGCAATCTGCTGTGGCAGACGGGTCGATCGCAAGAGGACAAAACCACCGCACTCATGGAGTGCAGGAGAGTAGTAGACAAAGCGGTGCCCTTCTGAAGTAACAGTGTTCAGAGCATTCGAGCCCTTAGCATAACTGCAGCGTACATCCGAAGACCGCAAATAACATTAGGGACCAGAAAGGTGGGTGGTGGTGAGATAACTATCACCAAGGGCTTATATACAGAATGGAGGCGAGGCCTGAGGCCTACAACGTCACCTAATATCACCAGAGCGATTCCCCCACTACATTAGATAATATAGGCCACGATATTTTCTACTTAGCTGCCGGTCTAAAAACTAGCCTACTAGTTATTTTCTGCTATAGTTAGCTAGGAATAGCAAGAATATAGATACGCTAAATCAAATATCTTGCCTCTTCAGGATTTCAGGCTATGGCGCTAGATATGCCTGGTTAGCCTTTATTTTTGTTTTGGAATATGTAAGGTAACGCTAATATCTGCTAGGGTATAATTCCTTGAGTATCTCATAGAGTATAGAGGAGTATATAATAGAAAATATTTATAGTAAAATAGCTGCTTTGCTTGTATACTATAGCTATAAAAGAAGTATTTAGATTAGTAAGTATTAGGTAAATTATATAAATAGGCTTCTCTATAGTAAGTATTAATAGATTTTCGCTTAGGATATAACTAGGGTGCTATAGTGATTTAGAGCTTTACTACTATAAGCTACTATTCTCTAATTTTATTTTTCACAGGAAATAGAGGAAATCTTTAAAACTATAAATCATGATATCTTTCCCTTGAAAGATTACCCATATAGCTAATATAATGATTAGGTTTATTTTGAAAGATCTTACGATAAAGCGTCAAAATAGTCTACTAAAGTAGTTATTATAATAATCTTCTAGGTATCTTTTCTCTATAGTCTAGTTATTCTTATAGTCAGAGTTAAGATATTTAATCCCTATAAGAATCTTTATCTTGTTATTCTTATAGACTCTAGGGTTACCGTAAAAGATATATCTAAGCTAAGAAAGCTAGTTACTTTGTTCCTAGAGGCTAAAAGACCTCTTAAACTTCTTAACCTTAAACCCTTCTACCTTCTTATGTATTTTACCTTCTAATCCTCTATAAGTTATAGGTAGATTCTCTAGGAGGGCCCTAGTATTAATATTTTTAATCTAGGCTAAGAGATCCTTGATATAGCGCTGGATAGCCAGGAATTCCTTAAGATGCTTTATTTCCTATCTTTTCGCTTCTAATTCGGCCTCTCCAAGGCTAAGAGTAGTCTCTGGTAGGGTACTATTAGTAATTCCCCAGATTTATATCCTGTAAGACAGGGGAGGTTCAATGGGTGGTGTTGTGACGGCAAAACGACAGCAATTTGAGCCGAGTAACCACGTCAGTTCTTCTTGACTAACTAAGCCTAAGAAATCCAAAATTGGACAAAAAACACGAAAGCTAAACTATACAGCAGATATTGTATATTGGTGGCTACCTAGTCCCGATAGGTTTGTCTTCGATAGCTTACTGCCCTAGTAGGGCGTCTCTTTAGCCCTTTACCTAACTTAGATAGTAGGGTAAAAGCTTAGAGATAGATAAATTCTTTCTTTAGATTATCTTTGATCTATTTCTTTAGAATCTTTAGTTTATCTTAAAATATTATATATAGAGACCTAAATAATAGGGCTTTATTCTTATATAGTTTAAAGTTGCCTAAACTGCGTTATATATGATTGCTAAACATCAACAAAACTATCCCAACTATCTCTATGCAGTAGAAAGCCAAAGTCTTCAGCAGAAAAGATTATTTAGCTTACGCAGGATGTCAACGACGACTTTATAGGAATCTCTTGGCTCAAATGTTTTTCATACACGCATACAAATCGAGCATTCTCATTTAATTCCAGCACAATCTAAAATGCAGAATCTAAGAATTATTCCTGAGTAACTCTTGTCGTCGATAGGCACTCAAAGCTTCAGGATTCGATGAGACGTCGAAGGACGATAATCATGCGGCGAATATTCAAGAGATCCAGAGGGCGAAATTTAGGATGCTGGGAGGTGTGCGCCACAACGAATGAGCGCTCCACGGCCTGTGATATGTGTCTCTGTATATCTAAATACCTAGACTTGAAAGATTCTTATAGGCACTTGAACTCGAGGTACATAATTTGAGGAGGGGTTGGTTGAAGCCGTTGCTTTATTCAATTTTTATGTACTACTAGTATGTTGAAAGATCTCTGGTATCATGAATGTCGTACATCTCCTTGACCTCAATGTAGCTTTCTTGATCCCATATCTTATCGTCCAACCCAATTTCATCCATACCGAAAATTGTGAATCCCAGATTACTAGGCTCTCTCGGGATTCCATCTGCGCCCCTCTCCCCCGTTGTCAACGCGAAGGGCTTACCTTTGATCACAACTCTCTGGGCAGTTGAGCGCGGCGAATACATCCATCTCGCAGTACGCATATCATCCAGGTAGTACATATCGGAATCAAGCTTCTCTACCCTGGCTGTTCCAAGTAACTTTATGTCATCGAAGTAGTGCGGATTTGACGAATCCTTAGCCTCGGCATAGATATGCGACCTGATGACTTCGGAAAGCCGAGTGATTTTGGAATCGTTCGGGGCATCGGATGACCCGAGCAAAATCTCATCCCATGCCTCTTCGTAATCAGCGACAATACATGCTCGTAGACAAGACTCGATCATATCAGGCCTTTTCTGCGCGAGACGCACATAGGTCACTGGAGAAGCAACACTAGGCCACCAGATTCTGCGAGGAACCAGCGATTCTGGGGTACCAGGTGTGATACAAGTTATGTCGTCGCTGATGATGCGTCGAGCATTAATTGCGCGCCTTATGGATACGTCCTTGCTCTTTTCGGGGACCACCGGCACCTGTGTGCTCCACCATCGCGCCCAAAAGGGGTGATTGTATATCCCCAGAATGATCGCGTGGAATTCTTGTTCGATCATCTGTGGTCGTCGGAGGCGTACATATCGATCAACGTCACCTCTATATGCAGCCGATAGAATCAGATTGTCTTTATTCACAGGTGGAAGGTCTGTCGGGAGAGGCGAATACAGAAGTGGCCAAAAGCTGGCTAATGGCTCAGGCGCACCGCAACTATCATCGTAGACTCCCATATCCTCAGTGATGTTGAAATAGCTGTACGTATTGTACTCTTTCGAATCCCACTCGATATAGTCAACAAGTTTGACCGAACGCTTGCTGCTGTTATCCACTCCTGCATGAAGCATCCGTGCAGTAAGATCAGAAAAAACCGCCGTATCTCCATTTAGATGTGCCGGACGAGGGTTTTCAAGATTGGCAGATTGATCATAATCATTCATTATCTCAAATTTCAGATGCTTCGACATTATTTGTTCGTATATTGCTTCACTGCCTTTGTTCTTCCTTGCCAGGCTAGCGTCGCGAGCTTCGGCGGCAACGTGAACCTCGGGAAAAACCTGAAGCTCCGAGTAAAGATCAAAATATCCTGCCACGGCACAGGCGCGAGCAGCATGATATATCATTTCGGGATAACGCTTCACCAAATTGCGAAGGGTGTCCTGAGGCGGAGGCTCCGGATACCAGATGCAATAGGGTATCTCAGAGGAGTCGTTGATCTCCGGGATGACTCCACTCATAATTGCACGCGCGTTGAGTGCACGAGTGAATTCCGGTGCGACACCGCGTAACTCGTGGGCGAAATCATCGTGGTGTCGAATGCCACGGATCACAGCGAAGCGTTGGACTTTTAGTCCGAGGGCACCAGGAATCTTTTGTCCGCGAATCGCGCCATTGCAGTCGTCTTTATTGTACAGGGTGACTTTGAGTCTTTTCTCCAATGGGAGATCTTCCAGGCGGGATTTTGGTTTGCCCATCATGAGAGATCTGTGAATTCAATGTATTTCTCTGATGGGTGGAAGTGGAATTGAGGTCATGAAGGATGGAGAATGGCAAGTACTTAAAATACACTTTTGCAACGCCACTGTAAACGCAACACAACTTGGGTTATTTGTAACAGTGCTGTATTGCGTAACAATATGTCGAATGTAATTTACAGGGGGTGCGAGCGACTCTCGGAGCTGCTCCCCCAAATCTAGTCCCCATGTTTTAATTTGACGGATCAAGGTACCTCCTAAAATGCGGTACATAGTACCTGAAACAGTTTACGCCTAGTTAAGGCATCCTGATACCCTGAAAAGATTTCGAGACATATGCACATCCCCACCCTAAAGATACCAATGAAAGATGGTGATTTTGTTACATAAGACCGGCGTGGGACTGTAATACCTGAGACTATAAGAGTCCTGTCTATATAATACAAAATCCTGGAACGCGTTGGACTGTATAATAAGTGTCGAGTCATAAGCTACACTGAGCCCGCCGTCACCCTCAAGGAGGGTTTGGTGAGATGCGAGACCTTTTGCGGGATAGAAATTGACAGTCGCATTTAGGTCACATTTTAGAAAAATAAGTCACTGTCATTACTATCCATTCTAGCACAGCTCAGAAATAAATTATCGAGTTCGCAATATTCAATACTGAGATATGCTCGAATAGTTAATACCATGATATAACAGTAACTGGTCAAGCAATGCTCGGGCACTGCTCTCAGCCATGACGCCGACGCCAATGCAGCGTTTACAAGTCTCAATTGAAGCCCGCCGTACGTGGAAGTCCTTCTCTGCCTCCTCAACTCGTTTCTCCCACGTGAAAATATCGATTCCTGGCACAGTTTCGCGCAAAAACTCTGTTAGGCCGCCTACTACCACAACGAGATCAGGAACGGGGACGGGGACGGGGAAGTAGACAGGTCTTTCTCGTTGTTGCTCGGGTGCAATATCGTCACAGGTTTGACGAATTCTGGCAAAAGAGTATCTTAGGTAGTCATCGTCGTCATCACTTGAACTGCGGCCTTTTTGGTCTAGAAGAAGGACCCAGCTACCGGAGTGTATGTCTCTGACTATAACTCTTGACTCATCATTTGCTGCGAGGCGGTTGCCAAAAAAACCCACGGGAATAGGACTCATAGCGAAATTTCCAGACGATGAGGATGGCAGCGGGGAATTGTTGTTATTAGTGGTGGTGTTGACTGACAAGGAGGCCTCCCCGTATGCGAATCGCAAGATGGCCTCATCAGAACCCGAACCTACGGAACGGAGGTATGACAGGAATTAGACATAAAAGGGCAGGTATGTTCAGGACGTCAGCTATCCAAGGCCCCTAAGATGTTGCCTGACAGTGGCCAATATAAAAACTTGGTTGTCGCTAGTTCCTTGACCAAGACCAGCCCCTCTTTTGCTCTTCGTCCCCGGACGGACACCATTTCCTCATCTCCAACGGCTCCAACACAATGAGGTCGGGCTATATCAGTGTTGACTACAAGATCCAGCGTTCCTACCTCTTTGCGGTGGTCGCCAATGTCGGCCCCGGCGGCGCTAGTCGCACCCTCTCCGTGGCCTACCGCCAGCACCCTGAGAAATACAACGAAAGAGGATCAGGGACACGAGTGAAGCATATGGTGGCCGACACCCTCGCGCTGATCGCGATTCTCTCAGATCCTACCAACCGCGCCCCGCTTGAGGCGGAGAAGGCGATCGCGGAGGACTGGTATCGTCGCTCTCACGAGCCTCCTGTTAATGAGCGACCCAGTGTACCTGATCGCCCGCAGCCCCTTTATGTGCCCCCGAGCAAGCGTCAGCTGCGTGTGGAACCACTGCCAGCACTGCCATGGCAGGATGAGGCAGTCCGCACGTTTCCCTTCACTGCGACGTGCGTACTACTGGCGTTGCTACGGGGCGACCACAGATACTGGACCCGCATCGGCGACGTCCAGTTCCAGCCGCTGTCGACGGTATTCCGGGGCGACTGCAAAGAGTATGGCCTCATCGTGCTAGATATCTCTGATCTAAATAGCGGTGTTAAGTATGGCATTGCTGCATTTAACATGCGCTACATGGCCCAGCTTTCGTGGCACAGCGACATGGGGGGCTGGGATCCTGTTGAAGACCCTCCACCATCCCAGGAGCCGGATGTGGTGCTGGACCTTCCGCGGCCTCGAGAGCTGCTATCGATTGTTCAGTGGATAGGGGAGTATTACCACTGGTCGGATCTGAAGTCGCTACATATTTTTGAACAACTGGAGCTGAGGCCGCTGGCGGATGCGACCTCCTTGGATTGTACGTACCTCAGGGGAATCCGCGCGATGTTACCTGCGCTAACGGGGCAATGATAGATATCTGGCCATCAGAGTTAGTCCCGCCAGAGGTGGTGCCTCCTGGTCCGTCTCTTTTTAAACGGGTTCTCTCGAGCATCCGGAACTGTCAGTGACTCCGTCCCATCCATCGCATCTGCTAATCGCCCTAGCAGACATTCGACCTCCTAAGTCTACCGTCAAGCCGCCAGACTATATGGTCGGCTACACTATAACAGACGACCGACCGCCTGATACAGAAGAGGCGTCAACACCATCCTCCAGCAGGACCACACTGACTGAGCCACCGCCACCAGTCCCAGCAGACATCGACCGTGCGATTGACGATCTGCTCGATCTCACCCAGGAACCCACCCCCAGACCCCTCCAGAAGAGAGAAAAGCCTGTGGTCAACATTCAACTCATTTCCCAGTTCTGTTGGAGACTGCAGCAGAGACTTGAAGAGGAACCCTACAGGCTTAGTCCCTTTATGCTCTCCAGCCAGGTCCTGCGTGTTGCATATGCGGCGTGTCAGCACCTTAACTGGGTGGTATTTAACCTATCACCTCATATCATTACCGCCGCTATAAGATCAGATGAGCTTCGGGCTGTGTCTGCACTGAGTATGTGTGTTGACCAGCCCCGATTCGCAGAGTCGGGCCTCGGCGATCTTGCAGCAGCCCTGGCGCAGTCAACATCCCTTAAACAAGTCTGCCTTGTACATCGGCCGGACCATACGAACGACGATATATCAGCTTGTTTCCACTCATATATGCTAAAACAATGGGAGAGTGACTCCAACGATACCATGAAGTCGAAAACTATCTATTCAACCTCCGCCTTCCTAACTGGTTTACGCAGTCGCGAGTATCTTCCTTCGTCCCTGACGATTAGTTCCGATCACACCTCCTCCACTCCCACGGTCTTTCCTACGATACACCTCTTTATGTTTGACAGCACGAACGGTTCCAGCACTGGATATACGAGCTACTACTGTATGGAAAATACCATGTTAACCGCGGGGGGACTTCGCCATCCGATTCCTCGGATACCTCCGAGCCCTGGGCCCAGAAATGCAACCTGACAAGGCGATCTTACGATTCGCCTATAACTGGGGGCTGTGGTTGTTCCCTCCCATCCGTGACGGGAGCCCCCCACAGGCCACCCCGGTCCATTAAATCGGCATCATCAGCGGCAGATGAATTGGGCGTACGTCCCATCCCCCTGGGCTTCTTCGACCCCGAGCCGGATCTCAACAGCCCCTCCAGTGTCCGGCTGGGAGAGCTCCCACGCGGGGATTGGGTGGTTCTTGTAGATCGACAAGATCCTAAAAGTGAATGGGGCAAGGACAAGCCCTTCCTACAATACTCTTTCGTGCACATTCATGGCGCCCCCGTCGAGATGGCACCCGAGGAAGGGGAACAGCAACACCATCAACAACATGCAGAACAACAACAACAGCAAAACCAACAAAAAGAAGAAGAAGAACCCCTAAACTCCCTTCAGGTAGTTGGCGGGCTGACCGACTTCCTACGGATCACCGTGCCAGACACGGACATACCCACATGGGAGACACGGCTGGAGGTGGTCGAGAGCGATGTATCTACCGCTTCACTCGAGACAACTCCGTCCAGCGCGTCGTCATCGACTCACGTGTCTGTGAATACGTGGGTCCGACGGCTCATGGAACGGAGCCAACAGGGGGAGGAAACGGACGAGTACGACGAGGTCGTGGAGCAACAGCGGCTAGAGCAGGAGCTCTTGGAGGCACAAATCGGGGTGGAAGAGGTCGAGACGGAAGAATCCTGCAGCAAGGTCCGCGTTATGGCGGAGAGCTTGGCCCTTACTTTGCTCGGCCGGTTACGGTGATTTAATGACCGACTATCCCTTTTAAGCTCCATCCTAATGTATACTGCAAGTCGTGAGGGAAATAAAAATCGGAAGGCGCTAAGAACAAAGAGAATGGAGGAATTTGCCTGGATTCCAAGGTCAAGTTCTTTGGTTGCCAAAGGATGTGATTCCAGACCCAAATTCATCGTATCGGGGAAAATAAGAAAAGGGCTTACATATCGTTCGTCATTTCCTTTTGGTCTTTGATTTGACTGTTATTCCCTCTATGTCGCAAATATGAGAGATGGTCTTCCTAGTTTGTTGCGCACACGCAGATGCTTCGCTCTTAATTTCTCTTAATTTTGCGGAAGTGTTGAATTCCCTAAGCTCGTAGGATATGTACAATTGAAACAATCGGCCAGCATATTGGAAAGCCCCATGTAATCATTTTAGGCTGCCGAAATATCCGCCGTAGCTCACGCGCCAAGAATTGAAAACACATTCTCACGTGGGATTGGTCGCAATGATCGACATTGCATTGTCGCGGCTTATGCGTCAGCACACGATGAAAATGGCGCGACAGAATGCGTGATGTGTCTCAATCAACGAAACTAGGGGTTGTGGCGAGGGTGCTGAGATAAAACGGGATCGAAACAGGGGGTATCGTTAATCGTTCTAGAAGGCTTGGCTAAAAGAAAGTTCGATCGGAAAGAACATGGTACAAAGCATCTACCGAGTTACAGTGGAGTCAAATGACAATAGTAAACCCAAATACAAATAAAATGAGGATCATTGAGGAACGTGCAAGAAAAATAGTCGCGACGGATCCATTCGGAGGTTGGGAGAGCTTGTTTTTGGTCGCATCAGAGCCCCATTCTCCTTTCTGCCCAAAATGCCTCATCACGTTGTCGGGGCTTCTATGCGTGATTTTTCCAGTAAGATCACGCATCACTCGACAGCATAAATAGGAGAGCTTCTTCGGTTTACCGAATTTTGCAGTGATATTACAATCTGCAATCAATCATCAGGTTCATCATGGCCGGACAACTCTCCAAACATTTTCGCGGCTCGTCTAGGACGTCCAACGTCTATGGATCGCGATTTGCATCACAACATATGCCGGCGCAATTTTTCCCGGAGGAGGAAATGCCCAAGGAGGTTGCCTATCGCATGATCAAAGATGACCTGATCCTTGACGGACACCCCATGTTAAAGTATTCAACCTTGGTATGCACCATTTCCAATGGTTAACAAAAAGGCTAACAAATAGATAAAGCCTCGCCAGTTTTGTGACAACCTACATGGTACGAATATTTACGACGGCTTTCCCCTTTTTCTTGATCAATTTCCTAACAGCTCACAGGAGGAGGAAGCGGAAAAACTAATCGCAGAATCCTCCAACAAGAATGTCGTCGACCAAGAAGAATACCCCAAATCCGTCGATACCGAACATCGCTGCATCAATATTCTAGCCAACCTCTTCCACGCTCCGACAGGAAACAATGAAAATATGGCCATAGGAACTGCCTGTATCGGATCATCGGAAGCGATAATGCTAGCTGTCCTGGCTATGAAGAAACGCTGGCAGAATGCTAGAAAAGCTGCCGAGCAAGATACTTCATGTCCAAACCTGATCATGAGCAGTGGTGTACAGGTTTGTTGGGAAAAGGCAGCACGGTACTTTGAGATCGAAGAGAAGCTCGTTCCCTGTACGTCAACACGCTATGTTATCGATCCGGTTCAAGCAGTGGAGCTCGTCGACGAGAACACGATCGGAATCTGCGCCATTCTGGGAACGACATACACGGGACAATACGAGGATGTCAAGGGTATAAACGACCTTCTTGTACAAAGAGGTCTGGATACGCCTATCCACGTCGATGCAGCTAGTGGTGGATTCGTCGCTCCATTCGTAAATCCAAGTCTCGAGTGGGACTTCACATTGTCGAATGTGGTTTCGATAAACGTCTCCGGCCACAAGTACGGACTCGTAAGCCTAATCCCCCATCTACATCAGCCTTTGATGCAATTCATTACCCGTTTCCATAATACCTAACAGTGTCCAGGTATACCCCGGGATAGGCTGGGCTCTCTGGCGCTCATCCTCCTACCTACCCGACGACCTAATCTTCAACATCGACTACCTAGGCTCTGATCAGCTGAACTTTACCTTGAACTTCTCCAAATCGGCATCGCACATCATCGCACAATATTACCAAATGATCCGTCTCGGAAAGAGAGGGTACACCGCCATCATGACCAATCTCACCGACACAGCTGACTACCTTAGCAGTCAACTCTCCGCTCTAGGATTCATCATCATGAGCGAAGGTGGTGGCCACGGTCTTCCGGTTGTCGCATTCAGACTTGGTCCCGAGCAAGGCATTTTATTCGATGAGTTTGCCGTATCTGCGAAGCTACGCGAACGTGGGTGGATTGTTCCTGCGTATAAAATGGCCGCTGATGCAGGTATGAGTATGATGCGCGCGGTTGTACGGGAAGAATTCAGTCGGAGTCGGTGTGAAAGCCTTGTTTGTGACATTCGGTGGGCTTTGAAAGCTTTGGTAGAGAGGGAGGTGCTGAATGTCCAACGGTATCAAGCGTGAGTCTTTCCTTGCTCTGTTGACCTTTGCAGTTCTTACTAAACTTTTGCAGATTTCTTCAGACTCAAAGTCAGAATCTGCTTGGCTTGAGGGCGATGTGTTTAGAAAAGACTTGCGTGTCGGTAACTCCAGTTGAGGAGAAGGTTGCAAGTTGGTAGAATAGTAGTATGGGTGGTGGGTGCCGAGGTAGTGGTTGATGGATGGTGGTGAGTACCCAGCTGGTAGTGAAGATATATTAATAGGCTTCAGCATACTACTAGTAGTACTAGTGTCACTTCAATATGTTTTTGGTAAATAGGAAGAATGTCCTAGATATAATACCTCAGGCTCAAGGTCAGGTAATAGTGTCACCAGCCGTGGAGACTCGAAATATCTATATGCACTGTGCAGCATTCAAGTTGATGGTTTTCCGCCTAGAACCAACTAGTATTAGCAGGTCAGTATTCGGAACCTTGGCATGCCGGATAGATTTAGAAGAGCGAGCAGAACCATCATATAACATTTTGTCCTGGGTGTGCTATTGTATACTTCGGTATAGTTGAGGGATTGCATTTCTTCAAGTTCTACATGGACACCACTCTATGGATTTCTATCTGGATTTGTGTACACCATCAATTAATCCTTTTTGAGATTCCGCGCCATCACAAGTGGGCTACCTTTGATTCTAGAGAACTCATGCGCATCCAAGCACGCTTGACGGGAGTTGAGAAAGCTGGACTCCACGCGGGCAAATATATCTTTTTCGTAGGCTGCCAAAGACGCCGAAAGAGTTGGCAGATTGAAGGATCTAGAATCGTCAGCACCATGAGCAGAAAATACGGGAGTTCTTCTCTTGATTGTCATACTCCGGTTTCTCAAGGTCTACCCTTTTCACCAAGTCCAGAACATCAACAATGGCATTATTGGCTCCTTCACCCCGGACTATATTTAATTAGTAAAGCGAAGATATAACCAAAGCTTGCGGCAAACATACACATCGTCATAGTGTGCGCGGAGTCCCCCACCAGTGCGACACGAGGGTGCGCATGTTTCCGACCGAGTTGGAACATCCAATCCTCAATGCGAATGGATCGCGCCTCTGTATCGACAGGCAGTTTCTGCACGAGTGATTTAAATGGCTCGGACCAATTATCCGACAACTTCTTCATCAGTGCGATACGATCGGAGTTTTGAGACGGAACATTTATCCCCTTGGTGTCAGCCCAAGACACGATAATCTGGACATGATATCGATCCCGACTGCTGTCATCGAAGTTACTCGGTGTATCCAGGACTGTTCATTGATCCGGTTAGCAAACTTCACAGAATATTAGTGCGGGAACATACAGCTGAAGAAAAGAAAGACGTCTGTATCAGGATGAGAGCCCTGGAAAATGTATGGGTCGATCTTTTGCACGCCGTTCATCTCCTCCGCAGAGTACAGTGTGGATGCACCGAGTAGCTGGACCGGTAGAGGATTCATTGCAGCATCAGGATAAAGAATTTGTCGCGTACGCGACCGAGCGCCATCGCAAGCGATCAAAAGCTGGCCATTGTATTCGGTGCCATCGTCGAATCGCGCAGTCACGCCATCCGTTGTCGATTCAATCGTTTCAAGCATTTTACTCCACTGCGCTGATCAGCCTATCTGATTTACCCACGTAGTCTCAGTCCGATTTCAAAGTACCTTTACATCCAGCCCCGTTGTCAACAATTCTCGCAACCGTCCCCGATTGACCCTGATGCGCTCCTCCGCATCGACGCTGTACAACGCCTCGCCCGACTTGAGATCAAAAAATTGGAATCGTCCAACATCACCACGCGCGGCTGCATCTTTGTTCACGAATGTTTCAGGGAATCGTCGCACCAGTTCGTCGGGCAGTAGAGAGCGCAGCGCAGGGAGCGACCAATGCAGGGTCAACCCCCAGCCACCATTGCGGGCATCAAGGGCAGAGTCGCGGTCGAAAATCTCAAAGGGAATTTGTTTGCTCTGAAGATGTTGGGCGAGGATGAGGCCCGAAATACCCGCTCCAACGATAAGGATCGTCATTGTGCCCAGCTGTTGTACTGCAGCTGGACGTGCGCGAAGTGCGGAATACGGAGTAGCTCTACAAGGAATGCAATCAAGGGGGCGGCTCGATGGCACGCTGAAACATCGTTGAATCGCGTCCCGAGGCAAGACGCCGTCAGCGCCTAATCCAGTGCCATTACCATGCATTACGAATAATATTACTTTGTATTTTACGAAAGAATCATGCAATGCAATGCATTCGGGGAAGTTGAGCAGCGCCTACGCGGCCCGATGTGGAATTCCGAAGCGTCTAATGCATCTCTACGGAGCACGCTATATTGAAGTGCCAGGCAGAAGTTCCTCCGACAAAAGGGTCTTTCGCATAGGATTCCCCATCCGTTTCCATTTGCCTAATTCATTCACCCGATAGGGTATTTGACATCTAGTCGAAGGATCTAACAACCGGACTCCGCCGAGCGCCCATCGCCGACCCACGATCAGCGGCGCGGCGTCAACTTAATCCTTGTCGTTGAAGAGAGACTGGCTACAATTCCCCCACCGGAAGGGAACAGTCTTCCCTGGGCGTGCAGTAGCTCTGCTCAAGTGGATCAAATGTCTAGGAAACACCAATATAACTTGTGGATCGTGCGATCCACCTACTGGGGCCAAAGGGTGCAACCGGAAGCCCGACCCGAAGCGTGAATGCATTGAGTTTGGCGTGGCGTGCATCCCTGGCTAGTTCGAACTTAACTAAAAAGTATCTCGCTCCTTCCCATCAGGTATCAGCAAAGAAAACATTCCGGGAGATGATGATGCTAATGTCGGCAATAAATTGGTTCAGTTGGGGGCCACGACCCTTCTCAGCCCTGAAGACCTGACGAATACAACCCATTTTGTCTACCGTAATCTCAATTTATACATTACTTTATCCAAACCATACTCAAATATACATTACAACCATTGATTTCAAACTCTCTTCCGCCCAAACTTTCTAGACACAAATCCTTCAGGGTTATCCAATCAAGAGCCCTTAGGAATTGCGAGAGTGTCCCTGGACACCCGGTATTCAACCGTCATTTCAATTCCTCCATGCGAAGGCTCATGACTGGACAGGATTAATTCCTCACTCGGCGTACGTTTCGGCGCACTAGCGTGCGACTGCAGCTGAGAGCGTCCATCCTTGGTCCAGGTTTCCATCGCATAACTTCGACCATTACTGTTATAGTATTTGCGGCCACTGTTGGAGCGGAAATCGCGTACATAGCCCTTGAGAAGGGGGGCGAGGTATGGGACACAAGTGACGATATTCTTGAAACGTTAGTAAGTATACCCCCCCATCGTAAGATGAAACAAAGGAAGCAGATCAGGAAAGAAACATACCCCCACATTAAACTCGATCGTCCCCCAAAGCACCAACATGGTGGAATTTCCGTCGCCAAATGCGACTCGGTGGATCTGCGTAAGGCGAAGGATGGAACAGATCGTCGTGAACAGCCCCAATAGGAAGAGACAGACCACGCCTGCTTTTTGTGCGGGCTTTATATTGAGTCGGAGAAGGAGTGGAATCGGCAGGAAAATAATGACAACATCGCAAATGATCGTGAAAATCGCAAGGCCGTAAAATGTCGCGCCAACAGGTAGACATGATCCAGGTTCGTTGGGCATCCACGCCTTTGACACTGGCTTGCAGGTGAAGATCAATATTAAAGCTCCCACAATATGACCTGCTGTTGAGAGCGCAATGACAACCCAGATAACGATCCGATATATGCTTTTCGAAGTGCCCTCTAACAGTCGCAAGTAGCTGAGGCAGAGGGAAGTTTTGAATCCGGCGATGCCAATTTGGTAAAAGGGACGGCCGGCGTAGTTGATCTGTAAATAATTGCGTTAGCTTGATTTCCTGGAGAATGCAAGTATTCTTGTGTCGGAATCCGTTTACCTTAGTGTATGTGGCCAGGTCAGCCTTTGGTCGCAACTTGAGTGGAAGACCGAGTCCATATCGTGATTCTGCTTACTTGCATTAGACCCGTGGGGAACTCATAGATTAGGAATTACAATCTCACGGGAAATACAGAGAGCACTGTAGATAATACCAAACACCTAAATGCAGTCAGCACCTAAAACCAAATGTTATGTAGACGGGAACTTACCATGCTCATAACCATCACATAATCCGCCGCTCCAAGTCGACTCGCTTGCGCCCGCATAAACAGGCGCAAGCAGACAGTGATCACCATCAATATTGTCAGACCCAGACACACGCCGAGCACCACAGGGTACTGCGACACAGCCTCGACCTCGGGGGTGGCGTTGTATACCCATCCCATCATGGCAGTTAGCGAGGCATCGATGAAGGAGAATAATCCACGTGGAGGGAAATGGGATCGATAAATCTGCGAGAAGGTACTCTAGCGCTGTAGCGAGAAGTTCTTTGTATGTTCCATGTATGTATGCATGGGTAATCAAAGGAGCCCTGGATGCATTGGCCTAGGGAAAACCTTCGCCCCTTGCGCCCGAACCCCCCTACCACCAACCATTGTCACTCAACAAAGCCTAGCAATTACAGTTTTGGTTCGCGTGTAACACACCATCGATCTAGATCTTGAGCCGAGAGAAAGTCGACCCCACCGGTGCAGCCGAAGATTAGCGATCCTGTGTCGGGGAATCTCGCCGATCTCGTTGGTCGATGCGTAGGATCCAGTGTCTCATAGTGCTTCATCTCCACGCAAGTTGCACAGGCCAATAGGACTAATTTGTGAGCTCCCAGCTAGTGCAGCACTAACTCATTAGACAGAATGTACGGAGGACGGAGTACATTTGCTGATACTACCCTAGTACATGCCAGTACAAGTGCCACATGTACGCAGCATCTCTGCGAAACTCTGTTGTTTTAAACTTTGCCATCCCACTCCTCTCATCAACCAGCACACCCCAGCTTGATCCGATTTCTTTTTGCACCCCCAGGTCCAGTACTCTACCCCTACTATTTGGCAGCTGTATAGGCAAAATGGGCGAGAAAGAGCCCGCAGTTCAAGCAGTGGACCGCGACGACGCGGTCGTCTACCTCGAGGGTCACCATGCGAACGCGAATGTCGATCTCGCGGCGCTGCGCCGAAAGATCGATCGTCGGTTATTGCCGTACATGTTCTGCTGCTACGTGTTGCAGTTCCTGGATAAAGTCATGTTGAATGTAAGTTGAATCGAGTCCGATTGCGATTCCGAATCTGTCCCACCCCGGATCTGCCATTGCTGGACGATCCGATCGTCGCGCATTGACTCGCATTGTATCGCATACTAACATTGTCTAGTATGCGGCTGTTATGGGAATCAAAGTGCACCTTAACCTGAAAGGAAACGAATTCTCCAACACGGCATCCTGGTTCTTCATCGCGTATCTCATTGCAGAAGTACCGAATGGTAAGTCCATCCCTTGCTTTGCATATGTCACCATATCACATCACATCCCGTCCACCGCAATGTGAAGAGCACTGCAGATAAACTAACACCAACGTAGTTTATTTCTTGCAAAAAGTCCCCGCTGCCAAATGGCTCGGAGGAAATGTGTTTTTCTGGGGCGTTGCGGCGGCAGCCTCCGCTGGCGCCAAAGACTACAAGACTTTACTCGCCGCGCGGATCTTCTTGGGCATCTTCGAGGCCACGATCGGCCCTTCATTGATGCTGATTAGCAGTCAGTATTATACGCGTAGCGAGCAGGCACCTCGTTTCACCTTTTGGTACATGGGACTAGGAGTCGCACAGATACTTGGCGGTATCATCTCTTTTGCTTTTCAGCATGTCGAACATGCCCAATTGGAAGGATGGCGTATCATGTTCATTGTTCTTGGTCTGATAACCTCCGTTGTCGGAGTATTGACGTTCTTCTTTATTCCCGACACCCCAATTAAAGCAAAGTGGTTGTCAGAAGAAGAAAAAGTCGCGCTCCTCCAACACGTCAGTTCTAACCAGACAGGCGTGTGGAGCACAAAGATCAACATCAAACAAATCGGCGAAGCTGTTATCGATCCCCAACTGTGGCTCATCACCTTGACAACCATCCTCATCTCCGTCTCCAGCGGCGTGGTAACAACTTACTCCGCAACCCTCGTTGCCGGCTTCGGCTTTTCAGGACCCATCTCCGCCCTCTTGAACACACCCGGGGGTATAGTTAGCATCTTCTTCACGCTACTTGTCGGGTACGGAATTCGCAAGACCTCCAACCGCTGGGCTTGGAATGTCCTCTGCACAATTCCCGGAATAATCGGCGGCGGACTAATGTCATTCCTCCCGAAAAGCAACACAGCAGGCGTTCTCATCGGCATCTACCTCGTCAACGCGATCGTCGCCACCCTCCCAATCCTCTACCAATGGACAATGGCAAATACAGCAGGCCATACAAAACGCGCTTTCGCAAGTGCTCTTGTTGCGGGCTCGTTTTCTGTCGGTAACATTATCGGCCCGCAGACATTTCAAGTGAAAGACGCACCGGATTATCGGCCTGCGAAAATTGCCGTTCTGGCGACTCAGGCTGCTGCTGCCGTTCTCTCGGTCGTGCTGTTTGCCTACTATTTCTTCGTCAATCGTCGGCGTGATGAGCAGAAGGGGCATGTTGATGATGGTATGGTTGATGAGACTAAGTGGGCTGGATTGACGGATAAGGAGAATCCTCATTTCCGGTATGCGTATTAGGGGATGCGGATAATAGCTGATGTGTTTGATTCAAAATGGTGGTCGAGTTTGTGTGCAGTAATCTGATGTAGTATATAGTGCAATTGTAAGTGTTAACCAGCCACTGGCTTTATTTTTCGCATGCTTCATTATGCAAGGTAGACTCCATCGACTAGTGGATATTTTATATGGCTATCCCAATAGGTCAAAGTCCGTCTTGGGGTTTTATTGATTTGGAAATGCCTCTGAGACATTAATGTAAATTTCAGGAAGGGATCCTTCTTTATCATCGGAGGGAGCTTGTGTCCTAGCCCAGGCATCAGCCAGTAGCTCTTGGAAATCCTCCGGATCCATGTCGGATGTTTTGACACTAAGGATAGTATATGGTAAATAAAAATGCACACAATTAGTTCAATTGCAAGGGAAACGACATACACTAGAGCATGTGAGAAAGGATGCCCCTCCGGAGCTGGAACGTGCATGGCGCTATCAACACTGTCACCGACCGCGGTGAGTGTTTTCGTAACAAATTCAGTCAAGAAGCTCTTACTTATATATCCCAGATTTTTAGTAAATTCAAACGCGAATGCTGGTCTTTCCTCTGCAGTTTAACCTCGGGGGCCAGGAATAAGTAACGACTTACGTCTCTCCAGGCTCAGCGCCATAGTTATATTCTTTAGCTTCCGGAGCGGAGAAGCTGATAAGCTAAAATCGAGAGAGGCCGATCAGTATAAAATAATGATATGATCTTAATTCGCCGAACTAGGCGATGCATCCCAACGGAAGTTCTGTATAATGTGATCTAATAGGGAACGCACAAATTCAGTCTAATTTGGTAATTAGTTGGAGGTTCATATAATCCATCAAATAGACTGTTTATCTTTGGGCTGTACTTGCACTCATTTTGCTTGTATAAAATATCAGTATATATGACTTTGTTTGATTCGAAATAAGAAGAGAGCGAAGCAAAAGGAAAGGATGATATTCATACGCGTTGCGAACAAAAATAGGCGGGGGAGGACGGCATTTTTTTTTCGATTTCCCCCACTATACCACTTAATGACGTCATTGCTAGCTCTACAAGCCCATACTCTATATTTTATTTTTTGAACTAATGGCGCCAATTTACTACGAAATACAGTTACTTATTGGGAGGTCATGGTACCTCCAATATATAGAGCCCGAGTCTGAATAACGTATGAGGTTACAGCGAAAGGATCCTTACATTCAATTTAGAATGTCCTAAATTCGCCTCGATGGGAAGCTACAGCTGAAATGAAAGACTGGTCTAGAGAGACAGTTTACGTACAGTGAGCCAGAGTGAGAAGAACAGAAAAGATTGAATGGAATGTTAACACCTCAAATGCCGCTATGTATAATCGCTATAGCTAGAAATGGAAATGCAATGGATGCGGCGTATCATCACTTCCTCCAGAGAGGCTTCATAACAGAACGAACATAAACAAGGAGGTAAACCATTAGATAGTTCGTGATGGTGAAAGCAAAGAAGATACCGAAGTAGGGCCACATCTTCGAATCGTCCAGGCCGATGCTCTCAAGGTACTATAGTTTAAACCAGTCAGTTCTCACGGTCCACTTCGGCTAAAGACTTGTTCATGCTTGGGGAACCTACATCATCACCACGGCTATATTGACAGTAGCCGCAGATACCACTGCTATCCTCATTTGAGAGGTATCCAACGCCCTTGCTCGCAAGCCAGGGACCGGCGTACTCGCCGCAGGTCATGTTGGGCGGACTCTCGAAGAGAGTCAATTCACTCGGGGAACAGATCACATTCGTTCCGCGGAGGACGGCTGTTAGGACACCGCCAATCCAGTAAGTGAAGGGCGTTATGTAGTACATCGTGTACTTCCAGAAAGCGGGCATTTGTTCATGGTGGCGAAGGATGCCGTTGAACAGCTCGCACATGATGATAAAGAATGGCATGAGAGTTGCGGCAACCATGGAGTCGGAGCTTGAGTATTGTCAGTATATCGATCGTATAGAATGTAATGTTGAGTTGGGCTTAGGGTACTTACCTCAGAGCAGCGATCCATTGTCCCCATGAAGTAGCGAATAGGAAAAATAGGAAAAACATCAGGAAGCTGTACCCTGCAGCGAATCCAAGAGGCAATCCGACCATGAAGTAGTAGAGCACATAGAAGATTGTTCCACCCACAATGGCGTATGGAATCTCAGAAATAATCTGCGCAGTGCTGAACGCAATCCAGTTGTAAACTCCACTCGGACCCTCTCTCGCCAACCAGATATCACGGTTCAGGATGAAGCGCATGGAGATGGCGTTGATGAATTCGGGAACGAGCATGAGAACCAAAAATGCGGAAAAGGCCTTGGATTGGAGATCGGTCGTGCTGTCTCCGATTTGGAGGTACGTGAGACCGTTGATGAGTGCGTGAAGGAACGAGGCATACAAACGCGAGTATGGATACTCTGCTGTTCTGTAGAATTGCCGGCTAGTTCGTTGGGTGAGGAGGACAGTCTGCTGATAGAGCGAAGGAAGGGATGGGGCCGTGGTCTTTCGGTGGATATTCTCTTGGGCCCGAATATCGGAAATTTCCTTCTTGACAGCCTTTGCGTCTTCGGATTCGCGCCAAATGGATGCCCAGTTGACATGATTCCCTGAAGACTTCATACCACCCACCACAACCTCGATAAGGAAGTCAGCAGCATTGGTAACTTTCTCGGGGTTGTGTCCATGTTTGGTAAAATATTCGAAAATCGCTTTGCCGGATTCTCCAACAGGGCCGAAGTAATATGTGCTTCCGCCTGGGCTCAGGGCGAGAACGCGGTCGAACTGAATGAGTTAGAATACTATATTGGATGGATGGGCTACTGGGGACAATTGACATACCTCTTCGAATTGTTGCTGATTCGCTTGGTGAATTGTGCAGAGAACAGCAAGCCCTTGATCCGACAGGCGACGGAGGAGTGCCACGATGCTTGTTGCGCCCTGGCTATCTAGTCCACTGGTAGGCTCGTCAAGGAACAAAAGCAATCGTGGTCGCGCACACAGTTCCACTCCAATTGTGACCCGCTTCTTCTTCTCAATATCCAGGGATCCGATTACCGCATTCTGCAATTCCAACAAGTCAAGTGTCTGCAAGACCGTTTCCACATAGGCCAATTTCTCATCTCTCGGAGTGTCCTTATCTTGCCGAAGCAATGCGGAAAATTCGAATGCCTCGTGAATAGTGCTACTTTCGTCGTGGATGTCCATCTGTTGGCAGTATCCGATCTGGCGATTGAAGGAATCATCAATGGGCTGGTTATCAACGAACATCGAGCCGGAAAGTGTGCCAGCGCTTTGTCGCTGAGTAAGTGCAGTCAACACTAAGGATTGTTAGAACATATTATCATGATACTGGGACTCCAACTCACAAGTAGATTTGCCTGCACCAGAAGCTCCGACGAGAGCTGTCAGAGTCCCAGGCTTACAATATCCATTGACCCCATCGAGAAGTTTGCGAGTTTCTTTGCCAATCTGAACGTTGAGCTCTAGGTCCGACCAGGTGAAGGTAGATTCGGTCGCAGCCAAAACCTGATCGGACTTGATTCCCTCGGACCCAGCAGGAGGTGCCTTGTGGTCAATCGGAACAGGAGTCGTCTCTTCATCAGATCCAGAAATCTTCTTGCGGTTAAGCCATTTCTTCGGGGCTCTGTATTGAATTGGGCCGGCACCATCCAACTCCCACTCCATGACTTCGCTAAGCCAGCAAGTAAGTCCAACAAAGACAACGGTGAAGAGGCAAAGAATGCCAAAGTTACGCCAAACGTGGCTGTAGTAGAATCCAAATTGGCTCGCCAAGTAGTCATCTCCGTTCACTACAGTGCTGCCGATTTTGCTTCCAGCATAAGCGCAGGTCTGGTATGCAATGTCGGTGTAGTTGGATCCTTCTGGTACGATTGAGGAGGGGGTGCAGGTGAAATTGACATTGTGGAATTCGGCAGCCATGACAGACTCGTAGGTGTATAGCGCCGGGGTTATATACTGGAAGAAAGTCAGCTAATGCGTTGGTTAATGTATCAATCCCACTCACCGCAATCCATCCTACCCAGGGAACATCCTGTATCATTTTGTCAACAGACAGGACATAACCACCAAAGACAATGCAGAATAGCACAGAAACACCACAATATCTTAGAGCGACCTCGAAATTGCTCGACATTGCTGCAAACACGCGAAATTGGGCTGTGAGGCAGACAGTGCAGGTGTAAATGAAAAGAAAGTCGATGAAGAAAGGGCCGGCCTGAAGTTGTTAGAAATTGCTTCTGTATGTTGTGGAGAACAGAGAATCGAACTCACATCTGAGCGCAATCCAGCCAAGAAATACATCACAATGAGATACAGTATGGTCAGAAACGCGGTGAGAATCATATCCTGCATGACACGAGCCATACAGACAGCACTGGGTCTCACAAAGGCGAATTTCTTTTGTCGGCTGAGGATATCTCTTCCTTGCATGGCTTCTTCCAGCTCTGACATCTGCAGCCAGGCCAACAGGATGGAGGAGTAGAAGAGTACACCACCACGAGAATACATCCCTTCAGTGGTCTGGGGCTGATTGTAGAACATGGAACCGATCAACAAGCCGTAGATCACGCAAGAAATGAACTTAATATAGAGAGGACTCATGTGCCCCTTGAGCTGCCATATCTGACGCTGGGCGCATATCACAATCTGACGGAACAGCGAAATTGTGTATGGAGATTTGGAAGATACAAAACGAGATTTATCGCTTTGCATAGAGCGCTTGAACTCCTCAACGCTTCCACATTCCGATTCACTTTGGTAAGATCCGTTGGCTCTGCCATTGACTCGCTTATCATCGTAAATCTCCACGGATCGCTGAACGTTCTTGAAAGCATAGCTTTCTCGGAAGGCCTGCTCCAGCTCAATTGGACCTTTGGGGGCGCGGTCTTCCCATCCAGCACGGAATCGTCGTCGCTCGGGCACAGTGATGCTGGTGAGGAAGTCGGAAGTGGTTTGCATCTCGGCACACTCATACCCCAAGTCCTCGAAGTATTGCTTTGCCTGACTAGCAGGGCCCTGGTATAGCATTCTCCCTTCGTCAATCAGAAGAACCTTATCCATGAGTTCGTAGATGGCATCTGAGGCTTGGTAGAGTGTGAGTAGTGTAGCTTTTCCACAGGTGTCGGTCATGATCCGTAAGCTACGAGCATAGTCCAGCGCAGATGATGCATCCAGACCTCGAGTCGAATTGTCCCAGCAGGTGACCGATGAATCAGTGGCTAATGACTCAATTATGGAGATACGTTTGCGTTCACCACCCGAGACACCACGAATATACTCGTTGCCAACGAGTGTGTTCATCGTGTGTGTCATGCCAAACACGCGGCCGTAGATCTCCAGATACAGCGGGATTCGATCCTGGTAGCGCTTAGGAGTCTTACTCTGCAGCGCAAACTCGAGAGTCTGTTTCACAGTAAGAGTGGGGAAGTGCACGTCGTCCTCGGGTACATATGCAACAGCACTGCGGTAGTGCTTCCGGACTTCATCCGGGCACAGGCCAGAGTAGTCGATCGCGCCTGTTACTCCCAGGAAGGAAGAGTGATGTCCTGCAATTGTTCGCAAGAAGGTTGAACATCCAGCTCCTGGGCGTCCTAGAACACTGTGAAAGGTTAGTCATAAACCCATTCTCTCTATTCAATCAACCCATTACTACTTACAGCATCATTTCGCCGCTTTCAACAACACCAGAAAAGTCTCGAATGAGCCGTCGTCCATCCTCGGGCTTTTTCGATGATACCCACGGCTGAAATGTCCATTCGTATATATCCCGGCAGGTCAAGGTACGCCACAAGGCCGTCCCTAAGGTCTTAACATTGGCATGACCATCACCTTCGCCCCAAGTTGAGACAGATTGAAAGCTCACTCCCAGATTGGAGCGCTTTTTCCCTCCCTGGACCTGTTCCTCAAGGAATTTGTCGAAGGAGGAGTGAGGCTCGGAGTACCGGACAGCACCAGGTTGACTCTTCTCTGTCAGCGTGCGATGGATATCAGCGATTGCATCTTCATCTGCGTGGGAGACGTGGACACGAGGGCCGTGATCTTCAGATGGTGCCTCGTGCCCCGCAATGAAGGACGCTTGGGGGCGCGAGTGCAGAGGAGCAGGCATGGTGAATCCTGATCAAATGCTACTATGATGAAAGTTTGAAGAAAACACGCATTTGCATGGTTGTGATATGAAAGGAAGTGGCGATGAAGAGGATATTTTATTTTGTGACAGGCAGAAGCTCCAAGAGATCCAGAACTTGGACCCAGGGTCCAGAAAGAGGAAGCCAAGCTACAATATGACTCTAAATTAACCAACAACCAATAGTAACACCCCTAAAGAACAAACGAAAAATTATTCACCCAAGCTGGAGACATCCGGTGGGTCCGCCATCCATTATGATCCATGACGAACAAGAAGATCTGATGTCCCCAGGATCTAGCGTGACCAATGGGAATTCCGGACGGTTCAGGCGGCCACGAGGAAGTGCGCCACGAGGAACAAGGAACACATTGGCCACCGGGGGTTTTGCGCATAGTTTACCCAAATGTGGTAAGTCGCAAGAGGGAGGACCCGCGGTCTCCGCGGGAGCCGACTAAATGAGGAAGTTCTGAGGAGAAGATCCACCTGGAACCAAAGGAAAAGCGGATCCAGGATGGATTGGATGATGCTGACAGGTTGAATTGGGCGGTGAATCTCTCAGCGCGGCTATTTCCAACTAATTCTGGATTGCTTTCTAATCATTTTGCCAGATATCGGGATGGAGCTGCTGTGTTTGAACCTGCCGCAGGAAGCGATGACCGATATGTGATGACCAATGACCGAGGCTTGGTGGTCGATGCAGGGTGCAGAGTGCAGGGTGGTCAATGCGACCTGTCACGAATCCGTCGGTGGATATGACAAGCAGAAAATGTCCGTGGTCTGACATGTCGAAAAAGCAATGAGAAACATGGAGGCACCGGTCATCTTAAGTAAATGGCGGTGGTGATTCAGATGAGGCAGCAGATGACTTCATGCTCTGCAGTCACACATTATAACCGAACAAATGTAATTTTCATTACGTTTGTTCTTGCGATATTCCAATTTAGGTACTCAATATAGATAGTCTTACCGAAACTGGAACTATATTCAATATGTTCAATGCAGCTAGCATTATGCTTTGCCACAGGACCTCTACCCGAGTCTTCTTCAAGTCTAAACTTTTCTATAAAAACGGAAATCAAATATTAGCGAAACCCCTCTAGTTCAATAACCATTCTTATCAATGCCATTCTCGCGGTACACCTGCAAGCTATACTTGGCAAATGTACTCCGCGAACGAATCCGCTTCCCATATCTCGTAAAAAGAGGCGGAATAATACAAAACAGCGTCGCAAACGCAGCCAAAATCGAGGCTGCAACATTAGCACCCAGCCCGTCAAACATCTCAGTCGCGAATAGCGGGAAAACAGCCGACATCGACGAACGAAGAAGCTGAACCGCCGCGAAGCCACTTGCCGCATACCCCATATAACTATCGGCCAGGTATCCCGCAAGCACCGAGTCGAATTCATTCACAGCATACCCAATTAGTACGAGCGCGGCCGCAGAGACTAACCAGTGAACATTGGTCACTAAGGGCGGAATCGTCCATGCGAACCACCATAGACCACCAGCTAGAATTGGAGCGCCGATAGAAAACCCAAGGAGTTTGTGCTCTGGCTCGAGAGGGATGCCTTGCTCTTTGTATTTCTGGATAATGCGGATATCTTGAATGCGTGTAAGCATTCCGGATAGGAGACCCACGCAGATGGCGATGAAGGGGAGGTAAGAGGATGTAGCTGAGAATCCCATTGAGACATAAATGGGTGGTAAGGCTTCAGTGAAGAGATAAATCAGGGCAAATGCCACTGCGCTCATCATCGCCACCATGAAAACGATGGGTTCTGTGAAGAAGAGTTGGATGGGTCGGAAGAGACCGATGCGGACGAATGTCATCAGATCGGGGGTGTGATCTGGGTTCAATGCTTTCAGACTATCAATTCCACTTTCCTTGCGGATCTTTGCGACCTCCATTTCCAAGACCGACGATGGCCGGGATTCTTTGATGCCGAATAGGAGAACCGTAACCATCGCCGTAACGACGGCAGAAATTCGAAATACCCATCTCCTACAACAACAAGTCAATTTTATTCTTCTTCGGAGCCCAGGAGAGGGGCTGCTTTTTCCTACACATACCAGTTCAGAGAAACAGTGATGTAGATACTCATAATAGGCCCCAAAGCAAGACCCATATTTGCCACAATAGCCCACAAGAAAATGAGCCATACCCTATCCTTCGAGTTGTACATATCCTCAATACTCCCCGCGACAACGATAGCCGGAATTGCAGAGAGAAACCCGGCCAAAAAGCGACCAACAATAACAGCCGCCAAAGATGGAACAATGCCGACGATCAGACAGAAGACGCTGTATAAACCGGTGCTGACAATGTAGAGCTTCTTGCGACCAAAAGCCTCTGACCAAGCCGGGAATATGATACCGCCAAACATTTGGCCGAGTAAAGAAAGCGAGACAAAGAGAAAAATAGCCAGTGTTTTCCCAATGCTAAATTCATGACGAGCATGATCGGCCGCTGAACTGCCGGCCGTACTAACAGATGTCGTGAATAGATCCAGGAAGATGACCAGGCCTGTGTCGTAGATCTTGCGAGACGCCGGCCAATTGCGCGGATGTCTTTTATTCCCTACGGACCAGCGAATTGACTCTCCATTTGGGGTGAATTCCAATCCATATTCATTTAGTAGAGCCTGGATGTTGCTTGGATCTTCGATTGGAGGGAGCTGTAAGGATTCACTTGTCTGAGTGACCCCCATAGTGAGGTTGTTGAAGTTGAAGCAAAGATCTATTTTACCTAGACAAGATCCAAAAAAAATTTGACGTTGAAGTTAAATAATTCCGGTGTAAAAAAGGCCTCATAAACTTCAGAAAGAAAGAATTCCCCGCGGGGTCGCTCTGAGTCAATCTCTTCTCGGCAGCTTTTCCGTTAAAGGAAAACCCTATGAGAACCCACAATTCCGGGGTGTGGCTGCATGATGATGCGGCGAGATGGATTTGTTTAGGCCAATGGAAGGTCTCTCGTATTTTCTGCGCGTATTTGTGCATCATGTATGGACTACTGCTGCAGATACAGTTGAGATTTATGTGATTCATCGATCAATCAAGTATATGGCGAATCCAATAGAAACAAGTACATCACGTAAAGCCACCTTGAAAAAGAACTAGGCATTTATTGTAAGATAACTCTGAAAAAGAGGCAATATGAAATCGAATATTAATGCAAATCTCAGGTTATTAAAATAATTATACTAATTTCGTCCCCAGTGGCCATTAATTCCTTGCATTCCTCCACAAAATACCTCCAAATGCCCTATTACTAAGACCCTAAACCCGCCAAGATCGTCTCCACCACCCTCAAAGTTGTCCTCCTTTTCATTTCATTTCTTCCCTTTGTTCTCCCAACTATTCTCCCCAACTCACAATGCCCACACAACTCTACAATGCTCTAATCCGCACCCACCATATCACCTCCCGGAAAAAGGTCGCCGCCCTAAAACGTGCCGCCGACACCCACAGCTGCTTCGTACTCCTTCGCTCCGGTGGGTGTCCGGGGATCATGTACGTCGAGGGGCAGGAACAAGGCCAGGTGGAGGGGTGGGTTGGAGTGGTGAAGAGATTACGATATAAGGATTTCCAGCTGGTGCGTAAACCGGGGGAACTCGTCTCTGAATCCGGGGGTATGCCTGATGACGAAGGACGCGCGACTGGGAGAGATGTTGGGTTGAATGAAGTTGAGAGTGTGAAGGAGTTTGGGAGTTTTATGGCGCAGCGGGGGGTTTGGGGGTGGTGGAGGAAAGGGATGGGATATTCTTGATGCGATGTTGGTTTGATTCGATTCGATCTCTCTACTCTTCTCTTCTGTTTGGTTTTTACTTTTTTTTACATGATACCCTGCCACTGGCATTTCAACCTTCCAGTCTCGATCTCGTATTCAACGACTTATATTGTCTATTCTGTACAATCCTGCCCTCGGTTCCCATTCTCAAAACGCCAAAATACCGATACGCTCAAATCTACAAATGGAAACAATGATGGTCACTCCTTGAAGACACGACCACTTCTTATACTGGAGCAGGATAACTCAGTAACCTGCAAACGTCCTGTCGAAGAAAAGAGTAGTCAGCACTGAATGAACCCATCCACGCACACCCACACAGAGCAGGGGCATACACACCTTTCGTTGCCTTCGGAAATGATCATAAAGTTCTTTCCATAGTTCTCGATCGCGGCATCCACTCTCCTGAGCTGTCCCGGGTTTAGTGTCGCATTTAGGCTGGATCTCTGCCAGCATTTCTTGCGGCCACATAACCCAAGGCTTGGGCAGAGGGTCATCCGAGAATTGCACAAACTTGCTCTCCGACATGACCTTATCAGGAATCCAGTCCTTCTCCGTCCCCAGGAACTTTTTATGTTCCTTTCTGCGGAACTCGCTCGTGAGCAAGCCGTACTCCTTGTGGGGAAGAACCATAGCACTATCCCCATAGCGAAAGTTTAGAATCGCCGTATCTAATCCAACTGTCCCGTTCCAGATATCCAATTGGCCATGGGTCGCAAGACGGGTCATCTCCTGCAATCCCAGGAATTCCTTGTACGAGGGCTCGATCACGACAATCTGGGAGTTGAGGGTGTGGGAGTTGGGGAGTGTCCAATAGGCTCGAGGCATGGCGACAACGGTGGGTGGGAGGAAGAATAGCTCATCCATGTGATTGAGTAGGGTGATGTCGGAGTCGAGGTGAATAACGCGATCGTATTGGATGACGCCGAATGCGTTCAATTTGGCCGAACTGACGTCCCAAGTTGCGTCGGCAAATCCTAGCAGTGAAAATGATAGTTAGCTCTGGTCATCATGGGTGGGTGGTCCTGTTCTATCCTATCTTTCCCACTCACGTTCAGACGGTCGCTTGATTGGCTCGACCTTGATTGGCGACATCTGGACGTTATATCTGCTTTTGGCCATGATCAGAAGCTCGCTGATGCGATCAGAGTCGTCGTCAATGATGAGATCCCACTCGTCTGGGTAGAATAGCAGGGTTTCCGCCTTGGATTGGAAGCGCTGCAAGGCCGCGTAAACCATTAAGGAATTGCATAGATCTGTCTCGCTAGTCGCGTACGTTGTGTAGGCATAGCGCGTCCAGTCGACCTCATCATAATGAATATGGGGATTTGGCTGCGGAGGAAGTGGTATCGATTTTGGCCACAAGCAGTAAACAATGAGAGCGAAGAGAATGACCCAAGTGCGGATGTGTCGTAGTTGGCGTTTGGCCATCGCTGACCACGATTCGTCGGGAATATCGAAGAAGTCTTTTTCCGACGCATCGGACCCCCGACGAAGAGGGAATGCCGAGTCCTTAGCCGCCATTTCTGAGGACAACAGCGGTGACGAAGACGGAGACGGACAGGAGAGACGAGAAGGTCAACATTGAAGTGGAAGTGGCAGTTGAAGTCGAACTTCCGCGGAGTCGATGTGCTTATCATCACGTGGTGATTGCCCAGGGGAGACGCGGCGATGACGTGTATTTCTCGGACTAGAAATCGGGAAACATCATTAAAAATTATAACTGAGCTTAGATGGTCATTTGATTCCGGCGTTGAGTACAAAATATTGCAGTCAAGTGGGCTGAAAACTGGTAACGACCTCCCGTTCGCCCGGGCGAGCCAGAGTCATGATATCCGCATCTCTGTTGATCATCTTGGAATTATGTATTCTCCCCTCCAGGGCTTGCAAGGTAAAAAGTAAAGACCTGCAACTTGAAACTTGGAACACGAACTTGGAGTAGTATGAATTCGACGAGTAAAAAATACAACTATATTCCTTTCCTGGACGGGAATTTGGACATCCACGAATGAATTATACGGCAGGCGACTACTCCATATTTTGGCGAGGAATTCTAAGGTTTCCAAGATTATTGTTTAGATACTGATATCCAAGTCAGTATTCACGGGGTATTATCATCCCAGTAATAAGGACTTCTCTAAAATCGAAATTGAAGTGCCGAGGCTAACAGCTCTGTGGCATGATCAGAGCAGTACGACACGTATATAGTTTGCGCGAACCCCATGACTTCCAAAGCCGATCCAGCAGTCAATTAAAACATATTTTTATTTCAGTATTTCCCCGGGTACATAAGCACCTTGAAGGTACCTAGGTAACCCTTTTGGCGGTACCCCCGATGGTTTCAGTCGGACATGCCGAAATGGCGGCCGCCTTGCCTCATGTAGCGACATCATTGACATTGAGATATCTTTATTCTGGAACTTTGTTGGCTTGGTCCCCATAAATAGCTCGATTATCTAGAAATAAGATGAACCGTGGCCACAATTCCCCGAATTAATACCTCATATTCGACCAGCATTCTAGCTCCCCCGCATTATGCAGATCATAAAGCAGACAGGAGCAATTGGTGTAACTCTGTAACATGCAATGAGTTATTTATGATACTGCTCAATGCTTCTCTGATAATTGGTAAAATGGCCTAAACAAAAATCAAGCGCCTTTCAGGAAATCTACGACTGATAATATCTTCATTTTCACTATATGAATATATCCGTCGGTGAGCCCGACAGGTATCTACGACAGTAAGATAAGGATAATGATTTAGATATTACGTTTGACTTAATTTGAAAGGATTAGCTGGCATTTTACGAGATATAGCAAGAAAGGGTAACTCGATCCGCTGCAAGGTCCTCTTTGTTTGCTTATCACTTTAAATTAACGGGCATCATAATTCGATCGATTATCCGCTACAAAGAACTGGTATGACCCGAAATTCAATTTTGAGCATTTTAACTAATCTCCTTCTTCCCCTCTCTCGGTCTGTCCGAATCCTGAAAGTTCAAATACTGATGGGTTTCCTTCGCAATGTAGGTAGAAAGGAGCCAAGCCAAGATAAGTTTCTAAGTATTGTCAAAACCATTGGCTCTAAATCACTATCACAATGTCTTTGGATATTCGCAAAGACTCTCTTGGCACAGATGTGCAACCCGACGAAAAGAAGGGGAAACACTTGCCGCACAGTCCCCAAAGCGAGTCTATAATCTCTGGAGTGGTTAGTAAATCCCCGCAATAAAATCCTTCTCGGACCCATTTGCTAAGCCCAAACTGGCTATTGAAAACTAACATCATTAATTGATGTAGCAACTGCATGGCAGGTTCTCATGATGACAAGCTGGACTTGCAACATCATTTTATTCGATACCGTATATGACATTGGAGGACCGATGATGTTGATATACTCATCGTTAGACTTTCCAGTAATCTACCCGCAAAGAACATAACTAAGACTTCCGCCAGAGTTATTGTTACTATTGGGCAAGGCTTTCTCATGGCATCCCTCGCTGAGATGTGCTCAATCTGGCCATATGCTGGCGGTCAGCAGTAGGTAGAAAGATTTCCGAAGTGAGTGGAACAGAACTTAGAGGTACTAATGTCCTTGAAATAGGGTATTCACCCAAAGGCTTGCGCCTCCGAGGTATGTTTCCCCAAAACATTGACCAGATAATGGACTCTTAGATTCATGATCCCATCACCGGTCAAGGAGAAATTCGCCCAATCTCATTGCTTACTCTTTCATCATAGCGTCCGGAGATTCCTCTCATACGCTATTGGGTGGGTTATATTTCTTGGTGAAATTGCTACGGCAGCCAGCTGTACCATGAATTCCGCACAGGTTTGCATAGGTATCATCCAGATCAGCTACCCGGACTGGGAAGCTACGGTAAGATATTATATCTCTACTAAGAAGTTTGAATTTCAAGGGGGCTTATAAATGACATATAGAGATGGCTGGAATGGCTTATGTATGTCGGACTTACAATTCTGGCACTGACAGCCTCTCTTTCCCAGAAGCACCTCCCATTACTCTCACTGGTGGGAGGGTTTATAGTTATAGTTGGCGCAATTGTGTGGGCTGCCTTATTCCTCGCTTTGGGACCAAAGCAGTCGGCTAGTTTTGTTTTTACCCAGTTTTTGAATAATTCCGGCTACGAAAGTCGTGGATGGGTAGGGATTATGAGTTTCTATACCCCAATGTATGCTTTGTATGGGACCGACGGTATCCTACATATTGCCGAAGAAATGAAGGACCCAGAAAGAAATGCACCGGTGAGTATTCCAGTTCAATCACTACCTGTGAAAACTTCCTATCTGACAAAAATTGCCACAAAGCGGGCTATGTTATGGTCTATGGTTATAAGCGGCACAACCACTTTTCTTGCTGCAATCATCATGGGATTTACTTCTAAAGATTGGGAGTCTTATATGGAAACAGAGTAAGTCACCACCCAGGATTTGATGATTAACCACGCAGATGTTGTGGAGAATAGCTTACAACTTCAGCATTCCGTACGTTACTTGGTTTGTCGATGTCCTCCAAAATCCCGCTGGTGGGATTGCCTTCGTTGTCATAATTCTGATTGTGATCAAGTGAGTTTATCATGCCATTTCATCCATAACTTCATTTTGTCTTCTGCTTTTTACCGAGCCTTTTTGGATATAGGCTTTCATCTAACAATGACTAGTCTTTTTATCTGCATGGGCCTCAATACAGCAGCGTCTCGTTTAACATGGGGAATGGCACGGGACAATGCCCTCCCATTTTCGAACATCTTCGTTCAGATAAATCATACGCTCGATACACCTCTCAACACCCTTATTCTATCAGGAGTAGCACAACTGATTATTGGTATATTCTTCCATCTATCTACACTGACCAAGGTAGTCAACTAACCTCACTCCTAGGTGTGGTGGTTTTTGGCTCCGACTACGCATTTCAGGTGATTATTAGCATTGGACTAGTCGCAATCCAAGTTGGCTATCTAATCCCAACTTTCCTGGTTGGTTTTCACACTTCCGAGACGATGTCTACTTGCGATTACTTAAACATTCCCAGATTGTCGTCACCGGCCGCAAAGCATTGCCGACACCACGAGCCTTTAACCTGGGTGCGGCCGGATGGGCCATCAATATATTTTCCGTCTGCTGGTGTTTGCTGATTAGTGTCATGCTTCTGTAAGCTTTCCACTGTTGCTGTTTATTGATATATAGTATAGAATGTGATTCGGCTAACGGAGTATTCCATCTTGGTAGCTTCCCACTTTATATCCCCGTGGATAAGGCAAACATATGTGAGTAAAATCCACTTCAAAGCAATTGTGCCGGCCGGCTTCACTGACACCAGTAGATAATATGAACTGGGCGATAGTATTGATCGCCGGAACCTTTCTGGTTGTTTTTGTGGACTGGATGCTCCGAGCGCGTCATAATTATTATTTTGCTACTTGAAGCGACGAAGATGTTTTTATCTCAATTTTGCAAATCATAGTAATCATTAGGATTTATCATCCAGAGCTGCGACCTTAGAGAATTTTAAAAGAGTATGTGTTTTCAATTAATACCCTAGCTTTCGATTCGTGTACTGTATGTAAATATCGAATTATACTTCGCGCCATATTATACTATCTACACGGCCTCATTTTTACACATCCCCAACTAATTATTCCTTCCTATGCACATGAAGCGATTCACTCCCCTCAGGAAGTAACCTGGCACCGCCAGAAGAAACAGACCGCCCATCATCAACCTGCACAACAATATCCGTCTTGACAGTCACAAATCCATCATCCAAATGATCGGGCTGTTGTGCTCGAGAGATTCGACTCTCAGAACGCTCGGTACCCCAATGCGACGGATCATTCTCTTCATCTTGCCAATTGCCCGCTGTCGCCGTTGCCGAATCCAGCCATTGGTCCTTCTGTCGTCGCTTGAGCTCTGTATCGTTCGAATTATCCGTATTGTTATTATTATTCTTCGAGCGAGATCGGGACCAGTAACCAAATGGTTTGCCGTCGCGACGGTTGTCAACGATAGAGCGGAGGAAGAGACGGGCGACAGGTGCGCAGGAGGCTAGCAGGATGCTGTAGTTTTCGATCCTGCAAAGGCTCATGTTAGAATTGACAAGGCTGACATATAGTATTTATCGACAACTTACTTCACCCAGAGAACGAATGAGACGATGTTATAAGTAAAATCCAGGCGGTCACCTAGTGATTTGAGTTTCTGTACCACTGCATGTTAGAACTGCGCAAATGAGTATTTTAAGGAGGACCTACATAAGTCTTCACAATCGAAGCAGCACCGGATAGTATAAGAGGACCGCTCAGGGTGAGTGTCTGCCAGATGCGACGTGATCGGACAGTGCTGTTAATTTTGCGGAACTGAGACCAGAATGTATTATTGGGTTCGCGATGTAACGTTCGCAGGAAAAACTGCCATAATTCCACGGCAGCGAGAGCAGCGAGCGCGAAGTCAATAATTGAGTTGAAGCCTGTCAGGACTCGGTTAACATAGTACGATGCAAGTGTAGATCAAATCAAGTACGTACCTCCCTGGACAAAGCCGACGGTCGTTTGGACAGATGGTGATTGACACACGACCGATCCATCCGCAGGCAAAGGAGTCCACATATATTTGAAATATTGAACACGATCCGCGGAGTGATATGGATTAGGCCCACATTGGACAATTATTTGTACGATGGTGACCATATTTGCCACGATTTGCACAATAGCACAGATGATGATCGACATTCGAAGTTTACGATCACTCGCTGCGAAGCATGTCAAGAGAAACCACATCATGCCGGTTCTTGAAACCATCGCCGAGGCGACGGCAATAGGCTGTGACAAAAAGTCCCACTTCATAGCGTGGAATCTTTCCTCTTCACTAAGATAGAAGAAGTGACGCCCGAGACCCCAATTGGCACTGTACTCTAGTTAGTCGGATACTCTTAGAATCCCCAGGATAAGATCAACTCTTACCTTAGTTGAATAAATGTCATATGAGTGACATCAAAGCCATAAGCCACTAGGAAGAACATATCTTCGATGCCCCAAATTCGTCCGGGGGCAGTAACCTGCGGCAGAGCCCAGCGAACCCAAGACTTGACGGCATATCGAAAGAGCAGAGCGACGCCAACCACTCCAGTAAGCGCCTAAGTGACAGGTTAGTTACTCAAAGTACCACATGGATAGTGACAGGCTTGGCCTACCCAGCAAGCGGCAAATGTGCCAGAGCCTATGCATATCAAACATCAGTCAAAGACTACCGGGCCCAACATCTCTGTGCACGCAACTTACCAATATCGACATCTCCTTCTCCGGGTCGGGGGATTTCCATGGCGATGATGTAAGGGTCGGCTTTGTGATCGAGATTCAACTGCAGCGCGCGACTCGCATTCAAATAGCAAGCATTGGCGGGGAATGAAAGAGAAATCGCATTGATGTTGATGGATCAGACAGCACTTGCGCGGATCATATAGGAGTGGGGGTGGAATATGGCACACTTCGGTAGAAAGTCAAAGACCGATTACCTCGCAAACAACGTACAGGTAAACTCTGTCATGGCAGCCCAGTGGACTAAGTTTGACCGGGCCAACAAGGGGGCCGAACTGGGGGGGCTGATCAGGAACGATGATGAATCACAGGAAGGGCGTGGATATCAGGGCCACTGGTTGGTGCGAACCTAATATCACAGAAGTGTGATGGAGAGATTAAATACACCCGAATAATGGATCAAAGGGCCAACAATAGTTCACGGGTGTCCCAAGACGATGTTTGCGCTAAAATTGGACACCACATTAGTACGTATCCCGGTTTCCGAGCAAGACCCGGAGGAATAAAGGATTTGTTCGGTTTCCACCACGCCTAGCTAGTATGTTTCCCTGTGTAGGGGCCTCATTCCTGCAAGGCCCATGTGGACGCGGTGACACAGGCGACATTCCAACGCGAGCTGGGGGAACGAATGGCGACCATGCAAACGCCATGCGACGCCAACGCAAGGGCTGTACAAACCGAGGCCGTGCATTCAATAGTCGATCCAAAGGTTTGGAATGGGGAAAAAGCAATACCCCTCTTCAGCGATTTCCCTTCCGATGAACGGAGCACTATTTTTCTATTGTATCCGTACCAACCCAAGAATCAGGTAAAAGAGATAACCTACAGGAGTTCAGAGCACTGACAGTGGATTCCGGGCGCTAGTTGTCCGGGTCTTGATCGGAAGATCAAATAAGATTCACAAGTGGGTCGTGGGCTTGAGACAAGGTAAGGAGATCCATTCTAGTCTGTTATTGGTATAGTCAGCACATCAGTAGAGGGTATCTCGGCCAATCGAAGCTCCTAATTTACCCGGGAAAAGCTTTCATGCGAACTCAATACCGTCAATTGGTGGGGAGGGGTTGTTTGTGTGATTTGCTCGAGCTCAGAACTCGGATGTGATGAATCAAGCCGATCACCCATCACATTCGACTTGTCAATTCTTAGGTGTTCATGCAGAGCGCAAAGCATGTCGTGAATGATCTGAGTTCGCATTGAGATCAGGCACATCTCGTATAACTCTTGTTCGACTGGATATTTTGTCGGTATTTTACCGAGCCAAAGTAATGTCGGAAAAGACTCCGGAGGATCACTCCACTTGATAACATGCTCATCTCCACTTGTTCCGGTTCCATGACCATGTCAGTATGTATGTACCGGTTACGGACTACGTCAAATTACTTGACACGCTAGGCAAATGAACTAGTTCAACTTGGGGCCAGAACTCAATCCGGCGAGATTCCATTGCTCTGTTAGGTTTATTACTCGGTTTTCAACCTCATCTCCACCAATGATTCACCCGCTCGCACATATCCCTCAAACCCAACCTCCAACCCCGAAACGCTCGCCAACTGCCTCCACTCGGCCGGGCTGCGTTCGCGGCCACCATACAAAGCAATCATACTCGCATGGAGCGAGGTATAAGTCATATTTTTCGCATATTCAATAATAAGCAACCGCGACTCGGCCGTCATCGCTCGCGAGAGCTTCTGCAAAAGCGCCACCGCGTCCAAATCAGGCAGATTGTGCAGGATATGCTGTAGTGAATAAATCCGTGCACCCCGAATCGGCTGCTCGGGACTTTCCTTGTAATTCCACTCCATCAGCCGCACACCGGGGACATCGCCGGCGTCGATCTCGGTGTTGAACTCCTGCACAACTAGATTGGCCTCTTGCAGATGTGGATAAGCCGCCTGAACTTCTAAGAGTAGTTCACCCCGTCCGCCCCCAATATCGACCATAACAGGATTCTGATGCAGAGGTCCTGGTTCGCCAAGGGTTTTGCCGAGATTGTATCCTAGTGAAGCAACGCGGTCCGGAAATGTGCCAAACTTGATGAACTTGCCCACCATGAACTGATTAAAGCTTTCCATGCGACCTTGTTGCTCCATAATCGAATAAGTGTGTTCGTGAGAGAGCTTCTCCTCTCCCATGAGTTTGTAAGCATATTGAATTGGCCCGTCTGCTTCGGTAAATGGATAGGCGAAGTTAGTAGCTTGAAGCTTCTTCATCATGAACGCGCCGGCCATCATCCCTTCGGTTGTAAAATGCACGGCGCCGTGCTGCGCAGAAGGCATGTCAACCATGTGTCGAGTGATTGCATTAGCAGCAAATAAATCCTCAACCACGCGCTCGACTAGGCCTAGTCCGGACATAATGTACAGCGTGTCGGCTAGCCAACATCAGTCAATAAGTAAACAAAACTCATATGAGTAGTAATCAATGGGAAGTGGTCGCATCCATACAGGCAAGTCTGACAGCTGGAAAAATTAGCGAAAATTTACTAAATCAAAGCCAAAGCACTTGGCATACGGGAGATGTACCAATTTCAGGATCTCCAGTGGAACGCGCCCTGATGCGCGCATTGCAGGCATTTGCCACCTCCTCCGCGGTCGCATGTCGGCCTAAACGAACCAATTCGCCAAAGAGATCGAAATGGACCGCGACGGGCACAAATCCAAGAGAAGCCGGCTAACCAGTCAGATTTCGCCCAAAGCAAAATGAATTAAGTTAAGTTCGATTCCAGCGCAAAACTTACCACTGTAATCGTAGCTGCGAGGGCTGCACCCGGGGGAATAACAGGAGCCGGCGAAGCCAGACCAAGTAGGCCTGCTAGTCGAGCCAGAAAGGACATGATTTGGCTCACTTGGAAATCGGATGAACGCTACGTAAAGAGGAAAAGACGGATTCGATCGGGTCTGCTGTGCTGGTGTCTTATGTAGATGAAAGGGGTGGTACGTGGCCCAACATTCCCAGCATGACTCCTCCGTACATAAAATAAACCCCCACGAACGAAGAAGTTAGAATGTCCATGTCACTCTGGGAGCTAAACTTGTAACCGAAATACTGCACCAAAGTTGGTTGCCACTTAGTTCGTGAGACGAGTCCACTGCAAGCCTCAAATCCACATATCAAATCAAAGCGACGCGCCAGTAAGGAGAGAGAAAGTCCTCGCCGATCCCAACCAGCGCAAAAGACAAGATAATTTGTGTCTTTCATACGGGCGTTGTATTGTAAAAGGCATAAAGAAAATACAAGAAACAAACTTTAGCCTTGTTCAAAGTATCCAAAACCTAAATGACGCCCTGTACCTCAAAGTGGCGCCAAGTGGAACCCGCGTCCAGAAGGGATCTGCGCGATAATTCAATGTGGAGAGGGGCGTAAAGCCGAGATTTGATCTGTGTGATTCCAGTCCATGGACCGACCAATGCAAGTGCGTTCTCTTCCCTCGGGTAATTGAGGGGATAGAAATAAGATACATACGAGTAGATCGTAAGTTCGAGAGACCCGACCCAACCCAACCTTTGGGTGGATGTGGAGGACGAACTAAATTAGTTAGTCCGTACAATTCGGATAGTTCAGAGAAGAAGAAGGGGGCTATCACTTTCTGCCTTTTTTCCTGATATCATCTCGTATATTTTTCCTACCTGTCTCCTCAACATCTGCGCGACACACGCCACGCGAGAAATCCTCCTGCCATGTGTCAGAATTCAATCTAACCTCCCCTTCTCCTCTCCTTCCATGCATAAAACCTAGGTCTTCCCGGGAAACGATAGTCGCTCGCTCAAGTGCAGGTGCAGGACTCACTCACTTCTCCTTTCTCCTTGATTCTAATTTAGTTCCCCTTGCCGCGTGGCATCCCTTCCGGATATCTACCGAGTCACAATCGGCAATTCTGGTAAATACCAGCACTACTACTCAAGATGGAGAAAGACTCTCCAGTCAACGAGGCACGCGAGATGGACTCTACCTCGCTGTCCCAAGATGCTTCATCGCATGAAGTACACTCGGGAGAATCGAAGGGGGGTATGGATGAGCGGAATCCGCAGAATTGGAGTCAGAGGCGGAAAACGCTGCTCTTTCTCGCGCTGATGTCGAGCTCTTTACTTGCAGATGGGTATGTATTCTCCACCTCCTGGATGATCATCGCATTTAGGCTAATCCGGTCTATCTACTATAGAGCTATGGTTTGGGGTGGTACTCTTATCACTCCCCAGGCATTGGAATGGGGGATTTCCATCAATAAGTCCGCGACAAGCATGAACTGGGGCATTTTGCTCCAGGGATTCGGTGGACTCTTTGCTGTTCCGCTCGTGGAGGCGTATGGTCGGTGAGAGGAATCCAATCTTGAATAATTTAATGAGTGGTGCAGTGCAATTTCAACTAACTGGCTCTCCAGTTTCCCTGTCTGGATCTGGCCGCAGGTCATCACAATGTTCATGGTCCTGGGAGCCACGCTTTCAACAGACTACAACACTTTTACGGCTTTTCGCTCACTGCAGGGGCTTTTTGGCACTGTCCCTCAAGTAATTGGACTTCCCATTATTCACGACATGTACAGCCCAGAGGGTAAGTAAACATTCGGTCTTAGCGCATTCTCGCAACTTGCTGATTTTATTAGAATGGCCCCGCATGATCAACATCTGGTAAGTTGAAAAGTACTTCCACGTGCACCATCACCATCACTTCCCGAAACTTCAAATCTAATAAAGTATAGGGGAACAACATTCCTCGTCGGACCCTTCCTCGGTCCCGCCATAGCCGGATACATTGGTGCAGGCACAAACTGGGTCTCCTCCTTTGGGGTACTAACAGCTCTATACGGACTATCAACAATTCTCGTCCTTGCCTTCGGCCGAGAAACATACTACAACCCGGATAGACAACCGGGCTCCCTACTAGGCTCTTATTTCGGGTTCGGAAACACTGGCCGACCGAAATGGAAGACGCTGGGATACTGGTGCAAGATCCTAGTGGTTTACGTTTTCCGATTCCCTTTATTGATGACTGGAATTGCCATTCTGATTACGTTTACCTGGCCCATCGGTATGTTTAGCCCTTATCATTTTCCTTTTCTATGAAATATTCTTGCGACACAGTAGTATAGGAACGGTGCTGACGATTTCAGGAATCACCACTACCATCGATACGTTTCTCCACAGTCCGCCCTACCTCTTTGATACAATTGAGGCATCATCCATGCGCTTCGCTGGTGTGATTGGCGCACTATGCGGTATTTTTTTCCATGATAAAGCTTCTCTCGTATGTAGAAAAATTCTAATCAATTTATCAGGTTGGGTATTCGGTCACTTCTTCAACGGATGGATCTATCGCCGACACCAACATGCCTGGCAGACTGAGTATCGACTACACGGAGTATGGTTTCCCATCGGTAGCATGGTCTGTGGACTGCTCACGTATGGACTGACGATGCATTTTGGTAAACACTGGATTGGAATTGCATTTGGGTGGATTATGGTTAATATTGGAATGGTTGGTACAATTGTGTATGTTCCACGCCACCGTCCCTTTCATTCCCGCCCAAAATCCCAGAAAACAGTCATGCTAACTCCAGCCAGGGCTATCACGGCGTATGCATTGGAGAAATACCCCAATCGATCTACGTGCGTCTCTGCCATTCTCAACATGTGGCGAACATGTGGTGGGTTTGCGGTGGGATATTTCCAGCCTGCTTGGATTCAACGGAATGGATTGGGTCTGGTCTTTGGTATACAAGCTATCGTCGTTAGTATTTCCGTTTTGTTGACCATTGTGCCTGTACTGCTGCGAGAGCGACGAAAAGCTGGAGTAATTGGAACGGTTGGAACAGCTGGTACTGCATAAGCCGGGGAGGTCTTCGTCTGATTGCATGTGTAATTATTCTTTCAGTACATTCTTCAAGTTATTCATTGCTAAATATTTCAAGACACAATTTGGTCCCGTGCATGAAAAACTTCCCAGATTTTATTCCACCATGTGAGTTAGCTTGCGCCAAGTTATTCGCAGTAATAGGAAAACATGACCGTCTATGCGCCTCCGGGGCTCCATAACGGCAACCTTGGAACCGGCTCAGGGTCTACACCGCTATATCTAATTTCTTTGAGCTCAGGTAGTCTTTCATCCTATACATATCTTCATGATTTGTCTGTCAGTAGCCAGTATTAGAGATATAAACAGCACTTTTGATCTGCAGGCTTTTCTGGATAGCGTGAAGAACAGAGCTGAGGAATCATCGGATGTTGATATTGATGTTGCTTAATGTTGAAGGGAATAGCCGAGGGCCCCAGACATTAGCTTAGTAGTTGCAGGCAAGAAGGAGATGTATTAAGCTTAACTCCCAATGCAAGATCAGTCAGCATTTGAATCACCTCTTGTAGAACAATGAATACCAACTTGAACTACATACGAGCTCGGGTTAGGTACTGAGTTGTGGGTCTGGCTTATCAGGTTGATATACCAGCTATCTTAGCTTATAAACGGAATTTCGACTCGTTGGCCGGTGGTTTTGGCTCGGCTCGGCTCGGCTTGCCGTCTTGGCCAATTCATTACTTGGTTTCTTTACTGGTAACTAAGGATATCCCGTAAGAACTTGAATTTGAACGTTGGAAATGTTATATTTATTTCTTTGTATGATTGACTATATTTCATCGTCAAATTGATGCATTGATCGGGTCCTTGGATCCCATGCAAGCGACTCGGAGTCTCAAGTCCGTCCAGCAGACAATAAAAGAAAAGGTAAAAGAAATGCAGAGCAGAAGTGCGTGAAATGCCAGCAACGCCTCGCCGATGACCTTGCTGCGAAAAGGAATCGCGGCAGAGAGGAAAATAGAAAGTATGTGCAGAGAATGGTATATATACAAGACAAGACAAGAGGTCAAAAGAAAATGCTAAACGGGTGTTGGTGTTGGTGTTATGTTCATGGCTCGCTTCAAAAGATGTACTCGACTTGAGGACAAGACGACTGGAAGTTTCGCAGAAGCTTCTGCACACGGTGGGTCATCCAGCCGGAGTATGTGCCATTGCTTGCAGCGCCGTGGAAGGTCGTAGAGGCGTGTTTGCAAGTATTCTCTTTCTGGTTCCAGGTGTATTGCAGACACTCCTTGTTCTGCGAGCAGGCTTGGTGGCAGCTCTCCAGCGAAGGCTTGGTGGGTTCATCGAAAATTATATCAGTGGGTGACATGTTGTCCCAATCATCGCGTCCAGCGAGGCTACCGTTGTGAATGAATTCACGGTAGACATCGGCATGGAGGAGAAGAGCATTCTTGCCACTTCTGAACCATGTCCGGTCGAATTGCCACATCTCCTCGATGTCTCGAGGGGTCATGCGGTGGTACGAAACAGCGGGGTAACACCAGGGCTGGCGACCGTAACCCTCGGAGAAGTGATCAATCTCCCAGGGTCGAGTGGTCAGCATCATGGGCCAGGCCCAAGTGAGTGGGATTTTGATTTGGTCAAAGGCCCGCGCGAGGACGCAGTCTCCAGCCCACTCATCGGCGGTCATCTTCTCCAACTCGGCTTGGTGTTTGGAGCGGTATGTTTGAAGACGCTTCATCGCCTCGGCGGAGAGAATAACGCCAGATCCTCCGTAGGCAAACAGGATATCGCCGATTTGCATGGGGCTTCCGATGTAATAGCTTCGAGTGTGGTCCAGGTGGGCCAGCCAGTTGATCAGGTTGGGCCACACGACGTAAGTATCGGCTTCGATAAAGATGTACCACTTGGCATCCGGCATCGCTTCCAATGCCCCATCGATCATGGGCAAGAACTTCCACTTGTCCAGCTTCCATCCGGGGTTGTTGGTCTTTCCAAAGGGACCGTTCTCGTGGTCACCCCATTCTTCATCGGTGAGGCCTTCCCGGCCAACCTGTTGCAAACGATGGTAGATGTTGAACTCGGGCTCGCTGTTCATCGTTGCTTCGGTCACGTTGCTGAGGACATCGTAGGTTGGCACGCCGCTAATGGTTTCCTCATAATCGGAGAAGATGGCGTAGTTGGGGACACATTGGAGGGTGGTGCGGAGCTGCACGGGGACCTTTTGTTGAGACTCCGTGGCGCCAGTCTTCAAGACGACGAAGACATCATCCATATCCCGGCGAATGTGGCCACACTGGTTCTCCTCAAGCTCCTGTTTGGTGGGTTTGGGTGTCTTGGGGGTGGAGTCACTGGTCGGAGGAGTTTTCGGTTCTTCGATGATGATCTGGCCTTGCTCGGCGTGGATAGAATGTTCGGCATTATGGGCGGCGACCGAGTGGCCGTGGGGGTTGAGGTAGAGGTAATAAATCAGGCTCAGGGTAATGAGTGGAGAGACGATGAAAATCCATCGTCGTGGGGAAGTGAACATTGTCGCGGGTTGGAAAGAATGAACGATCAGTAAAGGAGTGTAGAGGAAGGCAGAGCCATGGAGAGGAGCAGAGAGAGGAGAAGAAGTCGTCGCAGTTAGAAGAAGTGAAAGAAGTGAAAGAAGGGTGAAAATGAAGGCGCAGCAGGGACAGAAAAAGGGAGATGGTGATCAGCCTTGACAAAGACAAGACAGGACAGAACGGTTCGCGTTCGCCATTCCATGCCCCCCTCCCACAGGCTGGCGATCGATGGAGAATTGCAGTTCAGGGACATTGCTGATTCGACGGCGGCAACGAAGCGCTGGAGTGATAGGTCATGCATTGGGGCAAGCTGGAGAGAGATCAGCGACCACGCGGGCCAGGGGCCAACGAGGCCGTGGCGAGGGTTCAAGAACCACCCGCCGACCCACGGCCGGCGTCATCGGTTGCGGGTTTTTTGGCAGACGAAGCAAGGATCGACTGGCGCCGGGGGGCACTGGGGCTGGTGGGGTGTCCAGGAGGGTAGAGATCGCCAGGGATGATGTCTCGGGGCAGGCGTTTAGCTGAAGCAGAGTGCAGAGTACGAGTTCTCATGGATCAAGTGCATGTACATGCAGCAGATTGAGGGTACTCATTCTTGTTCCAAGGGTTTCAAAGTTAAAGTTGACTGTGTTGAAGGTGAAACTGTGGGGAATGTTGAAGTGGAGAAGAGGCGAAGTCGGCGAACCGAGGTTGATCTTGATGGATGACTCAGCATTCTGCTGACAGCTGAAACAAGCACAAGTCCACAATCTGTTTATGTGATAGTATGAGTTACAATAGTTTGAAGAATTGTTTAAATTGCTCAATTAAACTACAGCCCCTTGCTTCAGCAATTGGACTCGAGCGTAGTTGGAAAATATAGTCAAATCACGGAAGTGTGGCCTCCAGAGCAATGCCTCTACGAACTCACTGGAAATACATAGCCCTACTAGGTGGACATATATCCAACTTCGAGTGTTACTAGTATTTTGCCCTCTTTACTTTCAGACACGCCAGAAATGCGTTTTCGTCCATGCTGCGTGTTTCAAATATTATTCCTTAGCGCTCCGTAATTATTAGCGGCACATCTATATTACTGTGGGTGCACAATATTACCGAGTTGCATGATGTATGAGAAGGAATATCGACTACTGGTACCTGGGCAGGTAGAAAAGCCTTTCATAACCCTCATTTGTTCTTAATAGACATTCAAATTCTTCATCTCCATTTTATTCAGTTCAAATATTTTCATTCTAATATGCAAAATTGCAATATCTCGCCCATAAACACTGGACTCGTATACTGGTATGTCTCTCCCAACTCAACAACCTTGGAAGCCATTTACTCTACCCAGAGATAACCAAGCCACCTTGGAGCGGCAGGGCTGTCGCAATAAAAGTGATATCAATTACCCAAGAGTGATGAAACACTAGTCGCGATATAAGCGTCTTTTTGAAAATTGCCGCAAACTTGAACCCCTGATCTCCACAATAAACCCCTATCATGACGCCGTATTCGACCAGCTCTTTTAAATATGACATGGCTATGGAGTACCAGTAAATATGTAGAACCCGAGTCGATCTTCGTCCCCGCTACTCCGTACTCTGCATTTTATTTCGTCATGGGCAGTGCTTCCAGGACGTGGCAGTGCACGCTCACCGTGCCCCTCCACACGAAAATCCTCGAGCACGTCAATAACCTCCACTCGATATCGTTCAATAGTATGCAATAGATTGTTGTAGCCTGCTTTAAAGATGATTAAGCTTTTGGTGGAGCAACTACTTACCCGTTCGGTTCTTTTTAGTTTCAATGGGATCTTCAGGGGTAGATGGCACGTGGGGGAGGGGCGTTGACGTAGATTCACCATGATAAAACATTCAAAATAACTGTTGTCCGCATCCAAGACCACCAATTAATTTTTATTGCCCGAATAGCTATACTTGTGCACATGAAAGTGTCATAATAGTGGCATACCCGCCAAGGCCGGTATAGTGGGCAACACCCACTGTATAACAACAGCCAAAATGGAAATTCAGAGCTATTTACATAAATTTTCAACATATATATACAATCCCCCTCCCATCACCCCATCTCCACTATATCACCCCCTCCTCCCATATCATTCATCTACTATCGATCTCCAACATCCCGAAACGTCTCCGGAAAGAAACCAGGAGGCGGCCAAATATCCGCAATAGAAGGCGGATGAACAAGAGGCTGCGAACCAAGCCGATCAGGATCATGACAGAAAGCCTGGAACGTGGAGTCATCTAGGAATCCGAAATCTTTCAGTCCTGCTTCGCGGTTGTGAGACCATTCTGTTGTGTCGAGGTAGGCTAGGTCTTTGAATATTGCGTCTAGATCTTCGGGGACGGGACTGGGACTGGACCGGGGCCGGGTATAGAGTTGGAGGTTGGGTAGGGATTTGGATTTGGATTTGTGGAATTGGATAGGATTGAGGGTGAGTCGGGGGTTGAGGGGTGTTGTGAATGTTGGTGTGGGTGTGGGTGTGGTTGTGGATGAGATGGATATACTGCATCTGGTCGTTGTTGTGGTTGCGATTGTGATTGTGGTAGTTTCTCCATCTCCATTGGTTCTAATGGTCCAGACCTATTATCCACTGGCATCATGGCTAGATCCGTGTTCTCCATGATAGTGTCCTTTGGCGTTAATGACTGCCCGTCTACCGGCATGCTGATTCCCATGATGGAAGATGCGTAGTTTACTTGCTCAGGCACAGGAACAGGTACACTCGGAACGCCCGTGATCGGCGCTGGCATGACTCCACTTCCAAAGGTTGTTGTTGACGGGTTATACCCATTCGGCTGGGTCTGTGTCTGTGATTGTGTCTGCTGAGACCGCTCCATCGCCACAACAAGAGACCCATAAGCAGGCCAACTCGACACAAGAGCAGCAGTCTTCTGACGAAACTCATCCGCCCACCGAACAAACGGGAACGAATCCGGCGCATCAACATTCTGCCGTAAAGAGAACGCCTGTTCAGAGATAGTCCGAAGACCGAACTCAAACATAGGCGGCAGACCACAAATCGGGAAATTATCCAGATGCTGCGCCAACATGGATAACCCGCGATAAAGTAATTTCTTCGCACCCTCGGTCGCGGGTCGTTGCGAGCGATGTAAGCCCTGTTCTCCCGGGATGAGAGAGATATACAACCAGAGTAGGGTCGCGACATATGTTAGTCCTAGATAACTTTGGTGCGGTAGTAGTGCCGAGTGTCGTTCTGGGTAGATACTTTCCGGACCGATTAGACGACAGCCGAGTGGGAGTCCGTCGTCCCATTGTTTTAGGTCCATGACTAGTTGCTGTGCGAATGTGGAGGGTTTGTACCCCATTGAGAGATTGCGCGAGATCTTGTTCAGAACACTGGCTAGTTCGACCAGGCGATTGAAGCAGCTTAGAGACATCAGCGGTCCCCGACGAGGGGGAACTTTCCCATGCGCGGTGCTGGCGCTGGTGCTTGTGCTGGCGCCGGCCGTAGGAAGAACATCCGCCCAAGAATTCCACTCTTCCAATCCATCTTCTTCCAATAAACCGACCGGTGCAATATCATTCGCCGACATAGCCGGACAACGCCGAAGCCGGAAAGAAAGAAGTGAATCGATAACAAAACAGCCCAGAAACACCGCCTTGCCCTGCCTCGTCTCGTCAGATCGTCGCATATCTGTGGAAGTGCCCAGACCAATCGCAATCGCCATGCGCACTGCTTGTCCACTTAATAACCATGCCGCTGTCCAATCTTCCAGTCCCATATTCACCAACGTGAGTAGTAGTAATGCCTGGATGTGACCGAGTTCGTATCGGTCTTTTTCGAGAGGAATGAGATGGCGCGAGATGGTGTAGTACTCTTTTGCCAGTGAGAGTGTGCCGGCGGGACTGGAGCGAGGATCGGTTCGGGATTGAGTGATTGTGTAGCTGAGGATTGCCCATAGTGCGGCGTGGTCGCCGGAACCGGGGCTTGTGGCTGTGAGTGAGACGGCGGTGTTTGCGTAGAGGTAGGAGGCGCGGAGGGTATTGTGTTTTGCGAGGATTGGGAGCCAGGAGTGTGTTGCTGCGAAGTAGATGTCGAGGAGTTGGGAGGTTTGCGCGGGTAATTGGAGAGTTTGCGGAGAGGAAGAGGTGATACCGCGATCGGACTGTGGATGCGAGTGCGACTGTGACTGTGACTGTGACTGCGACTGTGCCAATCGTGTGCGCTTCGCAGTGGGCGAGTGCGAGGACGAATGCGAAAGTGAAACAGGACCGACAATTCGCGGCGCAGTCGGGCCTAGTGGACTCGATTCTCTCCCAAAGCGATACCCCCAACCACCATCTAGATCATCATTCGGATTGCGCGACCGTTTCCCCGTCCCGGCAGCTGTCGCAGGAGTCTGTTCCGAGCTGGAGAGCATTTTCTCCAGCGCACCATAAAGACGACTCGTTTTCCAAGTTTCATGTAAACTCTCGGAAGAAGTATCCTCGGACCAGATAGACATCAATTTAGCGCGACGATCGGCAGAGTCGGCGGTCGCGCCGAGCATGGCCAGCATGTTATCCTCGAACCCGTCGATGTTACATATCGATAGCGCCCAGAGCTTCTCGAGTCCGCGGACGTAGCCCTCGGGGAGACCGCGTTTCTTTGCGTGGGGGTCGTAGGAGCAGGATTGGCCGGTGGCCTGGCAGGCGGAGCATGTGGGACGAATGCCGTCGCATTTGTCCTGGAGATGTGAGTTAGTAGGGATCGCTTGAATGTGGGATGGGGTAGCTGGGAGGAATTGGGGTACCTTTTTGCTGCGACAGCGGTCGCAGGCGCGTGAGACCCCTCTTCGTCGAGGGGCCTTGTCGGAACCCTCATCCATGAGGAGTGAGTTGAGCAGGACACATGCTATGTCTGCGGAGGAGGGGGAGGTGAATTGAGGGAGTTGCGTGGAGAGCGGAGGAGTGAAGAGTGGAGGAGCGGAGTGGAAGTGGAAGTGGAAGTGGAAGTGTTTAAAGTAAATCGACGCAATCGGATGGATTACGCAAGGCAGCCAACCAGAGGCGGTGAATATAGTTGTAGGCTAGGATTATAGAATTAATAGAAATAATAGAAATACTAGTTGAGATACTAGTTTAGAAATAGTAGAATTACTAGAATAGAAACTTGAAAAGTATGAGATATTCCAAGGCTGTAAGGAGTTCTGCTTCCCCACATCCCCACGATGTGGGAGATACATCCCTACAGTGTAGACAGTGTAGTGTACTATAGTATAGCGAACTAGTAGATAACTGATAGAGTACACTCGTGAGTAGAATACTTCTCATACTACCCTGCAACTATCTACTCTGCCTATCCCACTGGCATTCATCTAATATTCCGTACTTCCTATACTTCCACCGTATAACCGACTACCGCCAACTGCCGATCGTCGGCAGTTTCCAGCATCCCCACGATATTCCCAGATATTCCCAGATATCTCAGTGACGCAGCTAAACACTAGTCAAACTCAGGGTTTAGGGTACAATTTAGGGTAGAATAAATAGAACAAACACAGCCTCCTTTTCAAACCGGACTGATCTGATCTGATCTTCCCGGCTCGCAAGTCTACCCCTACGGCATCCCGATGTATCCCCGTCCCGTCCCATTTCCTCCCGATCGGCTGATCGCTTCCGAAGGTGCGGGTTCCCTCCGCGGCTTCGGGTGCTCCACGGAATACTTACATGACTGAGATATTGTGATAGTACTAGTATACTAGTATACTAGCATATTAGCATCCATAGATACTCTAGATGAATATTTCACAGATCATCTACTGCAAATAATTCTACATGGTATCCAATTCCATTCCCTCGATGTCTCACTTCGAATTTAATTTTAGGCGCGGATAAGGTTTTTGCCGGGTATACCTCCATATTGCCAAGACCTTGCACTGCCCAGGAAGACGATGGGTAGAGGATGGAGTATACTAGGTAGTACATTTCTATATATATACTACTAGTAGTATGTTGACACTGCCTGTGTTAATTAAGCTTAATATTAATTCTATTTTTGATCTTGATGGTCTAGGCGGGATCAGATCTTCGGGGAAGAGTGGAAGAGCTTACGTCTGAAGCAGGTGTCTCACAGAGGAGGAGCCATATGTTTAGTAATATAAAGTAAAATATCGAGATCAAGGCCAGCAACCAACAAGCAGGTAACCAGACACTAGATGAATCAAGAAAATAGATTTTCAAAAATATTATGGCAGGTCCTAATCAACTTTAGTTGTGGAGTGAATCTATTCAAAGATACACATCCATGTGGCTGCACGTTCTAACCTTGGAACTAACAAGCTGTGCAGGAATCTATTATGATGTATTGTAATAGTACAGTTGCTAGCAAGCGGCTTTTCTTTTCTCAGGTCCGACTGCCAATATTTACGCATTTACGACACCGGGTCGTACAGTGTCTTGATTGGGAATTCTACTAGTAGGAGCAAAGTGGTGTCAATTGGAAAACAATCTAACTCTTCAGGCATATCTTCTTGGTATATTTAAACGATTAGTAGATCCTAGCACTCGTGGCGCCTCCTCGCACAGAGCATTATACACAGCTTCATCGATAATCGGAGCTGCCGCACCCATAGCCGGCATTGCAGTGCCAAACCATAGTGGCATGGCAACGAACACCCCCAGCCCCGTGACCGCTCCCACTCCGAGTCCAAACGCGAGACAGGCACCATTAATACCCCAACCTACTGCTGGGATTGTTGTGGCGACAGAAGCTCCCCGTGCGATATTGTTCCACCCATTGGCGTCAAGAACATTTGCAACCCCATTCAGGAGCCCAGCAGGGGCTGCCGGAAGATTGAGCTCAACCAGCTCCTTGCCCTTATGTTTCTCTCCCTCAACTCGTAATGGGCTAAGGCTGTCTGGGAAATGAAGGGGCTCTTTGATAGAGATAGTGTACCAAGATGGACAAAGAAGGTGGAAGACAACATTCTTCCCGTTCACCGACTCGTCTATTAAAGTTCGCCTAACATCTTCCATGAATCGACATATCGTATCCAGATTATCTGCCTTGGCACAGAATTCAGGTGGTAGAGGGTTACCCCTGATCATCCTATGAAAAGCCCCATACCAATTCGTGTCAGGGTGGTAGACGAAAAAACGATGGTTTTTCAACTCTGCCGTATCGACATCATTCATCCTTTTTTGGATATAATCATAGACGGGTTTGGCAAAACCATCGGGTCCACCAGCACCCGAAACTTGAATGCTATTACCGTCATTGAGATGATCACTAATCACATTTAAGGCCTGGATTGCCTGGTTCGCTTGAGCGATTTGAATGGATGTAACCGTCTGCATCCAGCGTCCATAGTAGTTGATATGATCAACGAGTGACTGTCCAATGATATTGATGCCGTTGATTTCCCTGACCACGTTTTCCGTCGAAGTTGAAATAATGTTTGAGCCCCTGCCCGTCATGAGAGCAGCGTTTGTCACCACAGTATCTAGACTGAGATCTAGTGAATTATCGGACCGCGCGGTTTGGTGCATCAATTTCTTGACTATCTCCAGCTGCATCTGGGTGGAGATATCATCCGAGCCGACTTCTGCGACAGGAAGGTCGGCATTAGGCCGGTTTGGCTCCGAATGTTGCTCCACAATGTTCTTCCCAATACGCCAGATTATCCCACCAGCATCACTGGCAATATCTGCTGGCCGGCATAATTTGCGAACTAGCGCCTCAATTGCATCTGACTCTTTCGCAAAAGGGGCCAATTTGTCTTGGTGATATCTCAGGTAAGCTTCGGCGAGAGGCAAGTCCGGGTAGCGCTGCTGCAAGAGATACTCAAACTCTGCAAAATGAGCTCTAGATATTCCATCCATCTGGTAGAAAGCAAGTGATTAGGCTTTAGAATGAGAATGCTGGACTCAAACTAGCCTTACGATGATCAAAACAGAGTAAAAAAGTTAAAGTTTTTGTATCGTAGAAGATATAACTAAGAAAAGTTGAAATGAACGAAGTTGAAGATATTTCATAGCCTCTCGGGTGAGATGATTGAAAGTTTATATATTGACCTTATGTTTACAATATTGACCGGTGGTATAGGAACATCATGATGGCGCCAGCTATACTTGGGCGCTTGGTCAAACGAGCAAGGCACAGGAAGACGTTCGATGGTCAAAGCCAACAACTCAGCCTTGAAGGTAAATGAAACAAAAGCAATCCTGTTTTTAGCGGTGGCGTATATGGTTGGATTATACATAAAGTCCAACTTTAGTCAGGTTTCTAGTGCTGGTGTTTATTCGCGGATGATTGGTTATGTATCAAACTTGTAGCGCGCGGTTAGGTAATAGATGCGAAGGGAGGAGAGGGTATACGTAGCACTAGCATACATTAAAAAGAAAAAAACAACAACCCATTTTATCAGATAGCCAGTAGATTATTTCCAGAGTCACTGTCGCGGGGTTTGAGGTCCGCAGTTTTGTGACGGGCATCCGAACTCCTAAAAATGCGAGATCCGCGAACAAGGTCATGAAGAAGTGAATGGATCTTAAGGGGGGGCAGAAGACACTACCATTTCTGCGGGAGCATCAAAAAATCAGGAACAAATTTTTAAAATCTTTTTATAAAAAAAAAAAAAGTAAGCCGGGTTGCCCGAGTTATCGACTTTCGGAAATCAAGCAAAAAAAAGGTCCATGCCGGGTTCGAACCGACGACCTTTCGGAAGTTTGTCTGACCGATCAAAACCGAACGTCATTCCACTAGACCAATGGACCTTGGATGATATAACAGCTCAGTAGTTCAATATATAATAGCGATACTACCTAAGTAGTATACTAGTAACCAGGAGTCCACTCATCCAGGTTCTCCAATCTACAGTAGATAGTTCTCGTCTTTTCTATCTAATTACCACCATCATCGTGTCTCTTACTAATCCGGATGGATCCTTAAGCATAGTATGTTGCTTTGCAATAGAAGAGAGTTGACCGTGTACTGGGGACAGAGCTTCATGTTATGTTTTATCTAGATATATATAACCTACTACTATGGCATCAATACTAGTAGGTAGTTCACTTGTGAAACAAATTAAGTACTATGAGGTGCTTGAAAGGATCTCGATTATACCAGGGGGCGGTGTAAGGAATCATTGTTAGTAGGCCATCCACTTTTGTACATATATACGAGTACAGTAGTATAGTATCACATAATCAGTTTTGATATTCCTCCGGTCGCAGAATTTGTTACTTGGTTCCCAGATAGCACAACGTTGCTGCTCAGATTACCAAACGAAGATGGTTCCAAACCGGGAATATCTGATCGGCATGCCATCATTGCCAATGATCCAGCTCCCATGAGAAGAGAAATCCCGGGAAAGTCCAACACCGAGCTGGAATCCTGGACCTTGTACTACGGACAACGAGTTCTCAAGATACCACATGACTATTGTGCGAATAAAGCAAAGGAGTATCAACATTTCGCTTCCGTTCCTGGTATATGTTTCTTTGGCTGCAATTCTGATCACGTTCTTCATCTCGGAGAAGTCAATAATAGCAGATAACATCGACCTCTTTCCTAGGTATATTTGCTCTCTCATCTTCAAGTTCTCCTTCTCGTGTTCGTCTTGGCGCTAGCGAAGTCGCTACTCTTAGCACCAGCCTGAGGCTGTCATTTAGGCCAGTAAGAACAGCGCGAGTTCAAGTTTCTTGGACATACCACACTACAATGGATAAAGATACAAGCCATGATACGTATCTGGTGGGCTATTGGTGAATGAAACTGTGGGTGTGTGAGCATCATGATTGCAATTGGGTTCACGGACGTAAAGACATCCTGGCGGAGAGGGAAAGGGAAGGCTCTGCAAATCCTGACGAAGCGACGACTTTGGCGCTCTATATTCTCATGAAGTGCCGGAATTCTATCCGTAACACATTGCAGGTAGCGTATTCCGGGAATAAGAATGATAATGCCGAGAGTCGGGATCTCGGGATACGGCCCGTGCGTGGGCCAAGAGATCCAGATCTGCAAACATTATTCTTAAAGGTGGTGCAAACAATGCAATACCCATGGATGAAGTTGAAGGTTTAATTCATGCTTAATCCACCTCATATCCCGAGATATTCGAATTAACCTCCCGGTCGTCAATCCAATCTCCCGGTAGACACCGCAGGATGCGGCCTCGGCTTTATTTTAAGGCCGAGAGACCAAATGGGGCAAAAAGGTGCGCTTCGGATACGGCTGTAGACCGTGACACTTTGGATCATTTATCTCAAGTGTATATAAAGAGGATCATTGACCAGCTCCACTTCCAGTTCTAACCCACTTCACTCTACATACTCATTGTCCCTTAAACATCTACACCATTTATCATTTCTACCGCCATCTCACCAACCCATCAACCCCACCATCACCATCACCATGACGGACCCCAAAATCGCCAACTTCGACCTAATCCAAGCCCCGTACAAAAAGGTCGGCACCCACGAAATCCGAACAGACATCCTCATCCCAAAATCCGCCCCCGCCAGTCCCCGCCCCATAATCATCCGCTACCACGGCGGCGGCCTCGTAATGGGCGACAGTCTATTTATGTTATTCTTCCCACACTGGCTATCCGATCTAGCCACAAAGCACAACGCAATAATCGTATCTCCAAACTACCGCCTCCTACCCGAAGCAACCAGTCCGGAGATCTACGCCGATATCGAAGATTTCTGGACATGGCTGCATTCGTCCGAGTTCAGCGCTATATTGAGCAGTCACTCCGTGCCCACGGAGGCGGATTTAACCCGCATACTTACGGCCGGTGATTCGGCGGGTGGTTTGTTGAGCATATATACCGCTTTATCGCATCCGAGAGCGATTCGTGCCGCGACGGCTTCGTACCCGATGATTGAACCGGGTGCGTTTTCGTCAGCGCGGGTGCATCCGCCGTTTGGTCATTCGACGCCCGAATCGGTTTATGAGGAGTATATGGCTAGTGTGGAGTTGGGGAGCGTGAAGTCCTCGTGGTCTGTGCCGGAGAGTTTGACGTTTATGCTTGCTGCGGGGGGAATATGGGCATTTGAGTGGGTTGTATGAAAGGGGTACGGAGGGGGCTGATCGTGGGGTTCTTTATCCTTTTGTTAAGCTTGAGAGTGAGGGGGTTGAATTTCCGAAGGGTGGGATTGCGGTTATTCATGGAAGGCAGGATAGTCTTGTTCCTATTGGTGATGTGGAGGGTTTCGTGGAGAAGGCGCAGGGGCTTGGGTTGGGGGGTCCGGGTGTTACGCTTACTGTTAGGGATGGGGAGCATGGGTTTGATGGAGATTTGAGGTTTGATGAAGAGGAGTGGATGCAGGAGGCTTTTGAGGGGGCTGTTGCTGCTTGGTTGGAGTAGTGGGTGGGTGTATATAGTACTAGTAGATATACTCGTAGCTAGTAGTGAAGAGTACTAATATATTTATGTTGTGTTACAACTGGCGGTGTTCAATACGATCAATGCCGAATGTTTCTTTTTCCTTTTTCTTTTCCATATTTTTCGGACAGCACTTTACGGGATATTGTAGAACCGCATAACAAAAGGCCTGATGGTAACAACGACATTCAAGGCAAAATTGCAGACCAGAACCATGCTGTTTTCAACATATGGTTTCTCGTGGTCCACAATCCATCCTGGAAAGTAGTAGTGACAGGAGACTAGTTTATATGTTGTTATTGACCTAGGTGGGTCATGTAGAGTAGTTGATGAACCTTACCTGGGAGGTGCGTAGAGAGATCCGCATTCTCTGGAAGGGGGTTGAGGAAGGGCAAGTATGATGGGGTGTTTGGCAGTAAGGGTGGTAGATAATTCTTCCAGATGTACTTAACACTGGATTGGTAGTATTTGTAAAATTCGATCAATAGAATGTTAAAAGCTGGGTGCGTGATAGGACGGCGGGGCGTGCGAAGGAATCAAGAATGATGACTACTCGTACAAAGCCCCATGATGATAAGGGGAGCAATAAGAAGGCAGAACTGAGAATGGAAGAGCGAGAAGAGAAGAAGAAGAAGAAGAAGAAGAAGAAGAAGCGAAGTGGGAGCAGGGCATATAAATAATCAATAATCAATAAATGCAGGCATGGCTGTTTGGTGAAGCAAACGAGCATGTGCTCCTCAGTGGATCTACAACAACGAAAAGAGTGATCAAATTAAAAAATTTGCTTCTTGTATTTATACTATATTTATTAAATAAATCCACGATATGAATGATTCACTATCTCCTCATACTAGACAATAGTCCACTGTAGTATACTTCTGTATGCTGCTCGCCGTTGACCGCCTCCGGGCGGTGAGGGCAGCTGGGAATTTCTGCAGGTCCTCTTCACCTCCCTTTCATATTATTCCCTCGACTTCACTTCACTCAACCTCTTATACCCACCCTTTCCCTGGCTAAATATATCCCGGATACACATGCCTGGATTTGCAGAAGAAGCCCTCGCCTGGAGGAAACGCAAGCGTGAAAATGAAGACCCCCTAACCCGCCCGTAAGATCTTCTCCTGTTTACTCCAGTCCAGCCCAGCCTATCCCATCAAATCTAACATACAATTATGGCATGAATAGAACCTCTTTTGTCCCATTTATGGTGGACCACGCAAACTGCGATCCATATATCGTCCACCGACACAATCACAACCACAATCACAGCCACGAACAATCAACCGAGAAAGACTTCGACTTCAGACCAAGATGCATTCCCCGCAAACGCCGCCATCTCCAACAACTTCAACATCAACATCCACACCAACAACACCCACAACATTCATCATACCTCCTAACCTCCACGCCCCAACCATCCCTCCTATCCCCAAACATCTACGCAACACCCCAAGACCCTTACTCACCACCTGTTTCGCCCAAAACTCTCGTCCCAATCCCATACCCCACAACCACCCCAACCTCAGCACCATCTTCAGCAACAACTACTACTACACACCCCTCCGCCCTCCGCCCATGCCACATCTGCCACCGCCGCCCAACAACCCGCCAAGTCCTAGACGCCTACGCAGACTGTGATCTCTGCGCCGAACGCGCATGCTATATCTGTCTACGTCTCTGTGACGGATCCTCATGTCCTGGTGCACGCGCCTCTGCGCCCACAACTACAGCTGCAAATGCAGGGACGATCTGTATGATGAACTCGGCTGGATGAGGCGGAAGATCTGCTCTTCTTGTGCGGTTGAGGGGGGTTTCAGAGGGCGTGGAGATTGTTAGGTGTTTGGATTGTGTTAGGCCTGCTGCGTGGGAGGAGTGGGCTTTGGATGGAGATGAGAGGATGGGGGATGAGATGAAATTGAGCGGCGATGCGGTATTGCGAACACTAGCGATTCGCAAGAAGGGAGTGGAGTGGATTGATGCATATGGGACGGGACCCTGTGCCAGAATGATAATGATTACATGACGGTGGATTGATACTGGTTTTTACGGGATTGGACTGGACAGACGGACGGACTACTGGATTGACTCTGGCCTTGATTTGGCGGGGGTTTGCACTGGCACCTTTTTCAATGTTGTTATTTTTCTTCTTTTTTTCTGTTTCTTTTTTCTTTCTTTTCTGCGCGGCATCGACATCGCATCGGCATTCGCATTGGCATCTGCATTTCCAGTTCTGGCGGCATTTGATACCAGTCTATATTGTGGATTATTTAATATATTACATTACACCCCAACGCTAGCTAAGTGACAGTAAACCGAACGCCTAAAAAGGCTATATTCAACGCCCGTTTAGGCATTTATTTTACCAAGATCTTAAACCTATTATAGAAAAAAAAATTACCTAGGATCTAGTAGAAGCTAATCTTTCTACTAATACTTAAAAAAGCTTATGTATACAGAAGTTCTAAATTTTTATTTATAAAAGTCAGAGATCTAACAAACGTCAATAATAAATGTGATAGATAGGGCTTGAGTTGAATCGATAATACTTTTTAGGCTTTCCATCCATGCTATAACTATGTGCATCTAATATTGTAGCATAAGGATTGCCTCAACAGTATGTACGTATTAGTACCCCAAACAGAATGAGCATACATCTGCAAAGAATCAACTAGCAAATTTAGAGCAGAAGCGTGGATCGCCAGCTGAGTTCGTAATTGCTGAACATCGTCTCTCTTGCAAACGGACCATCGTATCTTCCGAATGGCTGAAGTCCACCCTTTTGTGCCAGGCTGCAGTGGCGACTTAAATTTCGCAATTGATTAGAGAAAGTTACCGATACAATCGTTGCAGTTGGCTAGGGCGTTTTCGATAGCCTGCTTCTCACCGCTAAACGAGTTCTCGTCGATATGTAGTTCATCTAAAACCTTCAAGCAGTCGCGTAAAACGTCTATTTCTCCAATCAAGCTCCGGTAGTCCTTGAGGGCGCCCCGCGAATCGCTAACCGCATCAATGGATTGTTTGAGGAGGTTGAGTCCTGCGATGAAGTCTCCGACTGAGAACCCGAATCCGACAGCCATATCGAATTTGGAATTATCGTCGCAGTATCAAGGGACGCTGATTGTTATTTAGACTAGTTTATATTTGCACTGTGTTCTGAAATATATCAGAATAGTATTGAGGGCATTTACGTACATATACGGTTGATTCTCAGAGAAGCATCCAAATGAAGATGTGGAAATTCAGCGTAGTCTTGTCAAAGCCAACTGTCAATTCAACGACGACGTTGGGCAGTTATGTTGTGCAGTAAATCTCTTGTTTTATGTTTAGCTTGCTTGCATTTCTCTGGATCGCCAATACAGTTACGAGACAAGAAACTTTTACTTAGAGTAATACAGTAGAATTCGAAAACAGATTACTCTTTTAACACTGACGTTTTCCTTCCCAGCGCCCCACTCAGATCGAGCTAAACTGAATTAGGTCCGGGAAAGTACCCACCATTTGTTTTCATGATGTACTTCTGGTAGATCACTAGAATTACCGTAATCATGGTATCCGGCATGGGGCAAACCATACCTCCGAAATGGCCTGTGGACAAACAATAAATTCGAAAACAGATTACCCTCTCTGGGCACTCACGCTTTGTTTCTCGAACCGTACCCGAGACCACACTAATCTGTCTTAGGGTAAATATATCGTTCCTAACAATAGACCCTTTTTATTTCCAGAACGACTACCCTCGTCAAAGCGACAAAAAGAAATTGAAAATTTTCTCAATCTGAGTAGGCGAAAGGCGGCCCTAGCAAATCCAATATCAGCGCCCACCTAGTGCAGCGGGGAAGTCGCTCCCTGCTCATGTGACTTTGTCCGTAAAATGCTCGCTCGCTCGCTATTCAACACTAGTAGTAGCGCAAACCATCATACCATGCTTTCTCTTCCAGCTTGACTCAACAAATTCTGACCTTTTGAAGGGGATACGTCTCTGCAACCGGGCCACTCGATTATACACCCCACCGGCAAACACGTCATGGATGAGAAGCATATACTGGGAGACTTGGCATTGACTCAGCAAAGAACAGTTTCGCGTTCCAAGTTCTGGGTCATTATTCCATCTTTCTTATCATGCTTTTACATTATTTTGCATAGCTGGCTGGGCATATTGTCATCGACGACTGAATCAGGGCCCCTCAAATACAATGAAGAGCTCATCAGCTGGCAGTCTTGTGGGAGCTTTAAGGGCAATCCCCTTGAATGCAGCAGTATTAATGTTCCTATGGACCAATTCGATCTGGGGTTCCCGGGAGATAGGACCTTTACCATCCCACTTGTTCGCATGCGAGGCAACAACGCGACCCAAAATCTCCTTTTAAACCCTGGTGGTCCTGGAGCTAGCGGCTTTGAGTTTCTCTACCGCCGAGGAGAGCAGCTGAAGGCCGTGGTCGGCGAAGGTTTCCACCTACTCTCATTCGACCCTCGCGGGGTCAATAGCTCGACACCAATAGCCTCTTGCTATCCGGACGATAGGACTCGACAGAAATTGTCCCGCGTTCGATCTCTACATGTAATAGGCGATAGCCCCGAAGTCTATGCGTGGGCGCAGAATTTTGCCAAGGCATGTACTGACACGATGGGCGAGTATGCCAAGTATCTCAACACTCCCCAGACAGCCGCCGACATGAACAGCATTCTTGATGCTCTGGGCCAGCAAGACATGATATACTGGGGATTCAGTTATGGCAGTCTGCTAGGTCAGACATATGCAGGGCTATTTCCCGAACGTTCAAAGCGCGTTATCATTGATGGGGTTGTAAATCAATTCGAGTGGTACGAGGGTCTTTTTGAAGCACAGTCACTAATCGACACGGACACGGTGCTCGATGGCTTCTTTGACGAGTGCATCAACGGCGGAGCTGAAAACTGCTCCCTGGCCTTGTTGGCAGCATCCAAAGAGGAATTGCGTGACACCGTGCTCTCGTACATAGACACGCTTCGAGATCAGCCCATCAGTGTATACATCAACAACTCCGTTTACGGCTTGCTTGACTATGAGAAGGTCTGGTACAACGGGTTTCTCGAGGCCCTGAACAAACCTTCAATGTGGGCTGCCCTTGCGGATAATATGTACAGACTGATCCAAGGGAATGCGACAAATGCATTTCTAGCATATGGAGTTGAGGAGATTCGGGATTGGAATCATGAAGCATACGACTTTATCACCCTGAACGACGGTATTAGTGGCCCGATGCATTGGCCTGAGACAGACAGACGTTCTTGGATAAGATCGCGCCCTTATTCAACCATAGTCTGTTCAGCCCTGTGCAAAACAAAAATTATTACGTGCGGCAACACTGGGCTGTACCAAAGACACATTCCTATGTGCCACGCAAAAGTGTGAAGACGACACATCCGCTGCTCATACTTTCGACAACTTACGACCCCGTATGCCCCCTCATAGCTGCGTGGTCTGCGAACGAGGCATTCGAGGGTTCGCAGATCGTCGAGGTCAAAGGGTATGGGCATTGCTCTGTTGCAGTACCGTCGGTGTGCATTGCGAAACATGTGCGAGCGTTTTTGTACGAAGGCAAATTGCCCGACACATATACGCACTGCGAGGTGGATTCTCCCTACTTCCACCGGTCAGACAAGAGCGGGCAGTTGTCGGCTCACAAACACTTTGAGGACGCGGAGGAGGCCAAAATCCACCAAGCGCAGGTGCTGCTAGCGAGAGACTGGGATTTTGTATCGGCCAATTAGCACAATTTTAGACTTAAAGCACACACAAGCATCTATCCTAACAAAGCGGACTAATGATTCAACGGGCGGTACCAGCTATGGATAGATGATACTAGCGGAAACAAGCTGGAATAGGGTAACAGCTATTCGAGGATGCAAACGAGAGCTTTGTTGGCCCAGTAGGGCTACTGTAGTCGTTTTACAACAGTAGCACAGCCTTCACAGAGAGAGTGAGCGTAGATCAAGCCAGATTACCAGATGTCCCCACCCCGTTCAAGATCCCACTAAGGATTTCCATGGGAGAATACGGTAAATTACAATGACTCTTAAGAGGACGGAAATCCAATCCGCTCTGACGACTAAACAGGGGTCGTTTGTTAAGTGGTCTAAGAAGTATTAGCGGACGTACGGGTCGAGAAACAAAGCGTGGGTCAGCGTCTGGACGAAACCAGTAATTACGGTAATTATGATGATCTACCAGAAATACATCGAGAAAGGATAGTTGGGACTTTGACTAGCCAATCTAGCCTAGCGCGATCTGAGCGGGGGCGCTGCGAAAGAAAGCCAGTGTGTCCGAGGGGTAATTTGTTTTCGAATTCTACTGTAGCAGGTTAGCATGAGCATAGCCTTCTATCTGAAGAATAAGGAGGAAGGGGTCAAATGGGACCAGCGGGAAGGGGAATCCAGGCAGGCAATATTGCCAGATTGTCAGAAGCGATTCTACGTGGTTCCATGGGGTATTACGGTGTTATAACGATGACTCATCTGCCATAGTGTTGAGGTAAAACTGAATTCGAAAACAACTGTACAGTGAAGCCTTAAGACAGTGATTATTATGGAGCTAAGATAGTACAGATGGAATAACTGGCACTCCATGATATGGCGGGCATGGCTCATTATACGAAACATGTCATTCTGTCATCCAGATTCTTCAATAATATCATTAAATATGCCTTCCTCGCAAATATTGTCATGGTCGTTGCCTTTCATCATCCAAACCTCTCAAATTGGCAAGCAACTCATCACTAAACAATAGCGATAACACGAGTGGAGTGGCATCGTCTTCAGCACGAGGAAATTTTAGTGCTTAGCGGCCTCTGTAAATGTGTGAGTATCGAAATGCGGTAAGAATAAATCGTGAGACCTCAATTACCTTTGTGAACATCAGCTTTGGTGCCATGCTTCTCCTCTTTGCCCTTATCCTTCACAGCGTCCTTTGCGGCACTAGCACGGGTGCCGATGCCTGCATCAGAATCCTTCGCGACATGCTTGTTGGCCTCCTTGGAAGTCTCATGACCAGTACCCTTGACGGACTCTGAGACATAGTTGGCAGCGTTCTGTCATAGTTAGCCTACAGTTCTCATGGCATTGAACCCCTGTTAGGGTAGGTATTTGCGAACCTTGGCAGTCTCCATTATGTGTGATGGTGGTTTTGAAATAAATTGGATGTAGTAAATATAGTAGTTCCGATGATGTCCAGAAGTATTGTTGGCGTGGGTGAAATCCCCAATTTATAATATTTGGCTCTATAGGCGTCGGAGATGTTCGTCGCAATTAAGTCATGGGAGGTACGGCTGGGGTCAAGTTGTGGTCAGCCTCATTACATCATAATTCAACCATCACCAACCTACTGTTTCTGGATTGGTTGTGTGACAGTTTATGGGTATAAGCAATAATCAGGTTTATGCCAAGTCATTACCGGTAATTACTTGTTTTGCGAATTCATTCAGATGTTGGTACACCTTGGCCAACTAAAGTTCAAAACAAGGATGGACCACAGTGTAAGCAATCACATGCCTGTGGCATTGTATGCCTTAGAATCTAGGCACCGAAGGGAATTAAGTGTAACTATCTAGTCGCCGTATCCGCTGTACCATAATGATCATACTTGTTGATAACCTGAAAGATATAAGTCAAGCCTTTGATACTTAATAAGATCGGATCACCCCAAGACATTGTACAGCCAATTAACGTCACAAGATGACGAATATTCAGTCAAAATTACATCCATTCCCGGCTCCTTCGACAATAATAAACAAACTCTTAATTCAAGATTATCCGCAACATGCATCTTCTTGTGCGTGCCTTTCTAACTAATAGCCCGCTGCATAAATTCGAGCTGGTTTTCTCACTTCATCTTTATATAATCGTGTACTCGTGGGCTTCTCGACATATGTAGTACCGGAGGAACCGCGACGTCTTCTTTGACCGTAGGAGCTGCGCACAATAGGCGACTCATATACAACGCCAGAGCTGGTGTTACTGCCTGTAGCACCAGGCAATCGACAAGCACGCCAGAGCCAGATAAGAAGGAGTGTCCCTGCAATCGAGCCGAGGACGATACCTGCAATACCACCACTGGAAATGGTACTCGGGCAGCTTTCGCCACTACTCGACTGCCTTGTTACAAGGTTGGAATCGACGGGAGCCTGATAAAATTACGGGTTAGCATTAATTGTACTTGAAAGTGGGTTCCGGGGTTCTTGGCTACGACGCGCGCGGATATCGCTGTATGAGTCCCAAAATGATCCTATTGCACGTACCATGGCTACTGCGTTGGGATAGTATAAATATTGACTTAGTACTCCACCGAAGGGTATGGGATTATAGCAATACCAAACTGTATGATGAGTCGTGTCGGAGAGACGGGTATCGGCCACGGAAATGAATAAGGAAATTGCAAACCTGGGGAAACTCATTTAATATCTTGCAGGGCATTGTTAATCAATCCAGGATAAGGCACTATCTCAATTGCACGCTCGAACCTCTTATTCTTCAATTGTTACGTCAAGTTAACGTCTGTTCATGTGTATGGCCAGGAACAGCAGCGATCTTCGCACGGATAATGAAAACCAAGTCAATTCCCCAATCTGTCTAGTGATTCGTATTCCTCACTCAGCAATGGCTTACGAGTACTGGAAGTCTCTGCTATCAGGTAAATAAAAAGCTTCTTTCAAGGATGAAATATTTTTAGTTTTATCACTATGTGTTGCAAGAGATCTGAAGCGGCACGACCCAAAGCAGATACGTCGCACTAGACTTTATGCGCTAAAATAGACAGCAAAACCTTTGGTGAAATTAATCTATTTCGATTTGAAAATAGGGAACTTCTTTTTATAGACACCAGGGAAATTATCGGGGTTGTTTCGATTATTGGGGGGTATAGGTTAAAGAATGGCATGTATGAAACATCTGTCTCCCAAGACATCTGGAGACGGCACTGGGGGAAACACGTGGGAATAAAATATCATTGATTGTTCATCATTATTCTGAATATGAATCATCTCGCTACTTTCTTTCATTTGACAAAGGCATTTTGATTCAGCTTTGGCGGACGTTAGATCCCGCATCCGCCTGCAGTTGACGTCATGCCCTGCGCACGGCAACCATGTGTTTTCTGTTGGAAAATTGATGGCACAACCTGTCTGATGGTCCACAATAACGTCACTCTCTTATAGCTGACGGTAGCTATAGCTTAAGGTGTGGGCTGAGCTGATTTAGCTACTAAAGATCTCGTCAGGCTCACCTCCTGCTACCTTCACAATTCACGGCTGACCTCCCTAGGGGCCTTCAACTTGATCGTCATTCCCTCTGCTCACCATGAATCCAATACTTTCTCTTTTCTCGATACTTTATTTCATCATCTCAAAGTTTCTTCGCGTGGGTCTTTGGACCCTCGAGCTCCCCGTCGAAATCCTTCAACAAGGGCCTACCTAAAAGGAAAATCGCGATTATCGGTGCCGGACTGACTGGTGTATCATCTGCGGCGCATTGTATTGGCCATGGCTTTGAGGTGCATATATTTGAGGCACGCGGGAAAGAGAAAGGGCTAGGAGGTATTTGGAGTGTACGTGCAAGAAATCACAAATTAGTCGACTTGCCACTCACAATTACAGCGCGTCAACTCGACATCGGCATTGCAAATCCACAGCCTCATGTATCGCTTTCACCCAACCGTGCAATATAAACACGCGTATCCCACTCAACACGAAATTCGCGACCAAATCGTCGATCTGTGGAAACGTTACGACCTGGAAGAGCGCACAGAATTCGGAACGCCGGTTACCTCTGTTAAAAAAGCAAAATCGCCGGGCAAGTGGATCATTAACGATCACCCCGAGAAATATGGAAGCTTTGACGGCGTTATTGCAGCCGTCGGAGTTTGCGGCGATCCCAAAATGCCCACTTTACCAGACCAAGATCAATTCGAGGGTACCATCTGCCACTCATCAAATCTCGACGGGAAGGACATCAAAGGGAAGAAGGCTCTTATCATCGGAGGTGGCGCAAGTGCCATTGAAGCACTGGAGTTTGCAGTTTCGTCTGGAGCTTCTGAAATTGACGTCCTTTCTAGGTCAGATAAATGGATTATTCCACGCAATATTCTGGTACAGTCCTTGCTGGCCATGAACATTTGGGGCGAAGAGATATCTCTTTCATGGTTACCAGAGTGGCTGCTTCGCAAATTCTTCTATCGGGATTTAGAAGACATTGCTCCTGAAAGTGGTCTATTTACGACGACTCCAATGGCGAACTCAGATCTATTCAACCTCATCCGAAAGGGCAAGGCCCGTTGGCTGCGTGGTGATATTGATAGTGTCAAAAAGACTGGAATCCTCTTCAATCATCGATCTGGAGATACCTCTAAGGGTGGCCCTGGCCGCGAGAAGCTTGTCAAAGGTGATATTATTATCATGGCGACCGGCTTAAGCGCCCAACACTCTCATTCCTCCCCAAGATTCATTTGAAGAAAATTACTCTCCCCCGGATTGGTATCTTCAAGTGTTTCCACCAAAGCACCTGAGTATCTGCGCCAATAACAGCACCTACGTAAACGCCATCGGAACGGTCGGAAACATCCATATTGGCATTTATACGCGTTTTCTGCTTATGTTCCTGACGGATCCGCGCACCAAGCTGACAGAAGGACGCATGAAAACCTGGATTGATTTTACCCGCTGGATGAAGCAGGGAGCGCCACCTAGAGCATTCGATTTCTTTACATACACTGAGTTGATATACTGGTTTGTGTTTCTCGTCTTGGTCAACCCCTTCCGTTGGAAATGGGCGCTTTTTATTCTTTTTGGTGTCGGACAAACGCTTCCGTTGGAGATCGTTAGGGAAGAAAGTGCTTTCCGGGAAAAGCTGCAGAATCAGCGCGATCATTAAGGTGATGTTGGTGGAATAGAGAAAATGGAGCTATCAGTTCGTTATGGTTGTTGAATACACTATGATTATTATTGAATACGCAAAGGGTCTCTTACTATCTGTGTAACGAACTGATGTTGCCTGAGTTGTGTGCCTAATTACGTGACCTACAACCACCTATTCTATTTATACCATAATATTCGTGAGAGCTTCTCTCTTTTCTTTTTTACTTAGCTTCTACTACTTTTTATTAATACTATAGGGATTCCTTTCATCCCGAGTCCTTATAATCTGGGATAGGGGCTACAAAGGTTGAGCCACCGATGCGAAGCATGCCCTGCTCGTCTAAGAAGGGGGATTTGGTGAACTGATGTTTGTGAGAAAAATTTCCGACGATCTTAACGGACTCATTGAGGCTGCTCATCCCTTACAAAAGTTCACCTTTAGAGTCATTCACGGAGCAACCCAAGTAGAAATTCTTATTTGTATACTGCGATCATCGCCGTAATGCCATCATGATCGGAGAGACGAACGTTCGTTGTCAGCCGAAAATACACGTATTTTAATCATTAGGTCCTGAATTTTCAAAGTTGCCCTCTGGAAGCCGCATGACTAGCATGAATTAAATTTGATATGCATATATATAGAGTATATAGATGTCCATTGTGCTTTTTTACTGTGTGGCCTACCGGGCATGAAATGGCTGATTGAATTGAACGAGCGTTGATCGACACCCTTGATATCTATTCGTCTCTATATACAGCCCTCGTGCATGAATCCCGAGGGCGCGTTGGTGTTTTAAAGCAAGTAATACCCCAGCGAATCGGCAGAACCCCTGACGTATCTAAGTTCATACCCTTTGCTCAGCAAGTAGTCGAATTTGAAGAATTCTTGATAAGTTAGGAATTGAAATGGGACCACCTAGAATAATTTGTAGTCAGGTGGAATTCCATCTTATGACAGTGCCAGAGAGGGCCATGTGAAGGCCCAGGGCTCCCTTATTGGGTTCTAGGACGGCTATAATCGCTATCCATCCCATTGTGGTTGGGCAGACATATTTACTTCATTATTCTAGTGCAATACCTCCGAGTCCTCATGCGCTGACACGTAGATCGATCCAGATCAGGAACCAAGCCGTGTTATTTGAAGACAGAAAGCTGAGAAATATCTGCTGTATTACTACGAGTTAATTGATTTTCGTTCGCCCTCGGTTCTGCCATTCTTGGATACTTTATATCAATGAAGGCAAGCCTTTTGTAGCGTGTATCAGAGTAACAGGCCAATACCACTCGATACACGCATTTGACGATGCGTTTCCCCACAATAGCCGACCAGGGAAAAAGTAAGTCAGGCCCATGGAATAAACGATTAAACAGTTTGGCTAAATTCTACCTTAACCCAAATTACTTGGAAAATTAGAGCTTGTAGTCCACCAGAATGACAATTCGGGACTTAAAGGCATCGAACGCAAAATACGACGTTATCTAAACATTTTGTCAAAACCTATAAAGTAGTAGGTCGATAATGCGAATTTGCGTTGCCTTGTGTGTTTTCACCGCAGTGTATAATCATATATAACGCAGTCATATTAATGAGCCTATCTGGATAGCAAACAGTTTTGTGATCACTATGGACCTCTACGGGAGCTATGTCGGTATATTCCTTCTCATTGCACCGCTGACTTTTCCCTGATTCCGGCAAATTGCACCTTCCTTCTTTCACTTTTAATTAAAACAGCAAGACCACTCAGACATTATTTCATTCATGTGATAACTTACCTTAACTTTTAGATCGGATTGCAGAGCCCATTATTCTCTGAGACAATCTGCTGTGATTCAAGAGGCCTGTTTTTGAATCAATAATTAAATCTTCAGCTGCATGCCACTTGGAACCATTATAGGTTAGTAATTCATATTGATGTTCATTACATACATCGAATATATAACCATTATCAACCCATACGCCTATATTACATGTCCAGAGGGACCGTGGAACCAAGTTGTGCGCATTATTGGCGTTGCACATACGCTAGTTCATCACAGTGGAGTTCTGGAGGATTCAAACTGACATCCGAATCATGACAAGGTAAAGTTTCTCATGTATCAAGGAAACGGCCAAAAACAATAAGCAAATGTTAACTTTATGTTTTGTTTTGTAGAACCGACAAGAAAGAATCGATTGAGGAAGTATCGCCTCGGTGGAAGAGAAAGTCTCAATTATATGATTACTTCAAGTTTTCTATTCGTTCAAGAGCTCGAAAGGATGGATGCAACAGCCTCAATTCATGCTGCGCCGCATACACGCAGCCAGGCATTTTTGAATTTGACCTCTAGGTGATCTTATCGCTCATATTATGTACTGTGACGCATTCAGCGCACGTAAAATTAACTATTATTGC